TAGTTCTCACAATATCTCACAAGATATTTCCGCTTTTGTCAATGATCAACAAGCGATCCTCAATGGTATACATGCAAATCTGTCTAAATCACCTGTCAATGACTTAGAGGTATGTCACAGATTTATTCGAATCCCTTTTGTAATTACATTATTCGCATGCGATGACAAATATGTATATTTAAGGAACAAAACCGTCAATATGCTCTATTGATTGAAAATCAAAAACAACAACGTGCTCGACTCGAAGATCAACGACAGTATGGTGCTGGAAGTAGTATGGTAATATTCTGAGAAGAAAAATTCAATGATTAAATATACGGTTATTTTCCTAGTCGGGTCGTTCAAGTCGAGCTCAATCTGATGTTGATCTAGTGCGACATGTTGAACAGAAATATCGTCGTGATTTAGAGCATTTACAAGAGCAACTGGAAGTAAGATGGAATTATTTATATGTGTAAGACTTATCTGCTCTCGTTCTTTCTAATGATTAGATTCATGTTCAAACAATTGGTATTCTTGTCGCAGAAAAAACCGATCTGTCGGCGAAATTAACTCAATCAGTTAAACAATTTGAAAAGAAACAGAGCGAAATTGATGAAATTCAAGGACGATTAAAAGCATCGCGTGAACGTATTGAAGAACTTGAAAAATATAACCAAAATTCATCATCAAATGCGCAGAGACGAGAAATGGTCAATAATAATGTTTCAACTCCATTGTTGACCTCATTTGTTTTATTTTGTTTTTAGGCAGCAAAAGAGTCTGACAAGGAAATCGAGCGACTGAGAACAGAAAATTATCATCAAAAGTACAACTAGGAAAAGACAAAGTTCGAATTTATTACAACTGTTATATTTTTAGTCGAACAATTGAAGATTTAAAACAGAATCTTAATGAATCTAACGAGAAACTTAATCAACAACAGAGTACAATTAATCAATTAAATAGTGAAATAACACGATTGAGACAAAAATTAGAACAATCAGAAATACGTGTGCAACAGTATCAGGTTTGTTGTAAAATTTATTTTCAAAATCATTTATCTTCTCTTTTATTTTATTAGTCTATCAATGATACTTCAATGGTAAACAAATACGAGCAACAAATCGATGAATTACAAAAAGCGATTGCATTAAAAACAAATGATACAGAAGCAGTAAGTCCAACGAATTTGATTCAGAAACGATGACTACGGAAAGAATTATTCGTATTGAATAATGAAAAAGAGAAATATATTTGATGTTACCTTGAATAATGTCATGGTTAAAGGTAACATCCTTATCAAAACAACACATTGGACTGCGTTTTCATGTTTTTGATGAACGAATCAAAGATTTTTACAGATAAAGAGCGAAAAGTCACGATTTCTTGTATTTAACTACCTATCATACCATTTCATGATGGAATGTATAGAGAAAAAAAAACAAAGTATAATCCAGGAAACATGTTCTCACTATATTATTTTCTCTGTTTCCATGTCAACAAGAACTTCATACTGATCTATAAGAATAAAATATTCTTTTCTAAAATCCGTTGTACTTGTCATGTTCATATTCACTAGATAATTTATTATTGTATAGCTTCTTGCATCCGTCAATCATATGCGCTTGGAAAATGAACAAACACAATTACAATATCAACAATATAATGCCAATATGCAACGTCATGTCCAAGAATTAAATGAACAAGTATAGTTTAGTTATTTAATTCCTATTCATTCGAAATTGATTTTCTTAATTAGATAAATCAGCTAAAACAAACCAATAGTTTGTTAGAAAATGAACGAGAAGCAATGAAAAGATCTTACGGTAAAGAAATTTTCAAATGAAAATAATTCGAAGAAACTTTTTTGTTTTGTAGAAATGAAACTTATTGAAATACAAGACACTCAAACAGTGCATAATCATACAAGCAATAGTAATTTAGAACTTGAACGTGATGCTCTTCTTCAAGAAAATCAATTGTTTAAAAATGCCATTGATGAATGGTCAAGACGTTTTGAAGAAATTCGTTTGGAAAATGAACAAATGAACACGTACGAACTTTCGAAAGATTCCATTGATAAAAATCGCTTTGTTTTCTTAGACTTTTAAGTGAAAAAGATGCATATATTAGTGAATTAGAAAACAGCCATGGAACAGTTCGTAAGTTGTTGATTTTCATCTAATGTTTTCTTTTTGATGGTATATTTCTCGTTTTACAGAAGACAATACGATCGATCATGAGAAGTTATTACAAACAATTCAAACAGATAAAACGACATTATCACGTGCCATGGCACAAAATAAACAACTAAAAGATCAATTAACTGAACTTCAAGATGGTTTCATCAAAATGGTAGGATAATTGAACAAATGAATCAACACCTATTTCATATATTTTCTAATCTAGTCCAATGATAATATGAATTTAACGAATCAAATTCAAGCACAAGAATATCTTAATAGACAATTGAATGAACGTCTCGCACAGCAAGAGCTTGCTACTCAACAAATTCAAACAGAGAAGCAGGAACAACAAGTACAATCGAGTGATAACAGTGTACAAGATAATAACATACAAGTAGGTTAAGTTTCCTGAATTTCTTAATTGTAGAAATTTGATTGGATTGTTTGTTTAGCGTTTAAACGAGTTAACTGAGGAAAATAGATCATTACGAGAACGTCTTTCACAATTGGAACAACAGCAGCAGCAAACGCAAGCCAACATTGATACACATTTGAATGATTCGAGTTCATTATCATCATTCAGTGCACCTGTCGATGAAGCACCACAACTACAGAATGGTTTGGTGGAGAAAATTATTGTAAGTAAAGCAATTGTTTGATAGTAGTTAAATTTGATGTTTTATCGTATAAAGGAACGTTTTAATCGTGCAATGCGTGATAATGCTGATCTACAAGATCGAACTCAGCAACTCGAACATCTTATTCTACAATTACAAAGTGAAACGGACACAATTGGTAAGCGAACGATCTTCATATCAAGATAATCTCTATTCTCTATTAAAATAGGTGATTATATATCCTTATATCAACAACAACGTCTTCAACTTCATCGTCGTTATCAAGAAAAAGATGATTATATTAAACAATTAAGTCAAGATCGACTGAATTTACAAGTATGATTACAATAGAAGACTTCGTATTGAATAATTTTTTCATTTGCTAATTGTAGAGAAAACTATCTGAATTGGAAACATTACTCATGCGTGGATTGAGTAAATCATCATTGAATGTGAACAAACCAACACAAATCATCTCGAATGAAAACACATTTTCTGATCAACAACAAATTGTCGATGAAAATGGTAGACGATTTTTAGTTGATTCTGTCAGAGAGATAAGATGAATTCGTTCGAATCTCATATTTGGCAATGATGTTTTCAAGTTCAGTCTTCAATCTGAAAAGAAGAAATTCTTTGTAGATATCATTTTATCATTGATACTGAGCCAAATAATACTTTTTCTCAAAACATCGATTGATTATATTTATTATACGATACTCGTTTTTTAGAATGGCCAGAAATGATTGATAATGTAACAGCAACAGCAACAAGTGAACAAACTACCGTACCGTCCGATGAAACACGAACAGTTATGAGTACCTCTCCGTTATCATCATTATCGAATTTTGATGATGAAACTAAAGCGCGTATTCTAGTTTTACTGAAAGAATTAGGTCAAAGTGATAATTCGTCACCGACAACTGATAGTTTATCGACGACAAAATTAGCATTCATGGGCAAAAATCTTTATGTTTGTTCGACATGTACAGGTCCTGTTCAATGGGTGTGAAATCCAAAATACAATACGCTTTTTACCTTCCGCTGTTCTGAATTAGACATGTATACGCATACATTCTCGTTTTCCATTGATCTTTATCTTTATTTTATTGCTCCGATTTTATTTATTATGGAACTGAAGAAAAACAAAAGAGGGACTTCTTCTTCTTCTTTTATTTATTAATCTTATTCTTTATTGTTATTGCATCAACATCCGTCTTTTCTGTCTAGCTCGATCGCTCTCTTCTTTTGTGCATATATATATGTATGTGTGTATGTGCAGCGCGTTGATTTACGGAGAGATAATAAACAGTAGTCAGCTCGAAAAAGAGTTGTCATCAAGTTCGTCTGTCCTTTCCTCTATTGTGAGACAGGAACAGAATTTATTCCGATGAAAAGATAACCTCTTGTAATAATCGATGTTTTCTTAATGAAATTAGTAAATATACAATATCAACAACATCAATGTTGAAGCACAAGACAGAAATATAATTGCGAAATACTACGAGGATATTCTAAGGAAAAATGAATGTTCTATTGAATTGTTAAGATAGGTTTCGCTGAGACAAAGACATAAATATGTACAAATTGTGAAAAACATAGTGAATGATTCCACGAAACTATGGTAGAATTCGTCGCAGTGTCGATTGGAAGAACTTTCTTCAACGAATCAGTAGAGCGCCATTTTGATTTCACATGTTTAGAAAATTTCGAATTACAATATCAAAACTGTTTCAGATAGATACTACGACGTCTTTCGATCTTGCTGAAATATAACATCAGATAATTTCATGTTCTTCGTGGTAGAGTTTATCCAGATTGAATGATTTACTACTGACAAAGACTCAACAAATGGCAATGAACAACTAGAACAGATGTGGACAAAAGTTAAAATCGATAGACCATCAAAAACGAATCTTTGTGTACTGAAAATTCATGTAAATAAATTGAGAATCTAATTGAATTTGATACTAACATATTGGAATATATTCAACATGTAAAAATTCATTTTGTAAAAGAATACAGGACATACCAAGTTAACGTCATAGAGTGTCATCTGTTGACGCTAACATCTATTGTTGAGTTTATGTATGATTCGAATGAGGAATCAGAAAACAAAACAAATATAAATGATCCCCAACGTTATTCACATTTGCACTTGAAATTATTTCGTTGATTTGAAATCCGAATCGGATTTTTCTTTTCATCTTTTCAGATGCTTGCATCAAAAGCTCACGAATTAATCAAAGAACTTGATCGTTCGCGCGATACTGTCCTACCTCCATACAATATTGAGACCATTCGTCTGTGTCAACTCGAAGCTAACGAATTGTTTCGTCAAAATTACGAAGATGTCCAAACAGTTGTTCAAACCAATACAGATAACAGCAGCGCCACTTCTGCTCCAACATTAATGCCTACGATTAGTATTCGTCATGCAGCTATTCAACGTATCAAACGTTGTTTACTTGCATATGTTTACCATCGAATGAATAAGATCAAATCACTTCGTTGGTCGATTGGACCTGTTCTTCCTGAACATATGAGAAACAATCTGTCTATCGATGAATTAGAATTTTTCTCGAATTATAATCAAACTTTATCATCCTACATGCGCTCTATCGGTAACAATCATTCACTTGATTTAACATCATTTATGATTCCTCCGAAGAAATTATTCGCACATATCAAATGCATTCAAGACTATGGTCCATATGAAACAAGTGATGGGACAATCATTCAACTGACCTTCAATAGTGAACATTATGTTTTAACATCAGATGCTGAACATTTGATTCAACGGAAAATAGCTGAACATATTGTTTAATTGTCAGATAGAATTTTCTTCCTTGTCAGATCAGTCGATAACTCAGATATAATAATAAATATTTTCATTATCTTATTCTTCTTTTCTAGATTATATAACCATCGATAAAAGAACAAAATGCCATCCGATGCAAAAAAGAAACGTGATTTGCAAAAGAAAGCTGCAGCCAAGCAACGACAAGCTCCAACAAAGAAATCAACAACGAACAACAATGAAGCAGCTAATGGCAATGACGACGACATCAATGACGATATCGATGATGTTGAAACTCAAAATGAAAATGAAAATGAAAATGAAAATGAAAATGAAAATCCAACAAATGGCGCTACAAATGGAACAGATCCCAGTGTTAAATCTTTGATACAAAATCTTGATTTGTTAACTATGGTAGAAAAAGCCAATGCTGAAGCAAGATCTTGCACTGGTAAAAACTTTTGACTTTTCCTTGTTTCTCTGTATGAAATGTGTTTGTTTGCAAAGGTGTATTGGGAAGTCATCCTCGTGGTCGTGATGTTCATATTCATCAATTTTCAGTCAATTTTTATGGACAAGAAATTCTAGTCGATACAGATTTCGAAATGAATTGTGGTCGACGATATGGTCTCGTTGGTTTGAATGGATCAGGAAAATCAACAATTCTTGCGTGTATTGGAAATAGAGAGGTAATGAAACCATTTTGCTGACAGAATGGAATAATTTCTTAGAAGAATTATGCATAAATTATCACAAAACAATGCCCTCGATGGGAAACATGATGTTTTAATTAATTTGAAACGTTTCTTTTTTCCCTAGGTACCAATTCCCGAACACATCGATATATTTTATCTGTCTCGTGAAATGGCACCTGTCGATAAAACTGCGTTGGAATGCGTCATGGAAGTTGATCATGAACGAATTAAACTCGAAGCTGAAGCTGAACGATTAGCAACGAGTAACGACGATGGTAAGTGAGAATAGAAAAGGAGTTTGTGAATTTTTTACTAAGTGCATTAAAAAATGTTAAGTAAGAAAAGTAAATTATGATCGTTTAACAGAAAAAAAGAAGCAAAACATCAAGTAGAAATAAACCTACGAGTCATTACCGGATTAAATGATCTGATTAGCATTACTTGTTAATCAGATTCTTATCAAAATGATCTAAAAGAACAGTGGACAGTTGCTCAATAGTTATCTTTGCTCTATATTTAACTAATCTTACTTTTTTTCACCGAGAAGCAAATGTCGATCGATACACAGCTGTACTGTCTACACTTGTTCGCCGTCCGAACAATGCAATCAGTTTTGAATCAATACATCAAATGATGCAGAAGATTCCTATCACATCATGTTTCTATTATTGAATCCTATGAGACATAGAGAAATGAAACGAATTAGAAGTGAACATGAATGCCTGATGATTGCTATTTACATGATCAGCTGGTAATTTCCTATTGATAATAGTCGAATTTGGAGGTGAAAGAAATGTTGAGACAGGTGCGTCGACATTGGAAATTTGTGTAGTACTATAATCGGTCCAAAAGAAGCCATAAAATGTAGCTAATGCAATGGCAAATAATGAAATGGATAATAAATAACTAAAAACTAGTAGTAGGCGCAGAAACTTTTTCCTTGTCAAGCTTGTTTGTTGTTGTTGTTGAAGAAGTGGAAGTGAAGATCGTTGATTAGCATTTAGCTGAGCATTCTTAGCTATACTTATCCAAAGACTTTGCCGTTGTGAAGCTAATGCCGTCATTTGCGAAGTTTTCTGACGTGGTAATAAATGACTCAGACTAGTTATCGATGAGCAACGTTTCTGTGTCATCGGGGTCGATTTCAATGTGGCATGCGGTACTGGAGATGAGGGTATTGATGAACATTTGTCCGTCGTTGATTTAATAGAAGAGTACGGTATACGACCGAAGACCAACGGCTCTGCCGTTGATGGTGTTGCTGGTGTTGTTGTTTGTGGTGGTGACGAGATGGCAGATTCTTTTGGCGCTGGACGGTTTTGGAAATATCGACTATTGTAAGCTTGGAACGCACGATTTTGCGATGTAGTAGCCATTTAGTATGAGCGTTATGTTATGAAATAATAGTTGCTTTTTTCTCTTATTTTTTTTTTCTTTTTCTAGAAGTGAATCTAGTCTAGAAGAGAAAAAGGAAAAAAGATGAAGAGGAAATGGATGTGTAAGAAAAACCTAAGACATTTCTATTCAATCATGTATAAAGAAAAAATGAATGAATTGTTCAGGCAGAAAATGATAAGCAGTTAACGCTTGTATTCACTAGTATTACTTACCTCAAATAACTAGATTAGGACTATGAGGAAATAGTTAGTTTCACACAATTGATCGAGTATAAAAGAAAAAAGATCCGTGGGAGGTATTGAGTGACTTCGTTGCGAGAGAAAAGATAATAATTCGATTTTGTTAGCATAAAAAGATGTGCGTCGATTCCGTTCTGCTTGTTACATGCAGTAGGAATAAGATAAGGAAGAAAGAAAAACTAGGAATAATAGTACCAGTAGTCGTAGTCATAAACAGGATTGCAATTTTGATCGGAAAATAAATAAAAAAAAATAGGCAAAATAGCATTGAACGACAAATGGCATAGGCATAAGAAAAAGAAAATGAAGAATACATCAGTTTTGCAAATGAGAAGAGAGAGAAGAGAAGAAAAAAAAAACGAGCGACGCCGAAAGTCGTTTTTTTGTATTGATACAACACACATTGTCAAGTGTGCCAATTATCTTATACACACAGCGATCATTGTTGACATTTTCCTGATGGTTTCATTGAACTGACTTTCTCTAGATATATGTCTATCAATTTATACCGTACTATAATGATAATGTTTGTTTGTCGAGGTTTTGCTTTCTCAACAAGACAGAATAAGGAGATTACCGATGTTCCCTCTCTCAGCATCATCATCATTTCTCTCTAATGTCCTTCTTCGTTTGGTATGTGTGTATATACATCTCTTTCTCGTTCGCTATACATGAGCAAATGTTCTTCGCAAGCTGGTATTTCATCGTATACATAGACGATTTGCTCATCAAAGAAAAAAAAACATGCAAAAATGATCATTAAGGCTAAGTTGAAGATCTGATAATTGAAAGGAAACCTTGCGCAGTGAAACATGAATGTCTTTTGATGAGTTCGAGAGATTAGAAAGAGAAAAAGAGAATGCATCAAGAAAAATACAATATTTATGTCTGTAATAAGAATAAGGACGATATTATTACTTCTAATTTATAACGAGAGAATTGAGATAAGACTATTTGTGACTTGTTGTTTTAATTGATGAGAAATGCATGTCACAGAAAGCATATATATGTCTCGTACTTTCCATCTCTTTGAAAACTAAGAAAGACGAAGCAATAATAAAGAAAAGAAGACGAAGAAGAGAAGAACATGATGAGCCCTTGTTGACAATAACTGACTGTGTATGTGTGTTACATATAATAAGCTTTTTTTTCTTCTTTGTCAGTTCTTTTTATACGCTTCTTTTTCTTCAATTAGACACAAAACTGAAGAGATTTTCTTTTCTTTCTTCTTGGATTTCATTTATTGCTCTAAGCATAATCTGTTGATGAAATAGAATTACCGCTGAACACGATATCTGTTGTTGTTGTTGTTGTTGTTTTGATGAAAAAATACGAACTATTCAGTGAACTAGAAAGTGTTTATTAGAAAGATAAGTCGTTCGGCCTTAGTTAATCTGATTGGCAAAAAAGAAGTGCTTGTACAGAAAAAAATGCAATCGATCATTTATTTTCCGGAGCGATGTCGAATGAGGCAACTAGCGAAGAATTTGTTTATTTCGTGATACTGCTGAGAGATAGATTTTCAAATGAATCATTTTTCCATTCTTATCATTGTATAGACAACTGGTAATAGTCTGTGATCGAGTGGAGTGACAAGTGACATACCATTTCTTTGATTATTGTTATATCAAGATTCGACAGAGCAGAGTTGTTCATCGGTTGGATTGATTAAACAATTGGAAGAGTAAATCTACAAGAAAATGAAAGACGCGACTTGTCTGTACCAAAGTCGAATGAATCTAAAAATAGAGAGAGAAAGAGGGGGGGAGAAAAGACTGTCTGAATAGTGAATGGTAAATCGAGATTCACAGCATGTCTTCACTCGTATTTATCAGTATGCGACAGATGAAATAAATATCTTAATCGTAATAACCTTGACTTTCTTTTCTATTCAACCGAAAAGAAATATGGAAATGAATTGGTTTCATTATTCATCTCAATTGGATTCAACTCATTAGATACATCGTTGATTATGCTAAGTAGCAGTTGACAAGCTATGAGAATATGTAATTATCAAGTTGGATAATGGCGAATAATCTTCAATAATGAATAGAAGACGAAGAGAATTCGAAAACACTGACTTTTGATATATATATATATATATATATTTGTAATTATGTTGAAATGAGACGACGCCTAGCATGAATAATATTGTTAAAAGCCGGAAATGAAGAATAATAGTTAATCTTTTCTTATTCGTTGTGTTCTTTTAGAAGCTCAAGAATTATTAATCGATATTTATGAACGACTCGATGATCTTGACGCTGATAAAGTAAATATAAAAACAAATGATTTTTTGTAATTCGACTTTCTTTTCTTTGTAGGCTGAGGCTCGAGCTGGAAGAATTTTGCATGGGTTGGGATTTACAAAGAAAATGCAACAAAAGAAATGCAAAGATTTCTCCGGTGGTTGGAGGATGCGTATTGCTCTTGCCCGAGCCCTTTTCGTTAGTCCACATCTACTACTACTCGGTATGAAAATGTCATGAAGTGTACTCTCAAGCGTTTTCCTCTCTTAATCTATCTAGACGAACCGACAAATCATCTCGACCTCGATGCTTGTGTTTGGCTCGAGGAAGAACTTCGAAATTATAAACGCATATTAATCATGGTATCGCATTCACAAGATTTTCTTAACGGTGTTTGCACAAATATCGTACATTTAACTAAAAAGAAACTTTTTATTTATGGTGTAAGTAGAGATTGAAATAGAAATGATTAAAGAAAGTGAAATGATTGGTTTTTAGGGTAATTATGATGCGTATGTTCAAACACGAATGGAATTGGAAACAAATCAAATGAAAAGATATCAATGGGAACAAGAACAAGTAGCGAAGACAAAAGGTTTTATTGCCCGATTCGGTAGTGGTAGTCGAGCTTCTCAAGCTCAAAGTCGAGAGAAAACATTAGCTAAAATGATAGAAAGTGGCTTAACAGAAAAAGTCATTCAAGAAAAAGTAAATACTTTCATTCGATTTCTTCTTTTTCGAAGTTTTCGGTATTCTCTTAGACACTCTCATTGGCGTTTCCTGATCCGGGAAAGATTCCGCCACCATGTCTAATGGTGCAAGGTGTTGCGTTTCGTTATTCGGATAATACTGTAATTTAATACTGCTTTTCTTCATCACTGGATAAAATTAACTAATCAATTTCAGGATTGGATTTATACAAATCTGGATTTCGGTATTGATCTTGACACACGTGTTGCATTAGTCGGTCCAAATGGTGCTGGAAAATCCACTTTATTAAAATTAATTGACAATCAATTATTACCAACAAAGGGACAAATCCGTCGTAATGCACATTTACGTATGGGTCGTTATCATCAACATTTAGCTGAACAATTAGATCTTAATTTATCGGCATTGGATTATATGATGAAATGTTTTCCTGATGTGACAGAAAAAGAAGAAATGAGAAGAATTATCGGTCGATTTGGTCTAACCGGTCGACAACAAATATGCCCTATGAGAAATCTATCGGATGGACAACGATGTCGAGTGAGTTTTGCTTGGTTAGCTTGGCAATGTCCACACTTATTATTACTGGACGAACCAACAAATCATCTTGGTAAGAAATGAAGAACTTTCAGTTAGTAGTTTTCAAATTTTCTCTTCGTAGATATCGAAACAATCGATGCATTAGCTGACGCCATACGGAACTTTGCTGGTGGAATGGTTCTTGTTAGTCACGATTTTCGTTTGATTCGACAAGTAAATATTTTCGAGAGAGATTTCTGAGAATTCGACTTTTGTTTCGTTCAGGTTGCCGATAAAATTTGGGTTTGCGAAAATCAAGAAGTTAAAGAATGGCCCGGTGATATTCTCAGTTACAAAGAACATTTACGACAGAAAATGCAAGCAGACTTTGCTCCAGCAAAGAAATAATACTCTTTACTTTAGGAAAAATGTCTCTCTTTTTCTTGTTATATTCACGTTCTTTGCCCGTTCTCTATTTGTTTCTTCGAATATCTTGTTTCGACAAAGTGAAGATGAATTTCATCGAGAGTATTACATCCTTTCCAACCAACTTAATAGAGAATAAACACGAATAAATGCTAAACATGATGAACAACAAATAATCAAATGTCATATCTATTTCTTCAGATAAGTTCTGGTTTTCATTGCCCTGACATACATAAAACAAAAACATCTCTCAAGAAGAAAATATTTACTATCGTACTTTGCCAGATGAACTCTCCAAATATGACTTTTTTTTCTCTTTTCTTATCGAAACATCTAATTACATCTTTAAGTCTTTGTTTTTTCCTTGCAAATCATTTTCTATTAACGAAGAAAATTCCACTGACATATGTTCAAGAGCATTCGAAAAGTATTTTCCTTTTGATTAATATTTCGAACAAGAACAAGCTGAATCGATGAGCATTTTAAATCATTTTGACTCTTGTTGTCTACATCCAGAAGTCTGGAATTTTGATCAGACTCTTCTGTGACGTCATATGTCTTCTTATGTGACTTGTCATACGAATCTCTCTTTTAGTTCAATATACTTTTACAAAGTATCAACATCACTGTGATGTTTACAGAGTAATCGAAGATTCGATTTACCGAAAGAAAAAAACCTAATTATTCCGAAAAATGATCGCGGAAATAGATGAATTTATTTATCAATTATAGAATTATTCTAATAGTTCTTTAGATTCACAAGGGTAAGGTTTATCAAGACTTTCCGTTAAGTACAAGTGATCTACGTAAAAGGAATATTTTACTTAGTTTTCTATAGATGAGAAAAAAAACATATCCTTCTGAGGACAAAGATCGGATATCTATGCATTGTTAATGAAAAAGTACGATTTGCTTCCTCCGGCTGAAACAGAAATAATCAAAATAATTTTGAATTTATCTGCTATAGGAGAAAAACAGTTAATCGATCGATGACAGGAGTCTGTTAATGTGAATGAAACGGATCTCTTAATACGTATTATGTTAATTTTTCTTTTCCTCGATGTTTAAAGAGAAAATGTTTTATTATTTTAGAATAAAAATGTTGTGAATTTCATTGAAAATCAATTTAATGGGCCAGTGAATAGAAGTCTATTGTGATTAAAACCAATCATATGATGTCAAATGTTATTTATGCATTCAGGTAAACGTGTACTGTCATTAATTTTCTCGTTGATTGCCGCGTTTTCACGCTTCTCACCACCATCAAAGATTTTTACGCTTTTCGATAAGAAAAACGCCGTGAATTAAACAAATAGAATGATTTCATCCCTACAAATCGGTGCATACTGCGAAAAAGCACGTTTGAAGCACTCGACGTCCGTCACTTAATTAACTCAATGTAAGTTTAGTGTTTAGAAGTATGTTAGATAAACAAGAAATGTGTTGTATGCAAGATACAGTTAATGATAATTGTACTTTTCGTCAGGAAGAGAGCACACGGTTCGTACGCATGATGGTACATCGCGCTTTTCAATGTCCTGTTTTTGAAAGTGAATAGTATGTGTTTTTTATTCGGAGTTGTGTATGTTTTTTAAGAGAAATTTTTGCTCGTTAAATTCGAGGAATTTATTGCCTACTCACGCGATATAGAAACGGGTGTTCTTCAGTAGCTTTGCGTCGATGTTTATTTTTCTATTAATCATTTTGAGTTTAACGTGATAGAAAATGAACGACTCGATGTTTATCTCGAACAAATCAGTGTTAAATAATGGAATAGTTTTATTTTAGAACAAAATAAAGGAGAGAGAGAAAGACGGTATAAAATAAATTCATTCTTCGTATGAATATCTATATGAAAGTAATCAAATGGTGTGAAAATAGAACCGTATGTATATATTTGATTTTTGTTCACATATGACGGGTATTACCAAAGATGATACCGGATTGTGTTGCGCCTTTGTTGTAACCATATTGTGTACTGATGATGGTGTTACCTTGGTTGATAGTTTCAGTTGAGAAGGTTCGTTCGTTTCTATCACTTTCCTTGGGACCTAAACCACGTAGACCTTGTTTTTGTGCCTATAGGAAAGAGCGAAATGAGATTTCCGTTTTTTTCGAAAACAATGAAAATGTTTACTTTTCGACCGAGAGCGAAGAGACAGAGGACGACTTGGTGAAGATTCATTTTTTCGTAGAGATCGACTGTTTGGAAGATTTCAGCGTCAGATAATCCATAGGCTTTAGCTGCTTGAGCGAAGCGAGAAATGTTTTCCATAAGTTTAAAACTATTTACTCCTAAAAGAATCGATCAAAATATTGATCATCGAAGACATTATCCTACCTTCATTGATCTTTGATACTGAGTTCGGGGAAATTACATTGATTAGTCTAAACAAATTCAACATACTTCATAAAACTTCCTCGAACAAACAAACGCTTGGTACCGGCAAAGTTTGCGACCATCTTTCAATTGTTCATGAACATTATCTGCATCGCCATTTGTATCGAATTGTTCGCCGATCATTTCACTAATCCATTCTAACGCTTCATGAGCCTGTCCAACGTCATATTTTGATTGAATCTGTTGATCAAAAGCAAATCATAGTCGTATTAGTCTCTTCTATTAATGATTACGATTCACCCACTTTTTCCCAAGCATCATGAGCTAAACCAGACTTTTGCGCACGCACTACACTATTCATGTTTAGAATCGAAGATAGATCAAATCGAACTCGGCAGATATGTCTGTTAACTTTTTCGTAAGTGAATGATGTTCCTCGTCATATATGACGAGAATGAAACCACTCGGTTGAGTGGGCGGATGAATCGTGTTAGTATGTATACGAAAAGAAAAGATAAAATTCGAAGAAAAAACAACGCAAAACATTCTTTACATAATAGGAAACAAAGGAAATGCTTTTTGTCTGCTTTGTTAGTTAAACGAAATTGAATCGCTATGAAAACTATGTAAACAAAAGATTTCTCACGAATTTTCTGATGTTATGCGAATGACAAGAATACAGAATGTTAATATTTTCTTTATACATACTTTGTCGTACGCTTCCTTCGCAAAACCGTGTTTTTCTGTTCGATTCGCCATGAGTTTGTTGTGTGTTGCGTTGCTTTACAATGAAAACAGTTAACCTGAGGTATTTAAGAGAAGAAAGAAACAAAGAGAAAAAGTCAAGGTGAAAATGAAGATAAGAACAATTTGTTTTGGCATGCGGAGGCGTTGTATCATAAAACTGCATCATCTGCCGAAGACTAACTTCTTAATCTCAATAAATAACCGCTCAATCAGAAACCAATTGTTTCGATTCCTTTGTAAAGAAAAAGGCACAAACGAACAACAGAATCAGCATGATGCTTTATTCATAATTATCGATAAACAGACCAGAAGGAAAAGAGAAAAATGAACGGGAAATCATATTGTAGTTTTCTCCCTCGGAATATTTGCTCATATATATATGTTTATAGATTTTAGTTGGAAGTTTATTTGCCAAGATCTGATTCCGATGACATCTGTGAAAAGATGTAGAACATCTTTTACTTGTTGGCATCCATTGTTACCCACGTTTGCAGCTCGACTTATTTTTGCTTTTCGAACGTTAATAGGAATTGCTGTAAGTGGATTGAACTGAAACTGTTGCATTTCTTTCGTAATTGTTCTCATTTGAAGTGTTGTGCAACGCTCACTCTTTCTCCGGTTACGTCCAAGGCAATTCACGGACAACTGTTATTAAGTATTGGTTTTATCGTGGCGATTAAAACTACACTTGGAGAAACTATTCAAACAGCTTGTCGGCTCTATTTAGCTGGTGGTATTGCTGCGATCTACTGTCTATTCATTGTGCAATTATTTCCTGCAGACATCTACATCGCTGTTGGTGCGACAAACATCTTTGTTCTTCTTATCGTTTACACTGATCTACCAGTAACCGTACGTCGATTTTCAATCTTACCTACTTGTATTATACTTTTACAATGGTTTAAAAAATCTCATATAAACACAGTTTACATTCTTCACGCCTGGGCATCGTTATCAATCGGTTGTAGTTTGGCAGTAGTTGTCTCGTGTATTCCATTACCGTTGATTCCAACTGCGTATCGTGAACTGACTAAGAGAATGAAATTTATTGCTGGACAAACTCGCCGTGAAATAGCCGCCACTGTTTTGTTAATATCGGAATATCATAATATTCATTTACAGAATAGTTATAATCATGAAATGGATCGACATAAGAGTGAAACTGATGGCCGTAGTGAAGATGAGATTATTTTGCCAACTAATTCCTTCCGTGAAGATGATCTTTATGATCATTCGACGTCATTTGAAAATCTCAAGGATGATCATCTTTTAAAAAGTGATATTCAAGATTTGCATTTATTAGTCAATGGTGAAATTAAACATATGCAACGTGCTTTAGAAGAAATCTCATATGAACCGTATTTTATCTATTTAAGAGCAAATAATCTCATACGACGCGTTTTGCGTCTGATTCCATATTTGAAGAAGTTTGTTGACAAACCATCAACGTTGGAAAAACGATTAGAAGTTTGGGCTGTTTGCTTTGCTTCGTTACAGCGAACAATTACTGGAATGCTGTCATTAGACCATCATCATCATGCATTTGTTGGTCAACGAAAGCTGATTAATGTAAGAGAAAATCATTTTCTTGTCGATCAATTTGTGAACTTTGTTGCTTAGGCGATTTGCCTTCTACTTGACTCAACATTTCATTTTCTGGAGTCTGTACTTCCATATACAATCTCATCAGAACGACGTATAAACATCTCGAATACGGTTACGTGTCGTGCGAAAGTTGAAGAAGCACTAGAGCATTTCTTTGAGACCTACGCTCAAGTACGAGAAAATCGTTTTCATTCAAACATGTCCAATACTGATTCGATACTTTTAAACACTTTTCTTTTGCTCGTCTTACGTCTTGTTCACGTTATTATAACAGCTGCTGAAGCAAGTGAGACACCCGGTGTACGTCTTGACAGCGACTTGGAACAACCAACAACTGATTCTCCATTGTTGAATAAAGAATCTCATTGGAAGACTTATTTTCGTGATCTGATCGATTATATTGGTTTAAAACCATCATTTGGGAAATTTATACGTGCTTTCAAAACAAGTTTAAGTGTTCTCGTGTCAGCAGTCGTTGTTTTGAAATATCGTGAGCGTTTACAAGCATATGGTTGGGTTTATTGGGCACCAATGACTACAGCATTAGTCTCTGATTCTTCCGAAGGTGGAACAATTCGTTTATCAGTTCAGCGTCTCATGGCTGTTCTACTCGGATCAACCTATGCGTACGTTATTGTTCTTGTTGCTCAAGAGGAACTGGCAGTTGGTATATTTATATCGATATTCGTTGCATTTATGGGTTACATTAAAACAGATCCACAAAAAGAATATTTTGCAAGTGTCTGTGCTCAATCAGCATCGATTATCACATTTATTTCCAATCAAGAAGGAATCAAAGAATCGAACAAGGCAGTACTTGCACGAACAAGTCTGACGTTTTTAGGTATATTCATCCATGTGATAATTTCCAATCTATTCTTACCTGTTTCTGCACGAGGATTAATAAAAAAGAAAGTAAGAAACATCTCCTGTTAATTTTTTACATCTATGATGAACATTTTTTTAAGGTTCTAATGATGATCAATCATGTTTCTTCAGCATTGAAGATCGCTACCGACGATTTTTGTTCATTTATCGAACCAAACACGGCAAATTCAAATATAGCAGATCAATCAACATCATCATCAAAGAAAAAACCTTTGTATTTAACCGACACATTGTCCGAAATTGAATTGATCACTGACGATTTTCCCGATTTACTTGAGGAGGCGCTTAGTGAGCCAAATCTCTGGAAGCGTCCATTTGCCGAAGTCAAAGATCGATACGATGACATATCGAAAACATTACGTCGAATTATCCTCAATATTCGATTTGTTCATCGATGCACAACAATTCTCAAAGCAGAAACCAAATTACATCTCGCACAAGAAGCAAAGTAAGTTCATTCTATCAATCAACAATGACTTTCTCTCACATATATACTCTAATTAATCACTTCAAACCTTATTTGTTAATTTCACCTTTTTGATTAAACACTTTTTCTTCGTAGATGGCAAGTTCGTCAGCCAAATCTCGTACCTATGAATAGCAACAATTCAAATGCCGACATGCGAGCATCTCATGCATGGACAATGACGGAATTGCGTAAACAAAAGCAATTACAAGATGACCTTGATATTCCATTGACAATTTTCATGACATACACTCCCCGATCCTCAGCCCGATTCGAAAGAAGCTCTATTATATCGAACAATTCACTACCATCACTTCGAATGACAAACACCGCATCTTATCAACCTGTTCTTCAACATATCTCTGCACTGGAACAACATATCCAACAGGTTCTGACATACACAAGACAATTACTCGAAGAACAAGCGACTGTTGATGTTGGTGCATTTGAATTGCAACAACTTTGTCGCGAAGATTCATTTGATGAACGTGCGAAAAAGCCGAATGAGAACAATAATCATCACCGCCGTTCATCATTTAAACCTATTCGACAATTTCAAGCAATTCCACTTTCAACTAATCATTACAAATTCTTTTCCTGTTGTCATTTCAGTCAGCAGCAAGACAATCAACCTTTGCCATCCCTTCGTCAAGCAGTTGACCTGATGCTTGCAGCATTAATCCAATTTCTTTATGCGAACAATCACTTCATTCGAACTGAACTAGTGTCTACACAATCCATTGGAGATATTCTTGCTTTTCATACGTTATCCTATGCGTTGAAAGATATGGTTGAAGCGACAACAGATTTAGCGAAGAATGCGCGAAGAATAAAACATATCGATACGCGAACATTGACATATGAAGAGAGAAGTAACTGAGACGACAGAACACTATTATCTAGTCTATTACATTCGATGGACAATCAAATTTATAAGTCTCTCACAGTTTTTCTGTTACCGTCTGAGCATTGTTTCTTTTGATAATAAATTAACCTTAAATGACTTATTCTAGCGACCAATAGTTAAAGTTCTAATCTGATTTCTTTTTTTTTCTCTCTCTATGTTTCTTGTCGATGGCAGATGAATTCTTTGAATATCTAACTGGCTATCGATCCTCGTGCAAATATCATTGTCAAGGAAATGTGAACATTATTCTTTCTGCACCACATGGAGGAAATCAAATGCCCGATGATGTATCTGATCGAACGGAAGGTATATGTAATGATCAATCAGAAGTTCGACGTTATCGAACGACGGTGGTGAAAGATTCTCGAACTGATGAATTTGCTGAAAATGTTGCGAATGCATTAAAATCAAAGTGGAACTTCAAACCATTTGTTATTATTGGTAAATGGCATCGTATAAAAGTCGATTTCAATCGTCATATACATGAAGGAACATTGAATCATTCAGAAGCAATATCTGCTTATCATAGTTATCATTCGTATTTGAATAATGCAATTGAACAAGTTAATCAATTGTTTGGAAAAGGACTTCTTATCGATATTCATGGTCATTCCAAAGGAAAGTAAGGAAAGATTTTCAATATTCTAGGAAAATTCCAGACTTATTCTTTTAGTTATGCTATGATTGGATATACGCTATCGAGTGATCAATTGAATCAAGATGATCTATCGGATTCTTCGTTTCAAACATCGATCGAATCGTTATGTTCAACAAATCGTAATGAATGTATTCGTGGTGAGAATTCCTTTGGAAATATATTCGAACGAAATGGTTTAGGTATCGCTTATCCCTCATTACTCAATCCAAAACCGGAAGAGCGAACATATTTTGCCGGTGGATATATCGTTCGACATTATTTATCGAAGATCAACACTATTCAAACAGAATTAGCGTACAGCACACGGATGGGACCAGATGCGCTTGAAAATGCACAACTTTTTGCGCAAACTATTGTAGAATATATGAATAAGTATAATTTGTTGAAATCACGATAAGATTTCGAATCTTGCAGAGTGTTATATCTGATTGAATAGTTTTTTGTTTCTCGTATTTTTCGTACGGAAAATAAAATGCATAGGGAAAAAGTGCTTTATTATATAGAAAATCAAAGAAATTTTCCTTTAAACTTAAGACATTCGTTTACGGAGAAATCGAAGTGCCAATCGCTTTTTCAATTCTCGTCGGCGTAATGTTTGCCGTTTGTTGTCCATATTATTTGAATTGTATTTCTTCATCACTGATGCCAATCGTTGATCATACTCTGGACAGTATGCAAGAAAAAGTGTTGGGTCTAATTTGGCTAAATCATGATGCTGGACAATCATATTCATTCCTTGTTCACAAAGATTCTCGCGTGACTCAGTAACATCATCATCTTCGTAAACATCATCTTCTTCAGCATCCCAAGTCGCTTCAGCATTGTGGTGTTGTAAATCGTGATCTTTGGACAAAGAATTCGATGTTATCGGTACACGAGCGTTGACAATTGCGGTTAGAATGAAAAGTAGAAAAGTGCAGGACGAAAGATAACTAAAAGCGAAATTAAAATGTCAATTCAGCATTGGTGACAAGAATGCTTACTGCATTATTCTGGTTCTGCTATGTCTGTGATTTGCAATCGAGAATATTTTGTTGTTTATGGAAAAACCTTATATATTAATCACGAAAGGAATAAATTAAAAACAAAAGGAAAATATTAGTTCAATCAAGCAGACAAAGGAGAAAAAAAGACGTTTTTGACATCCAACTCGACAAAAACACGACAGACCAGTAGTAATAATATATTCAAATTTCCTTTTCTATGGCTTTATTGGATCGTCTGTTTACATCTAATAAACAATGCTAATCACAACATTCGATCTGATTATCTTTCCTTCTTTTTTTTTCATTTTCAAAGTCTTGATCTTGGCATGGCAACTAGATGCGAGTATGGCGACGACGAGATATTGTTTCCATTGGGTAACGAAGTACATCCACAAAGCATCACGGCAAGTTTAAATTCCCGTTTGAATATGTCGATAACGTCAACTACACCTTGACATCCACCGACAGCTAAGCCCCAGAGGATAGGTCGACCGATGAGTACCGCGTCAGCTCCGAGTGCTACGGCTTTGAGAATGTCCGTTCCACGACGAACTCCTCCATCAAGATAAATATCAACTTTTTTCGTTGTTTCGATTCGTCGTACAGCGGAGACAATTTCTGGTAAAACTTCAATTGTGCTGAATGTTGTATCGATTTGACGAGCCCCGTGATTAGACACAACAATTCCATCGACACCAGCTTGGACGGCTAATTGAGCGTCTTCAGCTGTCATGATGCCTTTGACAATAATCGGAAGTCGACTGATTTGACGTAACCATTGAATATCCTTCCAAGTTAACGTTGCATCCAGATTTTTTGCAATGTAATCATTTAATGCTGAATCATGTTTACCGTCTGCTTGTTTTAAGCCAGCATCATACAGATTTTCCAACTGCATATCTGCTGGTAGACGAAAACTATTTCGACGATCAGCTTCTCGATTACCGAATCGTGAAGCATCGACTGTAACAACGAGAGCACGGAAGCCAGCCTTTTCAGCACGTTGAACCAAGCGCGTGGTAAATTCACGATCTTTGAGTATATATAATTGAAACCATAATTGTGATGTTGATTGTGGATATTCTTTCAGCGCTTTTTGATGCTCGTCAGCTACATCTTCGATCCGTGTAGTCGAAAGTGTTGAAAGAATCATCACGGTATTCGCACGAACTGCAGCACGTGCTGTACTTCGTTCACCACCTTTATTATCAGCCATACGATGCATGGCTGACGGTGCAAACAAGAGGGGAAATGAACATTTTGTTTGACCATTTAATAATGTCACCGAGCAACTATTTTCATCTCTGTCATGATGAGCAACATTTACAAACACTCGTGGACGTAGTTTGATTCGTCGAAAAGCATTAACGTTGTCTTGTAAAGTTAATTCATCATCAGCACCTGCTCGATAATAATCATAGACCATTTTCGGTAGTTTGGCTTTCGCTGCTTGATGATAATCTTCAACATTGATCAAAATCGGAGCGATTTGACCAGCGCTTGTATTTTGAGCGATTGTGTTGTCCAATACTTGCTTTTCGGACATGATTCGAACGACGCAATTTATCTAATGTTGATTCGTACCTATAGTCATTTATATAGTGTCGATAAGAGACTATAAAGATATGTGTACTACTTGCGACCTCCCTATGTCCCCACATCTGATTTCGATTGGTTTGAAACATGTGTGAGTTAAAAGAACGCCAGAAACTTTTTTGTTTTGCGTATCAAATCTACGAATTATCACGATAATCTTTCTTAAAATAAATATGTCAAATTCTAGTCGAATTTGTATTATCGGTGGTGGAATAATAGGCGTTTCGATTGGTTTTCATTTGTCCGAAGCTGGATGTACGAATGTTACAATAGTCGAACGAACAAATATTGCTTGTGCTGCTAGTGGACGTGCTGGTGGATTTCTTGCCAAGAATTGGCGTACGGGTGCTGAGGGAAAGTTTTCTGAATTGAGTTTTCAAGCTCATAATGATCTGGCTAAACGTTTAAAAGAAGAATTCTCTACTGATGTTATGTATCGTCGTTTAACGACATTAAATTTATCAATAAATGAGGCAGAATCATCGACAAAACGAACAGACAGCAAATCAACGCTACCGAAATGGGTAACGACCGAAGTTGACGAACAGGAAACAATAGGAAACGAAGAAACCACAGCACAAATTCATCCTGGGTATGAATTTGATAAAATTACTTTTCTTTTCAACTAATCTCATTTTCTAGATTATTGACAAATGCTCTAGCGAAAATTCTGGAAAATCGAGGTGGACGAATCGTAATCGGAAAAGCAAATGGTTTTCTTTTTGAAACTATTCCTACTCATACAGATAGAGATGTTCATCATCAAACATCACCGGTACGAGCACTGAAATTATTAATTGAAAACCAAGATCCAATCGAAGCTGATATTTTCATTCTTGCCATGGGTCCATGGACTTGTAAGAACACTGGAAATACATCTTAGATCTACAGAACTCGTTACTTTAGATCAAGCGGCACCCTGGTTCCGAGATGCAATGGTATTCAAAGAGAATATTTCTCACCAATTAGACGCCATCAGCGGTGTAAAAGCACATAGTATCATATTCAAAGGAAATCAGCCGACCGAACCCTATGCATTCTTTCTCGCATATGAATCCAATGATGGCACTATGACCGATCCAGAAATCTATCCACGACCAAGTAGATTCTTCCTTTTATTGTGATATTTCGAAAGAAGAGAGAAATTTTTGTATTCAAGACGGTGATATCTATGTATGTGGATTTGGAGAGAAACCTTCACAGGAATTACCTGACGATGCGAATGCGGTACCAATCAACGAAAAAAGTTGCGATCGTCTTCGCGATATTGCTGTTCGTGTTGCATCAACATTAAAAGATGCGAATGTTGAAACCAGACAAGGATGTTATCTACCACAATCGAATGATGGAATTCCTCTGATTGGACGTCTCTATGGATTGAATAATGTCTATATTGCTACGGTAATACGAGAATTCTTATATGTAAATGTTTCCAATGTCTTCTCTTGTTTAGGGCCATAGTTGTTGGGGTATTTTGAATAGTTTAGCAACCGGTGCTCAATTGACACAATTGATATTAAAAGATGAAATGTCTCCCTACTTGAAACAATGCGATCCAAAGCGATTCTTTCAACGTGCAAGTCATGAATAGACTGAAATATTTGTATTTTTCTATAACAGATCTTACTGATGAGGATTGTAGATGAATTTTTTAAGAAGAATAAACAAAAATTTGAGAACAGACAAAGTTTCTCTAAAAGTGGAAAACCTTTCTTCAACATCTGCGCAATTTAACCGTAGTGTTACATGAACATCGCAGACAAATCATCTTTGAAACCTCTGAAACAAAAAAAGAATATTTTCACACATAGAAAATCCTGTACATAATCAATTGAATTATATGTAATTAACTTAGTTTCTAAATTTATCATTTTCACAAATATACTAGTTTCATTCACACGTTTCGACTACACTCGGAAGAATTTCATTACCAACATGAATGATATTTCCTTGACTCTCGTTGCGAGAATCTTGTTCACCCGACTTTAACAAATATTTATCATGGAATATATAGTTGTTATTTCGCTGGTTACAGAGAAAACAAAGAAATGTTATTTCTTTTCAATGACATCTGTCAAAAACAGAAATATGCTTTTCAAGTACATGACAATCATTGATAATCTTCAGATATAATTCGATCCACTGGATCGGATTCAATGAAATTCATCGAATTTGCAGGTCCTTTGGATGATTATTTTCCATATTCTCATTAACAACGACAATCCAAATATGAAAATTCTCTTTCTCAACGACCAAATTGATTAATCTCCGATAAAAACCGAGTTCTTGTTTCTTTGGTTAACCAAATGCTGTTTATTAATAACAGTATATAGAGAAACCCTGGGGTGCTATATATATAATTACGCTATTAGCACTTATATGATCCGTATCTTTGACGAGCGTCAATATTCTTCTCTTTCTTTTTTCGTCGAACGGTTATTGGATAAGATTTCCCTTTTGTTATTTCGAAAAAAAAGAAACTTGGATGAATATTGATTGACATTCAACTAAATTGGAGAAATCAGAAGAAAAGTAGCATTGACAAAGCAAATAGAAGATGAAGAGGGAGGAAAAAACAAAAGAAAAGGACCTTGGAATTTCTTGGGTTCGATCGCGGTTGCATTACCAATAAATATATATTAGTTTCCTATCAAGTTAGTATTTCCGCTGTGGAAATGAACAGAATCGTACGAAGAATGACGTGATGAGAAGAATAAGAACAAGAAAACCAGCTCGTTAAATCTTATTACAGACAAAGTCGAAGACAGGAAATATAATTCGTGAGAAATCATCGTTAGTCGAATGTTGAATGACACGGAAAAAGGAAAATGTCAACTCATTTTGTATACAATGAAACTACATTTAAAGATCTTGAAATTTTATTCAAATGTAGAGGTAATTAATGTTTTTCTTTGTCTTCATCCGTAATATGGTGAACTTCCAATGATGTGTTTTATTGCGACGAATATATTTTTCTTTTTCTGCTGTCTTTTCCACTCTTTCTTTTCTTCTCTTTCTTCTTCTTCTTCTTCTTCGCTCTGTTATTCCTATTAGTATTATCTCTACGCATTTCTATCTCTTTGAGCGTATGCGATATTGTGAAAGGGTAGGGAATTACAATCAAATCATACTTAATCTTCTTTTCAGAGCATTTCGATGTATTTTACTTTTGCCTAAATCTTAATTCATTCACTTCAAATTTACAGTATGGTCGATAAAAGTTACATTGTTTCACTTCTCGGTTGTGCCAATCTAATTGAACTAGTACGTATAGAAAAAAAAAGACGCTAATCTACTCCTGCACACAATAAATCGCTTCTTCTTCTTCTTCTTATCAGACATTGCTGACTGGTGGCTTTATTGCTGTTTGTGTAGCATCAACAGGATACGGTCAACTTGTCGATTCTTCTTCTAATCTTAGTCAGACTGTAAGTGCCGAAAATACGATGCAGTGATGTACATATATGTATCTGTCAATCATGTAATTTTTCTTGCAGAATAATGCTGATTTAACGATATTTTATGATATTAGTGTTTACACGATAAAACAAGCTGACCAAGGCATTTTAATAACAATCTTTCTTTTGACATTCTGTTCACTATTTGCTCATATTATATTTGCTTTTCGCTATCGATATTCTTGGCATCGTCTATCGACTGTGGTAAAAAAATGCTCGTCTTGTTTTTCTACTTACGTCGTCTTCATAGATATTTGTCATCTTTAGGTAGCTTTCCTATGTGTTATCTACGCATTTGCAATACTTGTTATATCTATACTTGTTGCTGTAAGTGAAACAGGAGACTGAAATCATATTCAACATCATTTTATTATTCTCTAGTGCTGGGAAGATAAAATGAGAAAACGATTAACGAATTCCTATGCCACAAATTCGATTCTCTCAACATCAAATGCTTCAATCAAACCACAGATTGGTTCAGCAGCAGCTGCAGCTGTAAGTTCTGTCGACCTTTGCTCTCAATGGCAAATCGTTTTCTTTTTTTTTCATAGACATTTGGCTTTGCAGCATGTCTTGCTTATCTTGCCGAAGCATTGATACGATTTCGACGTCTAGCAGACAAGATTCAAACTTGAACCATCCGTCCAGATTCGATCTCGAGCATTTTACTGTTGTTTCTCTTCGTGCAATGTTTTGTTCTTAAAGAAATATAGTTCCAAAATGAAAGAAATTATTTCCTATCACAAGGCTAAGCGCAAGGAATTATGACTTATCACTGATCAAATTTCTTCTCGCAGTACTCTTGCACAATAAGAAAATATTTTGTTTTGATTATCTGTAACATAATCTCCGTCGATCTGCCGATGAACTTGTCTTCGTCAATGTGAATATATATATGTATGTCTTTGAAGATGTCGCTGTCGTGCTTGCCATTGAGGTTTGTTATTGATGAGAGTAGAACCAATGGAAATGTTGAGTTGTTTCTTCCTTTCTTTCTTTCTTTCATCGTTATTTATTTATGATATTGTATGCCAATGAGTTCAGCGACCAATGAACGTGCTGGAAACGATTTATCTGTATATGAAGGTTTAGATTCATCTACCTTGAGTAATATAAATGACAATATGACAGAGGAAAACTATGAGCTTCTTAAGAATGACTATCCACATGCGAATGGCAATGATATTATCAATCGTGTATTAACCATTGTCGATCAACGTCTAGACGATGCTCAAGATTGTAAAAGTCAATTCAATAAGAATACGCTGTATCCAGCATTTTATCAAGTCCTTTGTGAAATAAAAAACAAAATTTGTAAGGCAATATAGATATTCTTGATTTGAAAATGATCGATTTTTTTCTATTTAGTACTTCATCGACGACATGACTCCGATGTGGGTAATGAACCATCTGAACAGTTGATTCGGGTTGATAATATGTTACATGCGGAAGGAATTTCCGATCGGTCTATATCGACGAGTTCGTCGGATCAATCGGATTACCAATCGAAATTCTTGCAGATAAAACAAGTGTACAATTTCGAGCTTGAAAAATATAATAATCAATGCGATGACTTTTGTTCACATGTTCGGACACTTCTGCGTGAACAATCACGAGTTCGACCGATTAGCGAAGAAGAAATCGAACAAATGGTGAAAATCATTCGAATGAAATTTTCGACTATTCAGTTAGAATTGAAACAAAACACGTGCGAAGCGGTGATGGTCTTACGTTCGAGATTTCTTGATGCAAGGTAAGAGAGTGCAGCTTTTCGCGATATATTTCGAATGAATTTCATCTTTATTTCAGAAGGAAGCGACGAAATTTTAGTAGATTAGCGACTGAAGCATTGAATGAATATTTCTATTCGCATCTGTCAAATCCATATCCTTCCGATGAAGCAAAAGAAGAACTCGCACGTCAATGTCAAATCTCTGTAGCTCAAGTAAGCACAACATTTGAAAGAAATGAATAAGAAGCATTTTGATTTGTCTTCTGTAGGTGAGTAATTGGTTTGGTAATAAACGCATTCGATACAAAAGGAATATTAGCAAAACTCAAGAAGAAGCGAATATCTACGCTGCTAAGCTCGCTTCACAGGCTACACGTCATCCCAACACATTATCTGATGGTAAAGTTCATACCTGTTTTTGATTAACTTACATATTTCTTTCTTTTTAGATTACTGAAGTCATGTCGATTCTAAACCAGATATCTTTCTCTCTGCATGTGTTTTTTTTTATTCGTTTCTCTTTGAATCTATGTATTGCTTCTCGTTGTTATATTTAATGCATTTTACAATTTGTTGTAATAGAAATATTTGTGAATCTATTTCAGATGACTACTGAAGATCAATTAGCGTCGTCTTATCATGTTTTAGCACCGTTGGAAAATGCGTTCTATACCAATATGAACAATCAAGGGCAAACATCGATGATTGATCGGATTATGTCGATTGTCAATGATCGATTAGACGATGCACAACAATATAAAGATGCTTTCGATCGGAACCCGATCCAACCTGTTTTGTTCGACATACTTCGAGAAATAAAACAAAAAAATGGTGAGATCGACGAATCTGACTTTCATCGCTAAGCAAATTTGTTGATTCTAGGTCTGAATATGCGTCAAATATCTCATGAAGATGAGTCTTATAAACAGGAATTAGCTCGTCTTGACACAATGCTTCTAGCTGAACGTATTATTGATCCGTATCCGAACGATTTACCCGCGAATAATTCTGTCGAGATCGAACATCCTGAATACGAAGAAAAGTTAAACCGCATTCGTCATTTTTATCATACCGAATTGGCTCAATTTGACAAAAATTCCAATGATTTTTGTACACATGTCATTACCTTAATTCACGAGCAATCACGTGTTCGGCCAATCACACCCGAAGAGATGTCTCATATGATTTCAATTGTTCGAAAGAAACTATGCTTAATACAAATCCAATTGAAACAAAATACCTGCGAAGCAGTTATGAATTTACGCACAAGATTTCTCGATGCACGGTAAGTGAACAAATGATTGGCAGTGTGAGTTCTATATTCGTTTGATTTAGACGTAAACGACGAAATTTCGACAAAACAACGCAAAAGATCTTAAACGAATATTTCTATTCACATTTATCGAATCCTTATCCATCGGAACAAGTCAAAGAAGAATTAGCCCGTAAATGTGGTGTCACCATTTCTCAAGTAAATCTCTCGTTTTTGAGTGTTCGTCGAAACAAAAAGACTTGTCTTATTTTAGGTAAACAATTGGTTTGGAAATAAACGTGGACGTTATAAGAAAAATATGTTGAAAAATGAATAATTAACATTCGATGTAGTCTTGTGTATATAAACCGTATTCAATATATGTATTCAATTGTTGTTTTTCTCTTTTGTATAATCATTTTATGTTTTCGAATCAAATTGTGTAATCAAAATAAATCTGAAAACATATTTGACAAAGTTTGTCGTTTACAAATGAGTGTTGAAATTGAAAGCTAAACGATTGAAACATCGAGGAGTTTTTGGAACATGAATCGAGTTGAAACTTGTCGATTGAACGGGAACTGTATGCTTTAGATGTGATGAACATAAAGCGTCAATATCCTGTTGACACGAGAGGATTATTTGTTGTTGTTTGTTAGAGAATTCTTCGAGTTTGGTTATGATCTACAATAATGATCGATTATGTGAGAGTTACAAGAATATTTTGGTTTACATTTGATCGAGTAGATGGACAGTTTGGATGGAGATGTTTGTCCTGAAGGATTTGATCGATTTTTTTTTCATAGAGAAGCCACATCTGAAATGATTGTTTAAGAAACAAAGTATTTTAGTGGAGAAATTACCTCATCTACTTTATTAATCAAATAATGCGAGATATACTTGGAAAAAATGGCGTGTTTTAATTGACATGATATTTGATTGAGATTTTCATCGGATTTACTCTTCGATTTTTTACTTGATGTTTCCATCGATAAAATATTACATAAAAACGAAATTAGTGGTCACATAGTAACGAGGATCAAATAAAATACTTCAAAATCTAAATAAGCATGACAATATTGACTCAATCGATGATTTTTTTATGAAACAATGCCTCATTTCATGCTTGTCTAGTTAGATAATTATTCTATTCATACGAATTGGACAGGTACTGACTTTTTCATGTGCATCTGCGAGTTTTTTCACGGTTAATGAAGAAAACATGAGAAACGTGCGTCTAAACTACAGCAGTCAACCAAATCAAAATATAATGTTTTGGTATTTGAAAGTGAAAATACTAAAGAAAGATTTCTATAAATTAATCTTCAGGTATAAAGTCATACCATACAATCATTGTTTAGACAAAGTTCGAATGAAGTGATAATAAAATACTCATGCGATATTGGTGACGAGATACTTCGAGTATTTGTATTCGATTTCATAGATAAATCGATTGAGATAAAGTTTTTTTTTGTCTTTATTAAATAGATTTATCAAGTGTTTTGATTGATGAAGAAAAAGACAAAATGATCTTGATGAAATTTTGTTCATATTACACAGAAAAGAACTCTTATCTGATCTTCTATATAATGAAGTATATTATGATGAATATAAGAATTTCTTTGTTTCATTCAAACAAAATACTTTGCAAAAGAGAATAAGAGAAAAAGAAAACAAAACAGACCAACACAACAAACTAGCACAACAATGAGAAGAAGAGAGAAAAAAGAAAGAGGGAGAGAGAGAGAGAGTGAAAGAAGAGATAATATCGTTTGTACATTTTATAAACAAAAATATGACAAGAAGAATGAACGGCGAAGAGCACCGAGTACAAAAGAAGAAAAAAGGTTTGTTGTTGTTGTTTGATGAGAGACGGAAGAGTTAAACTAATCTATATGAATGTATAATAAGCTATCTTTTGAAAAAACTTTTACATTATTGAGACATATTTGAGTTTCACTGTCGGGATATATGTATATGTATATATCAGGTAGAATAATATCGGTTAGAATCGACTAAAAGAAAGAAATTGATTGGATGATTTAGTTTATGTATACGAAGTGATTTACCGAAGCAAGTCATCGGGTTGAGGATGAAATGGAAATCGAAGTTGCTGTTGCTGTTGCTGTCTTTCAGCGTCAAGATTCAAACGACGAAATTCATTTTCACTATGTTCACGTAAGGATCGTTCACGAGAATGCATCCGCGAGAGATCTTCATGACGTGGTGGCATCTAAAATAGTTCAACGAAATAGTCAACTGAGTGTTCATTTTCAATCGAAGAAAAATCGATTTTACTTGAAGTGGATTAGCCGCAAGTGCTAATGACATGGGATCAAATCGAGAACTATTGGCTAACATAAATGCCATCAATTCACGTTCACGTGATAAGTTATGCATTGCTTCAAGACTTGCCATCGATGGCGATGAATGTGATTGTGGTGGACCAGATGAATGTAATAGTGGACCGGCATGAGAAAGACCTGAAATTATGATAAGTGTCATTTTATAGATATCATTATGGTATGAGAAATGTCTTACTTGAAAGTGAATTAGCAAATGGCATCATTGGCGGCGGTTGTAATGTAGGACCATTTGAATTATTTGTCGATCCCGATGCTGATGAATCATTATTATTTAAATGAAGATGTGTATGAGAGTGGGAATGAACATGTGAATGACTATGTGCACTATTAGAAGCATTGGCGGATGATGATGACGATGAATTTGCTGCTGATGACGATGATAGACCAGCTGAGGCGGGGGATGAAGTGCCAAATGGTGAAATCATGCTACGATAGCGTGGATCGAGCAAAAGAGCGGCTGTTGCCGGATCTAAGCCATTCGGAGATGGACGGCTAACATTAGCATTAAAATGTGATTGAGCAGCGAATAGTTGAGCAGCCGCTGCAGCTGCTGGATTCATTAGACGCAAACCCAATGGATCAAATTGACGTAGTGCGCCATTATCATGTGGCGACGGACCGAATGGTAATGAAAAATTTAATGGTGGTGGGCCACTAGCACCAGATCCAGGTGGTTTATGTGCGGATGAGAGAGCATGTAATGGCATAGGATGAAATAGAGAATTATTACGATTCATCAACAATGGATCATGATGTGGATTCAATGGTGGAAAGAGTGGCGGCGGGCCAGATGGATGAAGTAGAGGTGGTCCTTTATCCAATGAAAACGGTAATTTCTACAAAAGTAAATCAATGAAAAATACGTTTCTTCATTTTTGAATACGTACTGATAAATTGCGATCTTCTTGTTTCATTCCCATCATCATCATTGCTGCCGCAGCTGCAGCCGCCGATGACGGTGGTACTGATGGCATCGAAGGTATCGATGAAGTATCATGTTGTGAAGATTGTTGGTGTTGTTGTTGTTGTGATGGTTGCTGCTGCTGCTGCTGTTTCTCATTATTACTGGTTGATTGTGGTTTGCGACGGATACGTGAACCTCGTTTAAGCATGATATCAGTGCGTGCACAAGAGTTTTGTGATTTCGAACGATCATACACTTGCAATAAAACGATTCCTTCAGATTTATTGTAGCATTCTACGAGGGAGAGACCAAGAGATTTTTCAATTGTAAATGTTATAGCAAGCAAACCTCTTTCACATAACATTGGCGCAGGACCATCATCATGATTGACTTCACTAGTACCATTTGCTGAATTATCTGATGTATTGCCATCATCTGGTATATCCGTTGTTAGTAGATCATTATCTTTTGATTCATGTAACGATGATGGTATTAGCAATGGTGGGGGTGGGATACTTAGGGATGATGACGGAGTAACATCGCCACTGAGTATTGTTGGATGCATAGGTGTTGATTTTGATGTGTAATTAAGGCTACTTGAGTGTGATCGATGTGATGATGGAGAAACAGCTTCTTCTGTATTGAAAGAAAACGAAATGGAATTCATCTAGTTGATATTGCTTGTAAAGAAATTACCTTTTGGTATGCGTCGTTGATCTGGACTATGAATAGATGTTTTTGACGTGCGAGAAAATGCTGAACGAGGTGAAGATAATAATGATGGTTGTAAAAGATTTGAATGAGGTGTTGAATCGTTTGAATTTGTTTGCTCTGATTTGATTGCTGCTGATGATGATGGAGATACAATTAGATTTACATTGCTTTGTTTTGTGTGATCAATGAGAATCTTATTCGTTATTTTAGCCGGGCCACTACCAACAGAGACTGATGTTGGCGAACTAATTTCTTGTTTGCATGTTGTCGAATTGATTATCAATGATGGTAATGGTTGAGAAAGTGTAGACGGTGGTAAATCATCTGTTTTAATTAAGAAACCTGATGTTGTTATCGGAGGAGTTGATTCTGATGGTTCTGAAATCGAGAAAACAGTTTGTTTTGTTCAAATTTAGATGGAATGAAGTCATACCTAGTAGTGGTTTTTCATTTTCTTGTTCTTCTGCTTTGATTCCATTGTTGACCGTCGATTCGTCTTTGCCGCTATCTTCTTCGTCTTCGCCCTCTTGTTTGCCAGATGATGTTTGTTCATTGACGCGAGTTTTCTTTTTCGATCGCGTCAGAGATACCTTCGTCGTCTCTTCCGATTTGTCAACAGTTGGTGTCGAAGACGCAGGCGCCGATGATGCCGATGGAGTTGGCGATGACGATTGCTTCAATTTGTTTCGTTTTCGTTTACTACCTGTACTATTACTTGGACTTGTTTCATTCAATGGTTTGAATAGATATGGTGGAGGTTCTTGACTAATGATTGGCATTTCGCCATATTTTTTATAATACATGCGGCAATCGTAACATAGTTGTTGACTATCACGTCCACCTGCTTGTAAATCTTTGGACGATGTTTGACAATGTCGACAAAATTGTTCATCGGCATCTGTTGCATTGTTATCATCATTGTCGGAATTATGCTCAGATTCGTCTTTATTATTTGCTTTCGCATTTCGTTGTTTCGCTGGTGTAGGAGTCGTCGATAGGTTCACCGATGTTGAACATGGACGTTGTCGACGACGCGGACGACTTGATTGCGCTTGTGGAGTTTTCTTCCAAAGATAATAAAACTCGACTAGATCGGATGTTTCTTTGTGCGGTAGCTGTTCTTTTCGTATGCGATAAAAGTTTTTTCCATATTGTCTCAAGCCTTTGATGAATTTCTTCTGATCATCATCTGACCATTTTCGATCGATACCTTTCGGTATTGGACACTTTACTAATGATTGTATAGCACGTTTACAATCATAATCGTGATTATGTAAAGTATTTAATGCATTAATTGTTGTGTCATCACGTTGCGCGACATCATACATATCTTCTGGTAAACCTCGATCGCACATTCCAGCGAACGCGGCAATTGATCTCGCTGCTTGTAAGTACATAGATAAATCAATGTCGGATGTTTTATTCTTCCACAATAATTCTTCAGGCAAAGAACTTGGCATCTCATCATTAAGACCGTTTGTTAATGTTGAGGGTGAATAGGATTTCAAAAGTGGTAGTTTGGCTTGATGCGATGGGCCAACACGAATTTCACCTTGCGTGTTCGCCAGTCTGCGTGCTTCCGGGTTATATGTTAAAATATAAAAGAATGTATCCGGATCGGGCTTGAATGCACGAGCTTCTTCAATATCTTGGTAATGCGCGACACGGCACCGGCCTCTGAAATTGAATATAAAAATGTTTAGACAGACAAAACAAATCTTTGTACATAGAAAAAGTGTACGCATGTTTGTAAGAAGTACACATTCTTCAATCTCCCTCTCTCTTTTCCTTGTCAAGAGATTACAGTTGTCGGTCGTCATTTTTTCTCTTCTTTCTCTTCAGTTCTTTTTTTTTCATTCGATTCTCTATTCAAGTCAATAAGGTTTTAAATATTCTTCTTACTTAATGTGTACGGCCGGATAGAATTCTTTGATTTCCGATACGAATAATTCTCGACCAATAATATTCGGATCTTGTATTATACCAGAATCTTTCGTTTGTTTATCTTTAATTGATGTTGATGTTTGATTGTTACCCTCTTTAAGAAAGAAAATAAGATATATCAATAAGTAAATAAACAAATCTTTGTCTATATTAGATATATACCATTTTTTTTCTTTCAATAGAAAAAAAACAACAAAAAGCATCAAGTAATTTAGTTTTCTTTTAGATGAATGAACGGAAATCATGTCGACAACGACGACGACTGCTCTTCTTGCTTATTCGCACTCTCTTCTTATTTCTCGCACACACACACACACGTACATTCATACAGAATCAAAAAGGCAGTATGAGGGTGCACGATGAAGCAAACGACTCGACAGAGAAAGAAAACTGAAAAAAAGAGGAAAGAAAAAGAAAAGAAGACGCAGGAGCTCGCTTCAGTCCTTGAAACTAATCAATCATACTTCTGTTAGTCGAAGTACAGCACGACAGCTTATCAGGTGTAGATTATTGACATTTAAAAGTTTTTCTGATCGATTAAATGAAAAAGAAGAAGAAAAACGATGAATCTATATCAAAGAATACGTAAAATAAACAGCTACAAAAGAAAACTGAAGAAGAAAAACATGAATATGTAAGATCGCGTGTCGACACGCCCATTTGACCGATCTATTGAGAAGGGTGTTCAACTTCTATTCTCTTAACTCAACTCACAATTCGTCGATGAATTCAAAGCAATGTACAACACATACATATATGTACATATTCAAGCACAGCAATGAATATTAGTGCGACGCGCGAGTCGGCGTTGTCGCTCTACTGTGTATGTCATTAACCAGAAATTATAACATGCACACATACATACATATATGAAGAGGAACGATCAACTTGCCAAGTGCGATAAGACATATATATACATATATATTCATAGTGGAGTAAAAAAGCGAAGAAAAAGAACCAATAATGCTGATAGATATAATCGCATAATAAATAATATACATATCAGAAAGAAAACAAATGAAATTGATAATTTGTTGCTTATTTGAAATAATAATTTTTTCGTTTATTCTTTATAAATTACCTCCATTTGGACGTGAAGTATATGATGCAAAATATGCATGTTAAGTGTGAAAAGAAAGGGAATAAAACAACGCCAATCATAATGGACATACACAAGTGATAGAGAAGGAGAGAAAGAACAGCGTACATAGAGACACAACGAAAGAGTGAGAGCTCGTTGTTGCTAGTGTCACCTTAATAAGGAACAAACTAACGTCGTGTCACGGTCCTTCTCTTTCTCTCTTCTCTCTATACAAATATGTATGTGTGCATTCGTTCTCTAATTTCTTCTTTTTACTATACAATAGTGTCTTAAGAGCGTGCAATGGCTGCTGTTTGTTGAAGAGGAAGGAAAAGAAAACAACAAACGATGCATCCAACAACAATTTATCGCTCGTCATTAGATTGTTTTAGATAAAGATATATTAGGGACATTAGGTTATTGATTAGTGTGACATGAGCCACAACGGATACTCTAATGTATACAACAATGTTCTATCTCTTGCCGTTTAATGATAAAACAAAGTGTGAATATAATATATAGACATGTTTAACTCGAATGTTTTGCTTCTGATAGACAAAGAGGATAAAAGGTCGTTGACGAAAAGAACAGAAGAAGCAAAAAAAAACCTAGAAGAGATACCTCGATCAAGAATGATGCGAACATTCATATATAAATATATACAGAACGAGAAAAAAGAGTCAGTTGATCCGATTAATCAATCACTTATGGTATCGGATGTGTTTCTGTTTGTTCGGCTCGATGAACCCATACATATGCATACACAAACCATATAATGACACGAAATATGAATACCTGAATAAGACTCTCTTTTTTTTATATTTATGTTTCTTTTTTTCTTTTCTGTATATTTCTAATTGATGCGGTAGTGATGATTCGTTTGTGCTAATCATTGTTGTTATTCTTAAATAATCAACAACAGAAACGCACAGAAATTAAAGAAGTAGAAGAGAAAATACCGCATGATTATGATGGGGATAATAGATATTTCTTTTCTTCAACTAAGACTATAGAAAGTGAAAAATGATAATTACACAGACATGCCATCATATGTATGTAACGATAAATCAAACAAGACGGTGACGATAAATAGGAAACACATATTGATAATGAGTACAAAATAAAGCAAGAGCAAATGGCATCATATGGATATTTACAAGAAGAAAAGTTGATATTTTGTTTGTACTTCGTTGTTGCTTGCATACGCATTACTACTTAAAAGGATTTCTATTATTGTTATTTGAGTGAAGAGAGAAAGAGAGGAGAAGGAGAAGAAGAACGACTTGCCGCCATCACTCATCCGTCGATCAATGATTACACTAGACTGATTATTATCTGTGTTTCGTCGAGTCCTCCGTTGTTCGTCGCTCATTTTCACGCGCTATCTCCTTTCTATTCTCTCTCTCTCTCCTTCTTCTTTTCTTTCGACTCTCATCATTCTTCATCGATGAATTATATACATTCTAACAATAATTTGACAGTGGTTATATGTTTGGTCTCAATGCAAACGCGAACACATACATATCGTGAAAGAAGAGTGTATGTTATAGTTGAAGGCATAGACGACGAATGGAGAGTGGCTACAGAGAAAGAAAAAGAAAAAAAAGAAATTCTTTACACAACTATCACCAATGAGTACTAGATGTCAGTATGTCGAGCAAGAAAGAAAGAGAGGAAATCTCTCCACACATGCCGATCAATACCACTTGTCAATAGTACTAGTAGCGCTCTTATCTCTCTATATGCCATTGAAGAGAATTGAATTTTAATGATAGATGACTATGTGCTATGTCTACGACTAATTACATCGATTTATATGAAATAATAATAATAATCATCATAATAGAAATAACAATAATGATGATGATGATGATACTAGTTGCCTGTACTCACCTGTAACAGTGTGTACTTTTAAAAATATCGATGCATATCCAAAGAGGCAAAGTGAAAAGGAGAGAGGAGGAAAAAATCAATCAAATATATAAAATAAAAAAAAGAAGAAAAACGACACACGACACCATACATAACATCATCATGTCGGCGGGTATGATGTGATATTGTTCTTCTCTATTTGTTCCTCCGGCAGCTAAAGAGAGTAAGCAGGAGCTCCTGTTGAGAGACAAAGACCACGAGAAAAGAAGAAGAAAAGCGACAATAATGATAAACTACAGTACTTGATGCAAACATACGTGTGTCGAGTACATACTGCCGAGAAGAGCAATAAACAATCAGCACACATACACACTCATCGACTACATTACATAGATATATAAATAGGATGACGAATAGAACTTTTTAACCAAATAGAAAAAAAAAAAAAGAAAACATCAATATTACACTTCTGCTTACAACTATTGATTTTGTTTAGCTATTCATAGTCAAACTCAACGTAAATGAATCAGATTGACATATATTGTCTCAAAGATAATCTGTCAATCTTATGAAAGAAGGAAAAAACTGAAAGAGCATCTCTCGACGCAAATAGAGTAACGAGAAAAAATGTCGATAAAGCATAAGAACGTTAGAGAATAACTTACTTGACTAACTATGACAGTTACTCTTGTAAACTAGTAATCGTTGTAGTAACACATCATGGAATAAATACACATTGTTCTTCTGACGAAGATATGAAGAATGTGTTTATAAATGTATGATTATATACATCAATTTTCTTTTTCTTTAAACTTATCATATGGGATAGGAATGATGATGATGAATGGACTTGCAGGGACATTCTTTTCTCTATATCCAGGGATTAGATGAACGAATTAATAGAAAGGAAAGGAATGTTTTGTTAAAATTTACAATATTACATTTCGACACGTATGAATTTCTCAATCATTTATTTATATATCAAATAACTAACTTTGATTTAACTAAATGACAATCGAAAGAATGATTAGTAATCATTTGCATTCGTTGTTTCGGTTTTAACTGAAGACTGTTCGTTTAGATCTGCCTTAGAGAATAGAACGAGAAAAGAATAACATTTTACAAGAAATATTCTTATCGGATGATTTATATAGATAGATATTGACTGTCGCCGGAGATCGATGATGAGAAAAGTAAAATGTGACAATATAAAAACTCGATTGAACAAAAAAATCAGACTTACGATTTTCATGATATCGATCTTCGATGAGAAGATGGTAAAGATTAGGTGGAATCTCAGCTGGTCGATAATACCATCGAACTTCTAACATAACATGGTCTTTTCTTGTCTAAAAATGTCAAATAGATAAATATTTCTGTGGAATGATGGGATCACTTACTAAACGGAAATCCAAGATCGAAGCAATTGAGTAAGGTTCGGCTTGTTTATTTGTTTCCAGATAGACATGATCTAAATGAGAAACGATATGATACGGAAAAGTGTATGTGGATCGTTGCTTACCTCCAACTCGATAACAAATGCCGTTTTTATCAGTGTGCGATTCAATTTTTTCATCTTTAAATGTATGCCGGCTTGATTTATTGGTCGATGTTTGCCGAGTTGTCAATGGTTTATTCGTATTACTATTAGCCTGTGCACGAAGACGCTCTTCCAAACCTTGAAAATACATTCCAATCAAATGTTTATTGATTTCTTTCAGTTATTCTTACTTTGCTCATCCTCTGCGTCCATGTTTATAAATGCATACGGATAAAAAAATCTAGAAGAAAAAAAAATATTCGTTTTTTCTTGCTGTACACAATTAAACACTGTTAGGACGAAGACAATGAAAAAAAAATGTAGAATTCTCAATAGTCTTTTGCTTAAAACTTCATTTTTGAGTATTTCAAAGAAAATACGGCGTCGTCGTTTTCGATGGGACAACTCGTTGATCTTCAGGAACGGCATTGAATAACTTCGTCTCATGATTCGTAGCTGTATGAAAAGCAAGAATAGCAGCGATATTCCCACAACGATAGCAATAATTGGGTGCTGACCATACAGTCACAAGATGTTCGTCGAACATGAATTTAATACCTAGAAGAAAAATACGACAGACTGTCGAACGGAAAAAGCGAAAAAAAAGAATGCAAATTTTACCTTCTTGAACAAGTTGATGTGCACGACAAATCAAACTTAATTGATTATTATGCATGAATTGACTTGTTGGTTTTTCACCGAACAACCATCCTGCACCGCGTGGTGATATTGCCCACCAATCAATATCATCGGGATCGGACCACATCAAGTCACAGAAACCACCATGATGAGGAATTTCTTGATCACGTTCAATCGTGCGCATTTGATCAATTGTACCTATATTTGGTGAAAGTCCACCTAGAAAAACACAAATATCAACGAATCCAATCAATGCGTTTTTCCTTCGCTATTCAAATGTTTACCATGAATACATAAAACTTCATTATCAATCAATGCACCAATTGGCATAAGATCAAATAAACGACAACAAAATCTCCATAAATTGGCATTGCCATATTTTTTCATACATTCATCATAAAATCCATAAACTTGAGTTACTTGTCGTGATTCATGATTACCACGTAACAACGTTACACGATCGGGCCATTTAGCTTTGAAAACAAGTAATTGTGTCAATGTTTCTAAACTGTAGTAACCCCGATCGACGAAATCTCCCATGAAGATATACTGCGTGTCGGGCGGATAGCCTCCGGTACGAAATAATTCTTGAACATCATAATATTGCCCATGCAAATCGCCACAGATGGTTACTGGAGAGAAAACGGGTTGAACATTCGATTCTTCAAAGAAAATATCTGAGATAATTGTGCATAATTGTTTAAAGTCCGTTTCAGGCAAATATTTGCAATCTTTAATCCATTCAATCCATCGATCGATGTCTCCATTCGTATTGGAATGATTTTCAATCATGATCTGAAATAATAAACAACACAAATTTATTTATTAGAGGTTTTTTTTTTGTTTTCCGCAGTTCAATTTATTCCAATGAATAGAAAATGTTTATTTTTGTTATTCTGAATTGTGACTTTTCATTTAACGTCGACGATCTCGTTCGCGAGATCGTGAACGATCGCGAGATTGTGACCGCGAACCACCATGTGTCTTCTTCTGACGCCGTTGATACAGACGTTTTCGCAGGTCTTTCGAAATCTAAACACAACGCAAACTGTACAATGAAAAACTAACATTTCATCTTCACTTACTGGTTTCAGATGCATAAAATTACAGAAGCCACCACGAGGACAATCCCTAAGAAAAAAAAACACACCATTTAAGTTTATCAATACTCAGTTTTGAATATGAAGGTTAGCCATGCGTCTGCCCAAGATAAGTAAAGCCCTTGAAAAAATGTTCAATAAAATCATTTTACTCATATCTGATTAAATACCGTTTAGAGGACGAATATTGTGAACTCAACTGAAATAACAAGGCCATCTATAAGATAGGAATGAATGATTCACGATACAAAGGTGAACAATAGCTTACGGAATTCTATCAGAAGAAATATTTAGTTGGAAATTTGCTTGATAATGACAAGTTTCCTATCTAGAAAGCAATTCAAGAGTCGAAACAGACCTGTGCAAGTGATTTCTGTCAGATAAGGAAAGTTTTCCGGGAAATAACTGAGCTGATTACACTGAGAGGGTTCATCGAGTGGAATAGCAGAAAAATATCGAAATTTAATTACCCCATTTGATATTGTCGACAACAAGCTTCATGAAAATCAGTTACAGGACTTAATTCCGCATAGACAGCACGACCATCGAACCAACGATTGTTAAGATCAACAACAGCTTTTTCAGCGTCTTCTTCAAGATGGAATTTTACATAACAATTACCTAAATGAAAGGTATGAAAACACATGTCGGCGTCATTTCGAATCAGTTTACCAGCTAAATGTTCCGAAAGATTATCGCAAATGTTCATCTCTTCGATTTCGCCGTATTTTCGTTCTAATTCAACAAACAATTCTTCGAACGTATCATCGAAATGCTCTTGAATACGTTCTTCAGTAATATCATCGGCAATAAATGATTTATCGGCTTTTTGTGAACTATTTTCCAAACTTAAGTACAAATTCTTCAATAAGATGGTTTGACTGAATGTCGGTTTGTTGTGCAATTTTGAACAATGTTCACCATGTCGACAGGCACCAATTTTAAAGAAAAACGAACAGTTAACTTTATCTTTTTCAGTTCCGAATATCGATGCGAGATAGTCAGCCATTTATTTTAATTATCTTCAATATTTGACACCACGTTGTAGACGATGTAAAGAAGACGTGCAAATACAAAACGAACAAACACAATACGTTCTTTCTTTCTTCTATATCTCATCCAGAGAATATTCTCCGGACGCATTGTATTTCATTGGTCGAAAGTTCATAATAAAAAAACAAATATTTTCTCGTTCTACGGACGTTGTTATTTATCAAATAGGTAACCGAAAAATCACTGTGAAATGGGTTTCTTAGGCGTAACTGGTGCATTTGCACTAGTGTATGTCACTGCACGTTTCGCTTCGTTTCTCTATCGACTTCTTTGTCCAGTGAAACTCAATATACGAAAATTTGGTGAATGGGCATTGGTTACCGGTTGCACAGATGGTATTGGTAGAGCATATGCCATTGAGTTAGCTAAACGAGGTAGACAAATATATGATAAAAGATATGAACATTTGTGATTATTGGATATAGGAATGAGCGTGATTTTAATTAGTCGAACAAAGGAAAAATTAGAACAAGTAGCGAAAGAAATCCATAGCAAAAATGCCAATGTACAAACGAAAACTATCGCTGTTGATTTCACCAGTAAGACTAGTAGATTAATGATGTAGGAAGATCGAAGCGTTTTGTTTTATCTAGAAGATAACTCGATCTATTCAACCATTCGTGAGGAAATTCGCGGTTTGGACATTGGTGTCTTAGTTAACAATGTTGGAATGTCGTATGATTATCCGGAATTTTTTGATAAAGTAGAAGACAGTGCAAAATTAGTGAACAATATGATTCGATGCAATGTGGATTCCGTTGCCTATCTCACTCAGATGATCTTGCCAGGTGTGCATTTGCTATTACAAAGACTTTTTCGCAAATTCTTCCTCATTTATATTCGATATTTAGATATGCTACAGAAACATCGTGGTCTTATCGTTAACCTATCGAGTGTCTCCGGCCGACGACCTGTACCTTTATTAGGTCTCTATTCTGGCACAAAAGGCTTTGTCGATTTATTTTCCAGGTAAGTGAAGTATTGAGATTGCTTTAGAGTAAAATGTTCTTTTGTAGATCATTAGCTGCGGAATGTGCATCACGTGGTGTATTGATTCAATCATTATGTCCTGGTTTTGTAGTTAGTAAATTATCTGGTATTCGCAAGCCATCTTTATTTTCTCCAACGCCCGAACAATTTGCATCGAGTGCTATTGATCGTATTTCACTTCCATTTACAACCGGTTACTGGGCACATGATCTTCAAGTAAACTGTGTAACTTTTCTCAAATAAAATAATGTGTTTCATTTGTGCATTTAGGATTTTGGTCAATCACTCTTACCGGAGTTTCTTTCCAACAAAGTGACAATGTATGTTCTAGGTGGCGTTCGTGCTCGAGCATTGAAGAAGCGCAATCGTGCACAATAAACCAAAATCTCAGTTGACATTTTCAATTTTTCTTCACTGATTTTAACATTTTTTTGTTTTTGTACGTTCGCATCCGTGTACGGTTACTCTTAGATCTATCCGATGATAATTTCATGACAAACGGTCATATTCCTCTCTTTTCTAAATAAAACTCTTTTGTTTTGCAGCAGCCAACTCGAAAATTGATATCGGCTCTATGAGCTCAAAAACATCGACATCCATCTAACAAATGAATTAAATATAATTAGAAAAGAGTTATTTTGACAGATTTCATAATGTGTTAACTATTTTCTAAAGATAATTAAACATTAAATTCGATTTGACCTTGTCGTACGGCTGAAATATTTTCATAAGAAGTGAATTAGACGAAAGAAACGATTTGTTTATTATATAAACAAGTGCAAAACAAAACATTGAATGAGTTTTATATCGCCTGTTCCGCTTGTCTTCAAACAAATAAATCGAGTTAGGAAAAAAAAGTCAAGTCTGATAGAAATTATCCGGATGAATAGAACGACAAGTTATTCAAAGAAAAGTTAGTTAATAGTAGCTCATTTTTACTATAATTTCATATCTAGTTTCTTGTTGTTTGACTCCGACTGAAGCCCATTCAATGAGACGCTCAAGGCAATCTTATCGAGAGTTTTTATCTGAGTACGTACACTAATCACTACGCTCTTTGCTTTGATTAAAAAAAAAGAAGTCTGTCAGAGAAAACTTTTTCAATTGCGTATCCACTGAAATCGTCTAAAAGACGTTCTTTTTTATGTATTTCATCATGATATTTCCACGTACAAATTCAATTTCTTCGTCAAATATTATAATTGTATCCTTTGCATGTTGTTCTAACGGAAAATATCCTTTCGAAAAAATACTTCTCTTGACTAGTAGTCATTATTGTCTATTAAACCAAATAAAATCATTAAGATCAACCATATCAACTTGCTTGTGAAAGAACGAAACGTAGGAGAAGAAGAAGAAGAAGAAGACAGCGTATCTGTCTTGTCTAATCAATGAATGATAATGCATAGAAGAATAAATTATCAAGACTATTTCATGATGTCTATACATCATCGACATCTCGTTTCGGATGCATAAATTAGATTTTCAGACAGCAGCAACAACAACAATAACAGGATAGTAGTCATATTCGTTCAGAAAAAAAATGATGCCTAAGGATGCTTATGACCCCGTGTGTATACGTACATGTCAGTTCATATTTCTCATTCTATTGTCCATTCGATGGTTTATCGACCCATGACTAATTTAATTAAACAGACCAGAAAAATGAACTTGACTGGCAAACTAGATCGATATATTTGTAGTTTTTCATTGAAATGAAGACTGTCGTTACATGTTAAATGTACATATAGTTAGTCTACTCCAATCGTTGAGCTTCCTATTCATTCAATTAGAATCTCGATGTCGAAAGTATTCGCGCTCGATCGACATTAAGACATTTCCGATTTGTCTGTGACGGCCGAGAAGCAAAACGAATTAGTTTGTACTAAAGTATTGGCGACATTCTTTTTTTCTCCTTCTTCCCTCTCTTGTCTTCTCATATGCCGCTCGACATTTCTATTGTATTGAAAATTGGCTGAGTTCATTGTACACACGTATTCAATTCATCTCTAATTTTGTGCGACATACGCAGCTAAATGGAAACATGGCCATGATGGTGGAACGAAGAAAAGAACTAGTTCACACACATACTTTTTTGTGCGTATAAAAGACTACGCCTTCTGGTGTCTGTTCTTCTTTTTTTTTCTTCTTCTTCTTCTTCTTCTCTTCGTTTCTTTTTCCTCCACTCTGTGAAAGAGCGTTCAACCAATTTTTTTCAATGCGATGTCTGCACAAAAATGAGAAAAAGAAAGAAAATGTGTGTTCGCTATGCGTCGAAAGGATGCTTCTATCGAACTCCGCCAGTGCCCGTCGAAGATCAAGCGAGAATAATGGAAAATTAAATAGAAGCAAAAGGGAAGGATGACATGTTCAAAAAAGTCTAAGATTCAATCATCTTAACAGGTAGAAGGGTGTTATTAAATCTGAGAGATTTCTTTTCATTTGCTAGACTACAAAAGATTATCGAAGAGAAAGTAATCAGTACACGCTATCATCACTCTGCCACAAAAAAAAATCAGTAGAGAGAAAGAGAAAGAGAGCAGAAAAAAAGAATAAGAATGAGCGTCGAAGAAAAAAAAAAGTCCCGGAAGAGTGTGAGAAAAAGAAACATGGTCTTTCTCTTAACTTCTACTTGATGCACGTCATTCCTTGTTGTATCCAAAGATACATTGGACTATCGCCAATGACACTTGGATATTGTCTTCTACCAACAAATAATATCTGACTTTTGCTCCATTTCTCTCCGTTTTCAAAGTTCTCTTTTAGATCTAGTCACTTCATCATGGGTAATATCTCACCTCGCCAATCAAAATCATATCGTGATGGACTTAATCATCTCTCATCATCAACAACGACTGCAAGCACAACTACACCAACGCGTTCGTCATGGAAAAAACAATTGCAAATCATTAATGATACGCTGAACATCAAGAAATTTACTCTGCGACATGCGCATGGACGACACAAACGTTACCGAACGAATTTTGATGAAACAAACCATTCGAAGTTAGCAACATCAGTCACCACACAAAATTTTCCCGATCTAACTAAAACCAATGCGGAAAAATTGCTGAGAGACGAACACACCGAGAATAAATTTCCTTCAGACAATCATTTTACCAAATCATTTAGTTTATTTTCCATGAAACAACCAATGACAGATATAACAAATAAAGAGATTATGACAAAATCAATTACAGCGAATATTAAAGAAAAAGATGAGATATTACAAGAGCAACAACTGACATCGAATAGCTCGACAAAGAACTACAAACAGCAAGAAAAGATTTTACTGAAAGAAAATCAAACAACAGATGTTTCCATTCAATACAAACGACGACACAAATGTGAAATAACCACAGGTGAATATTCCAGCAACAAATTTCAAAAATCTTTTGTTAATCTATATTTTCACTCCTCCGTCTCCAGAGATTTCATTCGGGAGGGAAAATCGACATATGTCATGCTTATAAAGAAGTTTCCCATGAGTGATTTGAAATTCAAATCTCTGTTTGATTTGATGAGGTAGTCGACAATGAACAGAAATAGATTACATAATACACAGATTGAATAACGCAATTACTGATCAATCATTACTAAAACAGAACAATCCACTTCGAAAGTCTGAACTTTATCACTTTTTCTTTCTTTAGTATCCAATTCACTCGTTAATAAACGTCATTCCGCATTCATTGCTCCGTCATATCATTTATCAAAATCTCAATCACAATACTATCATCATCCCAATCATATTCAATTGTCTTCCTATACAACATTAACCAACGGTTTATCATCGAGCACGAAACACATTCGTACGATAGAAAAGCACACGACTCGAAAGACGATCATTCAAGCATCAACGAATGAATTACTTCGATGTTTAGGCGAATACTTATGTTCCTGTTGCTCACATTTATTACCCATCCTCGATCCATTGGATTGTATTTTATGGATAAAAAGTGCTGATCGTCAATTGATTCTACAAGGTTGGCAAGAACAAGTCTTTGTGAATCCGGCAAATATTGTTTTCGTCTATCTTCTCGTACGTGAAACATTAACATATGTTATCCCGTCGATAACAATTAAAAATGTCACGGAATTACATGCGATTATCTTAACGTGTTTATATCTCGCATTTAGTTACATGGGAAATGAAATAACATATCCATTGAAGCCTTTCGTTACTGACAATGAGACGCGTGATGTGTTTTGGCAACGCGTTGTGTTAATCATGGCTCGTTTGAGTTCGAAAATGTTGGCGATCAATCAAAATCCGAAGTTTTTTACTGAATGTTTTTCCGAATTGAAAACTTATAATCTAGTCCGTTAATGAAATCTGGTTTTTTTTATTTGTGCAATAAAGAATGATATAAAACTCGAAGCGAAAAGGATCATTTTTCTTGTGCATTTGTATTATTTAGCGATGGATTGCTCATGCCATCATGACGAAGATCAAACATCGTGTTGATTTGATATGTTATATCACGTAGTGTATCGATGATGAGTTTTAATTGAATTTGTTTCTCATTAAGAATTTCTTCATAGATAGATTTCTGTTTCAATAAACGTTCTAATTCGGGATTGTTTGTGGCAGTTGTTGGTTCACGATTGATTACGTATTCATGAATTTCACGTAGACGGGAGAACAAATGTCGTAAGGAAATAAATTGAGTTGTGATATCGTTTAAAGTGCCTTCGAAGCGCGTGCGTTTATCAGCAAGATTCTGGGCTTGTTGTTGTTGATGACTCGGGTTCGGTAGATGTGCAATTGGACGCGCTAGTTGAGAGAGCCAAACGCAAATTTCAGCTGGTTTTCCAACTAATTCTTGAACAGTTTCCTGGCATTGACGAATGCAAGCGAGACGACTCAATGGCTCGGACTGGCCACTAGTCGTTAGTTTTAATGAGGATGAAGAGGAATGCATGAAGAAAATCTAGAAGGATACTTTTATCAGATTTCATCAGACTAAACAACCTCAAGTGTGAGAATATGAAATAAAATATGAACAGTGAGCTTTTATTTTTTGTGTCGAAGGAGAAATTCAATGGAATATTTTATTAAGTATACGATATGAATTTGATCTATCACGTTGCTTACGTCATTCGATAAGAAATAGATTCTCCTTTGATGTGAATTATTTATTAATGCTGATAAATACACGTAAATACGCAAAACTCATTAAAATCAAATACGTTCCTTCCGTTATTTAACATGTAGTTCATTATGGTTAATAACACTTGTCGTTACTCTTCTACGTTTAGAAAAAAGCGTTTCTATTCATGATGATTTTGGAGTGATGAGGCTTTTCATAAGAAATAAGGTGACTGGTATTCGAAAGGATTTCCAGTGAATGTCTTCTCATTTCACATTCCCGTGAACTTCGAAATCTTATCAGTGCATTTCCATCTTGATGCTTATCGTTAAACTACAAAGAACGTGTCATCATGATTCTACGTTCTTCGAGTTGATCTCATTTAGGAAGAGAATCTTTATCAAGAGGACACGGTCGAAGACAAATATATAGGCACTTGAGAATAGGAGATTTCATCTAGAACTATTGCCCTATGTAATCATCGGCATCAAAGTCAACAAGTTTATTCTGAAGATAAGATCTAAGATCGAGATAATTAGATTTAAACTAATGAAAAACTTTGCTTAAACGCGGAAACATCTACTTTTTTCGAATAAAAGATGCTCATCATCAAAAGATTCTGCTACACTTTATCCAACCCTACATGACCGACAATTGATTATTTAACAACCTAAACTCACCGTACTAACTAAAAGGCAAATATTATTTTAAAAAATCTTTCTTTGTCTGTCAAATTTTCCCCCAAGAAAAAACTCTGTCGGTCGATTGGTCATTTCATTTTCCAACGATGAAATCTTCTCTCTAGTGACATCTGTCTTCGTTAATGTAAACAAGAAAAATAATTTTAGCTTCTCTCGATGTAAATTACTAAAATCAGGATGGTAAGAAGTTGTTTATTTGGAAAGTAATCGGAACAACTATCATTTGCCGATTGATTCACATCAACAATGGCAACGTTGAGAAAAAAGACGAGAACAAACAAAAAAATATAAAAGGTATTCTCCTCCATGTTCTCTCATTTTTGACGTTATTCTAGATCAATTTTGCGATGTTTTTGTGATAAGCTTAGTTCTCCTTGATTTACACCATTCTTTCAATTCAAGAATCATTTTTCTCTGTAAACATATCAGTGTGTGTATTCTTGTTTTGTTTTGTTTGAAATTTTATGCTCTTTTGTTGTTGATTTTCCTTGTCAAATCTCGCGCTCGATGATCGTCGTTTTTCTCTAATGGACTTAACTAATAATCTAATTAATCCCAATACTGCGCCAACCACGTCGAATTCAACGACAACAACAAATCCATTGAAACGCGTTCGACTTGAAAGTGACGATTGGAGTGAGAAAACTCCGCGATCACGTCTACTTGAACGTTGGAAAGAACAAGATTTATACATTGATTACTTAGAATCACGAGTACATCAATTACAACAATCGATTGAGTCAAATGAACTTGTACGGGAGAAAGAAGCCGAGTGTAATAAATTGAAATCTTTACTTAATTATCGGTTTTTAACGAAAACAACTCAACAACAAGCGTTGGTAAATTGAATAAACTCGATTGGGATAGTTATTTTTTTATTGATTTCTTTCTTTCAAAAGGATCAAATGCGTGATATGATGCAAACACCATCCTTAGCTCGACTTAGACAAACTTATTTAGATCCATCGATTAATCTTATCTATGGACAAATGCGTGAAGAGATCGAAAATAGTCGAAAAGCATGTGATGAGGCACAAAATGAACTACGAGCGTGGCAGTTCACAGCAGACAGGTAAAGATCAAATAGATCATTTCGTTCGTATATCTCTTCATGATTCGTAGTAAAACTGGCAAAATGCTTATGGCGAGATGTAAAAAACTACTCGAAGAAAATGAACAATTAGGAAAAATTGTTTCGTCAGATAATGTAGCGAAATTAGAAAGTGAAATCGCTCTACAAAATCGACTTATATCAAACATAAAAGATGCACAAACAGGTAAGTTGAGAATGTTCAGTTGGAAAAGAAACGAAGTTCATGGATTTGTTTAGATTATGAAGAGATTATGTTAGACATGGATACAAATATGGATGCAATGTCCAATGCATTGCTTCACATGCGACATCAATTATCTGAATCACATCGACAAATCAGTTTGTTAAATGAAGAAAATGCTCGTTTGAAAACTTTTTGTCAATCAACAACTAATACTCTCAACACACCGAATGGAATTTCTCTTTCTGATTCACCGTTGTGATGATATTTGTGCCGATAATGTTGTATTTATTTTTCTTGGTTCTTCTCTTTCTATCATCTAAATCTTTCTTTCTTGGTTGCATATGTAACAATGTGTTTTTGTATGTAAAAAAAAAACAATGTGATCCTTGTCTAGAAGAAATAAACAAAAGTACAACGCCATCACCTCTAACATTTCTTCTATGATAACAAACAAGTTACCGTGATCATCAAGTTTAGTTACTGTATGCTTTGTTTTACAAGAGATGAAGAAAAGAGAGTTCGTGTTCTTGAGATTGATCATGTTCATGATGCATGTTTGATACAGGAAAGATTAGACTCAAATCTTTCTTATACTTTTTTTGTAGTTTACCGACGAAAACTTATTTGAGTGATTGTTTTCCTCTTAGGTTTCGGCTAAAGACATTTCTATTTTCAATGTACCCCGTAGTTATCTTTTAGTAATTTATGAAAGAATTAATGAACCATGTTAATTACTTTTGCAATCGGTACAGACTTATGTATTTAATCAGTGAAGTTCCGTTTTTTTTGTCTTCTTTTCTATGCTGAACATTTTCGTGTTGTTTTCCCTCTTTTTGGATAAACCAGAAACCAAAAAAGATGGAAGTATAGGGGAGATTCCCATTTATATGACTTTTTATCATTGGATATGCACAATATTGCGCGTGAAATACTGGAATGTTCGCCTCGATGATATTTATTGTCAGTTTTGACATTTAGTATAATTAATTTATCACTTGAAGATATCAATAACAAGTGTATTTGTTGATTGAATAGATTATACGAGTTTATTTTCAACTAAGAAAAAAGTTATGGTCTAGCAAGCTATTTTTTCAATCAAAGTTCAACTAACTAAATGAAAGCCGTTAGAAAAAAGTGATTCTTATTGAAAATTTAAACAACGTGTTCGAATTTGTAAGAAACAGTTTTTTCTTCATCAGCAGCTAATGTTAAAACACATTTGATTGTCAAACCATCTTGTGTACAAGCAGTGTTGGGCGTTCCTAATTTAACGGACTGACCATAGTTGTTGAGTTTATATTCAACTTTCACTGGACGATTCTTTTTGAAGTTTTTAAAGGCCACATTTACGTTGTACACTGATTCTTTTCGTACTTCCACAGGAAAACTTCCACGACGATTCGTATCGTTGAAAGTGCGTGATGAAACTACGGTAACGTTTTCTTTGTAGGTTACATCGCTATCTTCACCAACTGTAAATTCATGTTTGTCTTTTGCAGCTAAATTTGGTAATGATGTTTCACCGACAAGACGATCATATTCACGAATGACACAGTTTCCTGACGACAAAAATCGATCAGCTGATAGCCGATACGATCGCTGAGCTTTGCCATTCGATGCGCCAGCATTGTGAAAATGTTTAGAAACTGATGCAAAGCGTTCAACCGTAACATGTGGTCGAAACATTGGCAAGAGGTAGTTAGTTCTTCCTTCAATAGAAAAAGGAGTGTTAATCGCGAAGACGTATAACCCAGCAACTTCCTCAGGCTTGCTAATAGTTGGTGCATGAGATGAACCTGCGTCTGCGAAAGTGCGAGCCATGGCCATTTCCGGCACAGCATTATAACCGCGCCAATGTGAGTTCGAATGTATTTGCAAGTTGATGTCACCGCCCAATAATTCAGCATGTTCAATGTCAACTCGTGATTGACCATCATTTCGAATGTCAGCCATCGAGATCAAAACAACACTCTTCGATTCGTCAAACAAATTCAGTTGATATCGGGTCTTCCAGTTGAGATTTGATCGAAGATAACTCACATACACGGCATCACTTGTGTCGAATGTAAAGTTCACATAGTATTTCGATTGTGGTGGATCACTTTCATATACGATGTGATCAGATGAAGCAGTGAAATAGATCGGCTCTTTACTGATATCTTTGTCGATGAGCTTGACGAGATTTCGCTTTTCATCGACGAGTGTGGCTTTGACGAATTTGCTTTCGGTGTTGGATGATGAAGGCGCACGAACGAAGACATGAGCGTTGTTGAGTGACTGTTTTTTTTCGGTGATAGTTTGTTGTGTGACCGTGACGTTGGAGCCGACGAGTGTAAGTGAATCGGAACGAATATCTCTCCAGTCATCTTCGGAGAACTCGAGAGGTAGTTTTCCGAGTGGTTGAATGATTTCTGCAAGATTTGAGTAGATTTTAACGTTGGCGAGGATGCGATGGTCATTTGTTACTTGTGTTTTGTTTTTGCTGAAATGTAAGAAAGCATCTCCTGTGTTGAGAAACACAGCTGATATAAGCAGACAGAAAATCGACTTCATCTTGCAATGATAATTCTTTTATCTGGTGTATTATCATGAGAATGTGCTGCATTAAATACTTGCGGTTAATGACGAAGAAAAGTGGGCGCCGGGCATCTTTTCTCCTTCCTATCTAAACTCGTGATGATATATGATATTGTCATCGGCAACATCTGGACAAGGAAGGAAAATATTAATGTTAGACGATAGTAATGAATACTTTGTTGAATCATTCGCGCAAAAATAGAATTATTGATCGACAATTTCAACACGTGATCAATTTTAACAAATAAGAAGATGGTCTGTGGAAATCTAATTGTATTTGTTAGATAGAAGTGTTAACTGACATATCCTAATCACTAGCAATCGTCTCTAAAGTCAGACAATACCAGTCATTTTTAGAGAAAAAAAGAAGGTATACGTATGCCAACAATGTACACTGTAAATTTAATGTATTTTATTAGAGTCCAAACATATAAAGTCCACTAAAAAGAAAAGGATAAGATAAATATGAAAATGTATTGATAGGGTGCTATATGAATCGCGTCGAAAACGCGTGTCGTGTTCAATTAATTAACCACTTCAAGTTTATAGGATAAAACTTTTTCTTCATTCGCTGCTAATGTTGTTCTATATTTGACAGCTGAATTTTCGAGTGTAAAATTCGTGCGTGGTTCGATCAGTTTGACTGAACTTGCATGTACATGTTGTTGATATTCAAGTTTAAATGGACGATTTTTATAACTTTTGATGTACAAGTTTACATTATATGTTGTTTTTATTTGTCCCTGTGTTCCATGATATGAACTGCTCACAGAGCTCAAAGCTTGCGAAGATATCAGAGTAACATTTTCCTTGTAAACAACGTCCGCATCTTCGCCAATTGAAAAATCATAGGAATTCTTGGCGGCTAAGTTTGGTAATGATGTTTCACCGACAAGACGATCATATTCACGAATGACACAGTTTCCTTTCGACAAAAATCGATCAGACAATAGACGGTACGATCGCTGAGCTTTGCCATTCGATGCGCCAGCAGTGCTAAAATATTTTGAAATTAAGGCGAATCGCTCAATGGTAACACGTGGGCGAAACATCGGCAACAGATAGTTAGTTCTTCCTTCAATAGAAAAAGGAGTGCTGACCGTAAAGACGTATAAGCCAGCAACTTCTTCGCCTTGACCGACGCTTGGCACAAAAGATTTTCTACTTGCCACACCTATCCCAGCAGAATTATCGAACGCAGCTCCTTCGTGCATTGAGGGGCCTGATTTCCAATATAAATTCGAATGTATTTGCAAGTTGATGTCACCGCCCAATAATTCAGCATGTTCAATGTCAACTCGTGATTGACCATCATTTCGAATGTCAGCCATCGAGATCAAAACAACACTCTTCGATTCGTCAAACAAATTCAGTTGATATCGGGTCTTCCAGTTGAGATTTGATCGAAGATAACTCACATACACGGCATCACTTGTGTCGAATGTAAAGTTCACATAGTATTTCGATTGTGGTGGATCACTTTCATATACGATGTGATCAGATGAAGCAGTGAAATAGATCGGCTCTTTACTGATATCTTTGTCGATGAGCTTGACGAGATTTCGCTTTTCATCGACGAGTGTGGCTTTGACGAATTTGCTTTCGGTGTTGGATGATGAAGGCGCACGAACGAAGACATGAGCGTTGTTGAGTGACTGTTTTTTTTCGGTGATAGTTTGTTGTGTGACCGTGACGTTGGAGCCGACGAGTGTAAGTGAATCGGAACGAATATCTCTCCAGTCATCTTCGGAGAACTCGAGAGGTAGTTTTCCGAGTGGTTGAATGATTTCTGCAAGATTTGAGTAGATTTTAACGTTGGCGAGGATGCGATGGTCATTTGTTACTTGTGTTTTGTTTTTGCTGAAATGTAGGAAAGCATCGCTGACATTGATAACAATAAGAAGTAATAGAATCGCCTTCATTTTGGTTATTACTAAATCGTAGTGTGTGTTATTTTTACTTTAAGTATAGATGATAAGTTTTCTTGCTTTATATACATTTATGGTACATAAGGGACATGAATTGGTTTTTTTTTCTCCCACATCTAATGAAAAATCGGAACAAATTGGTTTTTAGACTTTGATTTCGTCAGTGGAAATAGTCAATAAACATGACGGGAAAACATTTGCTTTGACATTTACGATTGATGATAGACAAAAAAACAGAAATATATCTATTTATCGCTAACATATGTTACAGATGTATCAAGTCTAATTGAGTATTCCGTTAATAGGTTCCTATTTCTAGTTCTAATTTGCTTAATTGCGAACGGACGTGAAAAATGTTCTTGATAACCAACAAAAGGCTTTTCGCTCATCCATAATCCGAATGTAAAATTTTCATACTATAGATAATCGGTTTAACTAATTGAAATCTACACGTGCAATGAAAAGATAGTTTGCAAATTTAACTTTGAACCCTCGAATTTCTTCTTTCTTTGAAAATATCACATTTGTTGATCTTTTGTTTTCTATTTTATCTCGTTCGATATCTTCACAAAGAACGAAAAATCTAAAAATGTGTCGTACTTCTATTATCTATACAGACCATGGAGCGTTTAACAATAAGCTACACTTTTGTGGTTGTAACTCTTGTTTTTCTTCTAACACGTCGTAAGTTAATGAAGAATCACTACTCAGTCGACATTTTCAATATGCTTTTCCGTAGAATGTCATGCTTTACAATGGCCTAAACCGACCGTTTCTTCATCTTCTACGCAAGCAATTGCTGATTTGATTTCTCGCGTGCTTGACGGAGCTCCGAGTGCTCGCCTCTTTCGCCTTTCGATCAATGCTAATCTAGACATTAACGGCAAAGATGTTTTTGAACTTTCAAATGGCCCTGATCCTGGTACAGTCCTCATTACAGCATCATCCGGCGTGGCTGCTGCATGGGGATTTAATTACTACCTCAAATATATCGCTGATAGTTCATGTATGGTGTAGTAATTGTATAATGTATCATTGTTGTGCTTGATTTGAATAGTTTATTGGTCTGGCAAGAATATTCGACTAAATGGGTCAGCATTAATTCCTATAACATCACCTATTCGAATAGTTGCAAACGATCTTTTCCGTTGGTATGGCAATCCGTGCACATTCAGTTATTCGGCTGTGTTTTGGAACTTTTCCAGGTACATTCTAATTTGACTGTTATAGATCTATGATTTCGTTATTACATGAAGATGGGAGAAAGAAATCGATTGGATGGCTATGAATGGGATCAATATAGTATATGCAACGACTGGTATGGAATACATTTTCAGTAAAGTCTGTGTTACTATTTGAGTTTCGAATAAAATGTAATCAATAAGCTCATTATAGGTATTTCTTCAAATGGGCTTTACTCAGTCGGAAATAGACGAATATTTCACTGGTCCAGCGTTCTTAGCTTGGTAGGTTAAATTGTTGTCTTCTGTTTTTTTTTGTGAATAAATTCCAACTTATCGCTGTTAAAATGAAAGGCTTCGTATGGGTAATCTTCAAAAACATGGTGGTCCGCTCTCACAAAATTGGCATCAATCACAATTTCAATTAGCTAAACAAATTATTCAACGAATGACTGATATTGGAATAATACCAGTTCTACCGGCATTTACAGGTTTTATGCCTCGTACTGCGCCAAGGTAATAAATTTATGTCTTGTGATGAAGACAAACTTTGAGGAAAACGTATTCGCTTTAGACGTTTCCCAACAGCAAAATTCTATTATTCGTCGGACTGGAATGGTTTTGGTTGTAACGATTCTTGGTGAGTTTTTACACGTTGAGTTATTCATCAGTTCGATGACATCTTTTTTTCCGTACATATCAGTCTTCCATATCTCGATCCGACTGATCCATTTTTTCAACAAGTTGGCGTGGCACTGTTGAACGAAGTATGTTTATCTTATTGAGTACAACATAGTCGTCCGTGATTAAAGAAATTAGACAGTGACTTCATTGAACATACTTTCACATTATTACGCCTGTGATCTATTCAATGAAATGACCCCACCGATTAGGTAGACTTTGACTATTGTAATATTCTCAGTTCACAGAATATTTCTCTTAGCGATCTGAGTTATTTGGCCAATGTTAATGCAGGAATCATGAAATCAATGCAAACAGTTGATCCAAATGCTATCTGGTACGTCTTGATTTGTATAAGATATGTGAATTATATTAGCTCTGCCATAGGGTTATGCAAGCTTGGCTATTTCTTTCAGACTTTTGGACACCAGCTCGTGTACAAAGTTATCTCAGTAAAGTTCCTCCGGTATGAAACATCTTGCTCCGTCAACATTAATCTATCATGCGTATATATTTCCTCACATTGAAACAGGGTCACATGATTCTATTGGATCTTTTCTCCGAAGCTCGTCCTCAGTATTCACGTTTTCAATCATTCTATGGACATTACTACATATGGAACATGCTACACGACTTCGGCGGAAACAATGGTTTGTTTGGTTCTCTTGTTAATGTTACAAATGTATGCATTTTGCTTGATTGTGTTGTGTAATGTCAAAAGATTTAATTTGTAGGGTCCGCAAGCAGCTAGAAATTTCTCTAAAGAACAAATGATTGGTGTTGGCATTACTATGGAAGGTATTAATCAAAACGAAATCATGTATGAATTTGCTCTTGAACAATCATGGCGTTCTCCACTCAACGAAACCGAATTAAATGACTGGTATGACGATTTCAATTCGATCTCCTTTACATAAACAAATTTTAGGTTAGTCGGATTTGTTATGCGTCGATATTCTAGCAATCAAACAATTCCGAGTTCTGCGCTGTACGCATGGCAAGACTTAGGCAATTCAGTTTATCATTTAAATCCTAATCGTGCCTATTCATTGATGTTACGTCGACCAGCACTTGATCGAGGTCAAAGTGTGAGTATCAACAAAAATTTATATCAATTAGACTAAGGTGATGTCATATAACAGATTAGTTTCGATTTGAAAGTTTTGCTGTCTGCATGGGAGTTGTTAGTGAATTCATCGGATCAATTGGATGCGGATCTATTCCGTTATGATTTAGTAGATATTACTAAAGAAGTTCTTCAATATGAATTCGCTTGTCAATTTGTACAATTAACTGTTGCTTTCAATCGAAGTGATCTTTACGGAGTAGCGTAAGAATCTATATGAATGTTTTAATTTTTGTTCACTATTTGTCATACATACTAACTTTAGGACTCAAGCAGCTATTCTTACGGATCTTTTAGAAGATATGGAGAGAATATTGGCATCTGATCGTCGTTTTCTTTTAGGCAATTGGATTGCAGATGCATTACAGTTTGCCAAAAATGAAGAAGATATTCATTTTTATAACATGAATGCTAAACTTCAAGTATCTATTTGGGGAACTAATTATACACTAGGATTGTTTGATTATGCGAATAAATTTTGGTCTGGAATGATAGAAGAGTATGTACACAATCAATATCATTCATTTCAGATATAAAATGAAACATATATCTTTCTTTTTCCAGTTATTATGCTCCTCGATGGCGTGTCTTCTTCGATGTTCTTGTCAAGTGTCTTCTAGAAGTAGGAGATATCTTTATATTTACTGTTCTCATTTCGTAATGTAATCATGTACAACAGGGCATTCCAGTGGATACAAATCTATTACACAAACGTTTATTTTTCGAAGCTGAATTGCCATTTTTCATGTTGGATACGAAAATTTATCCCACGAGCACCCGAGGTGAGCTTCTCTATCGATTGAATCGTTTCGAGAAAACTTTTACTTGTCTTCAGGTGATTCAATCCAAATTGCTCGTGAACTGTTTAACAAATATAATCCATCAATCAATTCTGTGTGTTTGCCATTGGGCTCTCCAAAACTCGACTATCCATTCGGTCGCTACTTTAACTAGATCAACAATAACTTTCTATCTACTTTCATTTAAAACATTTTTTCTTTGAAAAATCCTTAAAACACATTGCCCTTCCTCACACCATTTCATTCGAATATGTTTTACATTGCCTTTTTTCTTCATCATCGTCGTCAAGAAATATCTTTCTATGCAATTTCTATACAGCGAACAAAAATTCTCCAATTTCACTTTGATCTAATTTCAAGTATGATTCATTAGACATTTTAGTATAATATACACACACAACTAGTTCCATCCTTTCGACGAAAATTTTCATAGGGATAATCTATGTTTACTTCATTTCGAATACACTCCTCATATCTTGTTAGATATAAACATTGAATAAAGTTCCCTTATTTTCCTCATGATTTTCATCTGATGAAAATACATGTATAAAGACATCGTATTTCGAAGATATTTCCTGACATACGGAATCTTACAGGCCACTGTTGAAAAGAATCTTAATCGTCTATGTGCGAATTGAAAGTCACATAAATATACTCAGAGTCACTTTTGTTCTACTCAGGAGCAAGTAATCGATTCCTATTGTAGCCATCTTTTAACGACTGCGATGCAGTTGCGCGCTTTCAAATTCTAATGTCTACCAAATATTTTTTTTCTCTTTAATTCGCTACATAGCGCTCATAATTTGGCGTTACAATTCATATTCCGACTCTGTCTTGGTTCTGCAATAAAAATGGCATCCTGAGTTTCTATAAAGTCGCGTGAAACGAAATAAACAATAGATTAAAACATTAATAAAACTTGATTCAAAGAAGAAATAAAAGTTAGTAATAATTATCATGAAAATTATATGTTTTGACATTGAGGCAATTAAAACAACGATAGTTTTTTTTATAGATTGTCATTTTTTTTCAAAGGCTTTTGTTCTCCCATATCTGATTGTAGACGAAGCATAAGTAGTAAGTGAAACATATCTACATATGGAAAATAATACCATAACCGTATGCATTTAGATTTCTGATTCAATATATATACGGTAACTCTTCGTATGTTTTTAGAGAAGTTCATAATGAATTCCCAATATCTCTGAATATCTGCTCCCCTCCATGAAGAAAATTTCTTTCGCATTAGTACAATCGACAGGTTATTATTTACGTCGAATCCATTCTCAAGTAGAAACCCCATGTGATATAAGGTCATCATACAGCAACTTGAGATTTCGATATTTTGTAATTAATTTGGGGTACATGATGATCATTCTACGATGAAGTAACTTAAAAAGCGAATTTTTCCCGTATTCAATCGATCTATGAAATCTTTTCGCTCGAAAGATAATCTACTCTAGAAGCCGCAAACGACATTTGTCTAATCATTTGGATTTAAATTCAAACTGCAAATCTATCACCAAAGAAAATCTTCAATATACAAAAAATAGGCTATAATCTTTTGAATACAATACATCATTATTCTGCGTCAAATTGCAAACAAAAGTTGTTGTTCTCCTTTAACCTAGTCATCATTCAATTGTGAATGAAAATGGAAAAATTCCTATTGGATAATCAAAAGAATTCTGTGTCGTTTCGTTTTCTTTTTGAATCTGACTGATTCATAAATCTTTTCCCGTTCTTATGAATAACCGTTGATAAAAGCTTGTGATAAATTAATCCTATTAAATCGTTGCGCAAACAATCGACAAGAGAGCGTATGTATATGTCGCACGCTTGCCTATCCGATGACATTCGTAAAGCAACGATAACAGCGACGAAATCGGAGATGCCAAATGAGCAAGTAATCCTATCAAACCTAAAAGGATAGAGAGTGAATACTCCAAGCTGTCATATGCTTGTCTATTGACGTTGTTTTTTAATAGGAGAGAATGAAATCGAAGAGAAGAGACGGAGAAAACGTAAAATATGACGATCGATTTGATATAGCAATTCATATGCCATACGCACACTTGAATCAATCCACTTTACTTTTGCACTACATTTAATAGATTTCTTGTAATGTATAGACAAGAACGACACAAACGTCGACAAGGTTGTTTTTATTATGCTCTGGCCGATATGATTTCTCTTACAAGCATGATGATCATCTAACAACTGTTCTCTCCTCCTCTCAAGAGCAGTATGTGCTTACAAGCAAGAAATGGCGAAGTTTTATCTTGAAGCACGAGAGAAAGAGAGATTCTTACGGTTCTTATCACAAATCATGTATATATACACTATAGCACATTTTACTATCGAGTGGAAAGGAAAAGAAGGGGGCAATTGTAGATGCAAGCATGTCTTCGACATATTCTCATAAAAAAGAAAGAAAATGAGGTAGAAAAAATCGAATTATCGACTAATGGAAAAATAGTGTTTCCCTTACTCTCGTTCGTCATTCCAACATGAAATATTTCTATCCAATCATATCGCAACACGAAACATCTCTTACACTTTCAATCGTAGATAAGTTCATAAAGTGTATTCCTTGCGCACAGAAGCTCCGATACAACATAGTTATTTACTGTCGTGAATAATAACAAGCATGTGTATATAGATGATTAAGTCGCATGAGTTCGTTCCTTCTTTGTGTTCGTACTGAACAAACAAAGTAGAAGCGAAATGTGAAATTTGAATATGGATATGATTATAATATGAGATGAACTCGAAAAGAACAGAACAGAACATAAATTTTCTTATTGTTCAGTCTTTATATGATATACGATTGACACTTGCCCTATTCGCAACTAATAGGTCACCCGATCAATAATTAGACTAGCTGTAAAACAGACCATATCGAAGTTGTACTTTCTTCGATCAATTGAGAACAATAGTAGCGGTGAAGACTGCACGAAAAAGAAATTTTCAATCATGATTCTTTTGCTTTGGGCTGTCTCTTTTTTCAGTCATTCGGTGTGTATGTAGCGGAATAAATGAATGAATGAATGAATTGAATAGCAGAGGAGAGCGCCGTAAGGTTCATGTCGATTTCACTAGAACATTTTTCGTTTCATAAATGAGAAGAAAACAGAGGAAGGAGGAGAGAACGGAGGTTAAAGAGAGAGAAAGGAACACCACTGGCACCAATTGAGTATCAATCAATTGAAAAATACCCCCTATCTCGTGATTACTTGAGCCTTTTACAATATATATTCACGCAGTGTATACTGGTATCGTACTCAAATAAGAACATGAATGAATGATGCAATATAAAGAACAACGATGAGGTAGAATATAAAGAATCCACTGTACACATTCTAAGACATAGCTGAATAAATTAGAACAGAAACATAGATACGCATACAGACACAGACACACATGCACGCACGCACATAAACACATATTTAATGATTATCATTCATTCTCGCTTCTTCATCATCTCAACATCACAGTATTGCTTAGTCGATTTGGTTTTTCTAAATATATATATATGTATATGTATGTATGTGTATTTTTGCTTGTCGCTGTCTTGCTATGTCTCTAAAGCCAAACCGGCTGTGAATAGTCGACAACAGTGCTGTTTCATATAACTGGTGACGACGACGTTGGAGGAAATTGGCTGAAATAGTAGGACGATGATGCTTGTGGATGAAGTGAAGTCGTCGACGATGACGGTGATGATTCTGCTGGATAATAATTGGTTGAATTGGTTGATGCGGAAGTGTTATTCGAGTAGACCATGTCTGTTGATGTTGTATTTGTTGAAAATGGTTGTAAACTTGCATAAATAGGAGTGTGAGACATTGTAAGGAAATGTTGTTGTTGTTGTTCATTGGAATAGAGTGGATGGGAATGATGATGATGAGGGTGATGATGTGTTGAATGGTGTTGAGTTTGAGGAGAACGAGGAACTGATTGACATGTTTCATGCTGTTTAGATGAAGGAGAAATAAGAACACCGTTGCCTGAAAAGAAATGCATTCGACATGTCTTTAAAATGCTCATTCTTTTATATTGAAACTTTACCGTTTGGTTGATGATAGGCATCTTCACTTGTCGATAAAAGTTTTGGTATAGGTGCAGTAAAATGATTTATCGTGAGAGTTGAATGATTTAGTGATATATGCGTCGGAGTCGAAGCGGACGTTCGTGTCAATGGCATGTGAACTTGACTGTCCATGAGCATCGATCGATGATGTTCATCGTCTCTTCCATTACCATTTTCAATCGATTCACTCTCATCTTCATCGTCATCATCGTCATCCGATTCGCCACTGTTTGATGCTAATGGATCGTTTTTATTCAGATTTGTCGATGTAATACCTGATGAAGATTGTTGATGTTGTCCGTTATTAGCTGCGCGTGATCGAGCTTTTGATGCTTGTTTTGTGCATTTGAAACGTTTCTGTCGTCGTAAGTAACAACCATTCTCGAACATATTTCCAGCGTCTGGATGCAATGTCCAATATGAACCTTTCCCAGGACGATCAGGTCCACGTGGAACTTTAACAAAACAATCATTGAATGATAATGAATGACGAATAGAATTCTGCCAACGTTGTTGATTTTGCCGATAGTATGGAAATACATTCATAATAAATGTGTAAATATCATTTAACGTTACCATTCCGGATGGTGCATGCTGTATTGCCATTGTAATGAGACTTATATACGAATACGGTGGTTTCGATGGTGTATTACCACGTCGATTTCCTGACGGTGCAGCTGTTGTAACCGTCGACGACTGTTGACGTGATCCCAAATCGAGATTGGATTTTTCAACGGAATGATTCACATCATAGGGTGATTGGGTTAGCATATAACTCGATGCTGGCATGGGTTGTGGATTGTCGTAATAATGCATTGTCGGTGTTTCTAATTCAATTTTTGTCGTTGGAAGTGATTGAACAGGTACAAGAGTTGCATAATCTAAATGTTGTGATTCTGTAATTGTATGTCTCTGTTGTTGTTGTTGTTGTTGTTGCGACAAGGATGATGAAGATGGTGGGAGTGGTTGAATTTGTAGAAGTTCGTTTACTTCTGGTTTGAATTCTGGTGTGGTAGTATTTGATGAAGATGATGTCGATTCATCTCCGACACTAGTATGATGATTGTGCATTTTGATTCTTGTTCTTCCCTGAATTCTATTTTCTTTTGTTTGATTTTTATTTTTTTTCTTCTTTTTCTCTTCTCGTTTGGCGTGGAAAAAAGAGAGAACACACACAAAGTCAATAAGTGCTTGGATTGATGGATAGTGGTGATCGTTGTCGTTGTCTCGACCACTATTTGATCATCATTTAAAAGTTAAAGGATAGCTTGCTTGTCCGCGTGTATTGTAGACAACGTCAATTCGAATACAAACAAATCTTTTCGATGAGAACGATGACGGCAACAACAACCAATGCGACGAATCCCCGTCGAGCAANTATGATCAAAACCGAATACCATCATCATCCGACTTCTTCATCAATTTATACACCTCCAAACTACGATCCGAATAATAATGGTTTACAATATTTAACTTCCGAACATACATCACAGGAAGACGAGAGAGGGAGACGAGAGAGACACAAGTCGAACCAAATAGTAACACAAATTTTTTGTAGTTGTCATTATTCGTAATGTGTGTAATAGGGAACAAATATTTGCTCAGAGACGATGCAGAAAAGTAGTTCTTCATTAAGTGAATAAGAAAAGTGCTTTCTGACGTGATCAAATGGAGGGAGAAAAACGAATGACAAGCGAAGAAACTTTCGAATTCCTGTGATTATCAGCAAAGCCGCTCATTTTCTTCACAGAGAAGAAAAACAACAAGCCGATATCAATAAGATAGTTCGTCAACACAGGCAAACTATCGGTTACATGATATAAGAGATATTCTTTCACATACGGATGTCACATATCGCATAAACAAAATTCTCTTCATTTCTGCTTTTGTTTCCTCTAACCATATGTTCATATTCATCGGGAGAGAAAGGAAGGCGAAAGACTAATCCGTCTTGCACGTACATATTCTTGATTGTTTGCTGAACGTGCATATATTGGAGCTACCTGTCTGATGAAAATTGATAACCGAGAAAACGAAGAAGAAGAAGAAGAAGAAAAAAGATCAATCAAGATTTTGACAATCATGTCTTTTGTAGTCGAGAATAAGAAATTGCATATAGAGATATATGTAGATATATTGACATACGCATACACACATACATACGCACGAAGTTTAGTGAGAGAACAGAAAACAAAAGAAACGAAGAAATAGAAGAGAAAAACACCGCATAGAGTTTGATCAAAGTTTTGTATTTTGTAGAAGAAAAGTAAGAAATAGACTAGGTTCAATTGAAAAGATAGACAAGAATGTATTAAGATGATGGTGGATTGGTAGTATTATTGTTATTATAATAGTAAGCATTAGGATTTGTCGTGTCCAAATAATTACTTGTTGTTTCATGACCAGTCATTGTTGAGTAGAACGATTTGAAATCTGGTTGACCATTTATCAGATCTTCAATACGAAAGGTGCCTGGTGGAGCAATTTGATGTAAAAACGACGATGATGGTGTTGTTTGATCGATTCCATGAAAATATTGTGGATTATGTTCGGAAGTTAAATATTGTAAACCATTATTATTCGGATCGTAGTTTGGAGGTGTATAAATTGATGAAGAAGTCGGATGATGATGGTATTCGGTTTTGATCATAGGCATTGTTTCATTTGAATAGTTGGTTTGCGATTGAATTTGTGAATATTGATGATGAGGATGATGGTAATAGGATGATGGTAAAGGTAGAGTCAAAGATTCCGATGCACTAGCTTGCCGTGGTGATGAGCCTGGTGAATCTAATCTTCCCATTGTATGATCCGATAATGGTGACGATGATGAATGAGATTTATTTAGATTCAAATTGCCTATTTTATCTTTAGTTGTTGTTTTTGATTTATTTGGATCTTTCGTTTTATCTTTGACTTTAAAACGTTTCTGTCGTCGTAAATAACAACCATTCTCGAACATATTTCCACTATCAGGATGTAATGTCCAAAATGAACCTTTCCCAGGACGTTCACTACTACGCGGAACTTTAATAAAACAATCATTGAATGATAGTGAATGACGAATAGAATTCTGCCAACGTTGTTGGTTTTGTCGATAGTACGCATAACGATCTTGAATATATTGATAGATTTGTGATAGAGTACACATACGGTCAGGTGAACCATTGATAGCATGTGTAATTAATGAAATATCTGACGAAGAGAAAAAAAAAGAATGAATATATTCAATTATCCTTCGTTTTATGAGTAGTCGATAGACTTACAAGAATATGGTGGCTTAGACGCTGCATATCGTCGTGCATAACCAAGATTAGCAGACGGGAGTGATTGTAAAGATGGATTATTGGGTGAAGTTTGTTGCATTGGATTATTATTATTGGGAGTTGTGGGTATTTGTGATAAATAAGCTGCATTATTGGATTGCCAAAGATCGGCCATAGTTGGATTTGCATCCAATTCAGTCGATGGTATTAGTGAATATGACGATGTAATACGATCCATTCTTTTTATGTCATCATTTGTAACGTTGTTTTGTTTTAAAATATATTTATAGAGTCTCTACTCTTGTCGTATATGCGTGTGGGTATGCGTATGTGCGCAGAACTTCTAATGTGTCAATGTAATGTTTGTAAGAGATGCAGAAGGAAAAGGAGAAAAGAAAAGAAAAATGTGGGTGACAAGAAGAAAACGAAGAAGAGAAAAAAAGGGAAATACGCGAGTGTAATTGAAGTGAGGAAGAGCCGATTGGCTGACCGTATACATAGATATGTATTCAGTCGTTTTTTTTCTTCTTCTCTTCCTTCTCTCCCTTTTTTTTTTAACATCCTTTTGCCAATTGATCGATTTCCGGCTGACCATTCGTGTAGAGAACAAGGTCAATTGCTTGAAAATCAAAATCCCTGATTAATGAATGTTCGAATGTCTCGTCGTTGTAGTCAATAGTCGGATGAACAATTAGAGATCGAAGGTATCAACGGTTAATCCATGAAGGAGAAAAAGAAAAGAATTGAATCCAACAAGCGCAAAATGCCGACATCTAGTATGTTGTTCTATCTCATCGATTTCAATCTCAAACCGAGCCTTTATTTACTTTTCATTCGTAGTCAAGCAGTCTTTCTCTTCTCTTTGAACCTTTTGACTGATTAGATGATGAGAGCGACACATCATCCTCATCATTCGATGTTTTCTTTACGATTTTGAATCATCCCGGTGTTTTTTTTCTAATGATACAAAAGGTATATGTGTGACTTGGAATATTTTTGTTATTGTTGATAGAAATGATTTGACTGTATGAGAGAAGGACAAAAAAAGGCGAAAAGTATGAACATCAAAAGGGATATATTAATCAGTCAGAAAAATTGACTGAGTATATGTGTATATATGAGCTTTATCGAGAGTAGGTGCAATTGTTTTCTATGTTCTTCGGTTAACGGCATTTCACATTGAAGATAGACAGAGAAAATAGTTCGTTTGATCATCAGAACTCTGTCAATGAACGTTACGAAAACGATAAAATTGNAATGCAGCTTTCATTTTCTCATTACGAAAACGGAGATGAATGAAAGCTGCATTCTTCGTCGATGAGATGATGGGAAAGAGTTTTTTAACAAGTCTTATAGCATATTTTCGAAAGAAAAGAAAATCTAGTTAAACACTGTTCAATCATTTCATGATTTGATGGCTTCTTTTCCTTTCATTTCATTCGACAGCCAAGAGATACAATCATAGAAGTGAAGATGAACATAAGGTTCCTATTATCGAACATATTGAAAGTGATGCTTATGATTTGAATGAAGACAGCAAATACTCGAACATGCTTGATAAAATTTTTCGAAGAACTGATGTCTATTGGGCAAACTAATCAAAAAAACGATGGCAGAATCGTAGGAGGATTGTCAATATTAGATATAGACGAACGAAAATCAATCATACATATGCATACAGAATAAAACAAAACTCACTTGAACGGCTTGCTCTATTAACGACAATGATGATAGTGATAATGATGCTCTTGGTTTATTTGTCTGCTATGCCAATGCGTGGATGTGTGCGCGCAAAGAAAAGACGAAGGAGAATAAGTGAGGTGGCCACCATCATCAATTCGTCGCATCATTGTGTGGTTGACTAAATCAATATTTGCCCATTTTAAGTCGCTATTCTCGACACTGTCTTCTTATTGTCGTTTTCTTTTTCAAAGAATATCTTAGACGAACTAGAATATTAATGCAGGAGCATTGTCATCACAATCGGACAAATTTACATTAAAATTGATTGTATTCTTTTTTTTTCAGTCGGGAACTGGCGATGTTCGGGAAAAGATAACGGCTTCTTATATGACCGTAAACGAAACAGACTGATATACTTTCGAGATTAGTTGAAAATTATCGTCAGTGAATATCCTGTTCGAAAATGTGTTTCGTCATTCTGTCGACATAGATGACAGCATAATACGATTTCTAATTTGCTAATGTAATTTCGAAATTTTCGTTTTGATAATGATATTTCAATAGTGAATCGAGCAATTACGGTGTTGGATTGAGTAATTCTAATCAGTATATAAACGACTTCTACGCATTACTCATTTGTTATTACGCAACTAACAACCAATCTAGTCAAACAACATAAAAACTGTATAAAATCCGTGCATTTTCCATTTGGAAAAGCTCTCTCGAAGTTTTTCTCACTGTGAGAAGATTTGCCTGCACAATGGATTGGTTGAATACATATGAAAATGCTACAGAATTGTACACTGATGCTATTCGTCGTTGGCCAATCAATAGAGAGCAAGCACCTGGAAAATGGATTTTAGCATCCTATGATGATGAATCAATCATTGTCTATCAGGCTTATAATGCAAATATAGCGAAATATGCCAGTGAAAACCATCGATTTATCGGATGTCCGGATTATAGTAATACACGTATGACATGTAAGAGTGAAGAGATTTCAGTTGACATTGATGAGATTTTGATTGCTGGTTCTTCTTAGGGATTAAAACGAATTTTCTTTGGATGATGTATCGATCTCAATGGGCAACATCACCAAATCAAGAACATATACTGGCCATATGGTTGCGCAAATCCGCATTCGATAGTTATTTAGCTCAATCAGTGAATAGTCAACACAAAGGTTTACCTGAGGACAAATCGAAATCTAGTCAAGACAAAACTGGTACGAGTTTAATTCGTTTACAATGGGATCCTGATCATCATCCACATGGCATGTCAGTCAACGGACGTCGAGCGATTCAATTGGGTTTGAAAAGAGTTCAGAGTTTCCTTGATGGTAGTGATATCATTCGTATTGTCGATATCACTTCATTTGTTCAAAAACAATATCAAAATGCTGTTTTACCAAAGGAACAACTTGATCAATTACGTGTTCCTGTTGAGTGCGTTTACGTTCCAGCTGACGAACAAACACGTCTTCATATACAGTTAGACCCTTGGCAAGTCGATGAAGACAAATAGAAGCACCCGGTAAAACATTTCTCCACTTAAAAATGAACTTTCGCAAATAATCTGTCATCTTAAATAAAACAAACAGATTGTGGATAATTCCGTTTCTTTAAATATACCGAGAACACAGAATCTCATACGTATATGTTATTGTACATATAATAATATGAAAAGAATCAAAATAGAACTCAATACATAGGCAGCAGACAACAAAAAAAAAATAGAATGACGAATAATAGTTATTACATCGTTGAAAAAAATCATCACTGTACTCATTTATCTTCTCTCTCAATATATACCTCAAAAAGCAAAAGTACGAAATAAATGTTTGTTCTGTTTCACCATACAAGTCACTGGTTTCCTGACTTAAAATTCATCCTTTGAATTATTTCGCGTGTGTTGGTGGCTTCCAGGGTTCAGGTGGTGGAAGATTTTCGATCGGAGTAAATCGAAAACGTCTTTCAAAACTGTAATCATACATCAATGCGCCAACGCTTTGTTGGTCCGAGGGATGTCCGTTGTGAGCATTGGCAAAGACTTCAGATGATGATGGAGGGGGTGGCGGTGGTGGTCGACGTAATGTTTCGGTGCCATTGTGAGGCCCTACATTTCGAGGTGGGGGAGGTGGTGCGGGCGGCGAGGATAAAGGACCATTTGCGTTCATCATATTGGTAAATTTGGCAACATGACCTGCATTTAGTTGAACAGTTGGTTGATGACTATTGTCATTATGAATTGATGGAGGTGGTGGCGGAGGAGAGGGGCGAACGAACCTCGCTGCAGTATCTAAAATTGGTAATCGAAATTGTTTCTATGGGATAAACGAACAGCAAAAAGGTGTAGTAGCTACTTGACGGAGACATTGGTTTTATTGTATTCGCATTGGCACCGTGTGCGGATGACGAGGATGGCGGTGTTGACGGAGGAGGGGGAGGAGGATCTCGAGGTGGTGGCACTTTTGGCGTAGTTGCTGGTTGAGCCGGTGATATCGGACGATTGATATTTCTATTCGTAGGTTCAGTTTCGTCTAAATAGAATGCAGTTGTATTCAATGTTTTTTTCTTGCGAAGCAGTCTTTACTTTTCTTTCGTAACACGTCAGCTGGATTCACCGACGGATGCATTGGTCTAACTGGATGCTGCAATAACGACGGAGGAGGTGGAGTAGAAGGTTTTTCAGAAGCTGGTAGAATTGAGGGTGGTGGCGGTGGGGGTGAAACTGGTGCAGTATTAGTTGTTATAGTTGTCGGAGTTGATTTGGGAATCGACTGCTGTGTTGGTGGTGGAGAAGCTGCCGCACCTGGATAATTATGGGTAGCTGTTTTCTGTGCTCCATCTCTAGATGCGTTAGGCTTTTTTAGAACCGATCTCGGATCCGACGGTATAACTAATCCACCGGTCATTGGGGACGGCTTTACCGCAGTATCTCCACGAGCATGTGTATTAGAAGAACTTGAAGCACCTCCTGATGAGTTACTGCCAGTACCAGCACTATCCTTCTTCACATTGCCAATAATCGCACCACTTCGATCATCAGTTTCCGCGTGTTTCAAACCGCCTTTTTTGAATTTAGAAATTTCGTCGAGTAAGCCAGCTCGATCGCCGCCACTAGCCGGTGGACGAGCGGCAGTCAGATTGGCTGGTGGCGGTGGTGGTCCTGGAGGTGGCGGTGGGCCTGGAGGTGGCGGCGGACCGAATGATGGAGGAAGAGGTGGTGGCGGGGGTGGGGGTGGTGGTGGCATTTGAAAGCTGCTGTACGATCAATAGTCAAGTAGAAGTACCATGTCTGTCTTTTATCTGCAATGAAGATAAGATGTATTACCACGTCATAAGCGTGAATAATCAAACGCGCACTAGAGTATGGTGAATAAGAGACGGCAAAAAAGTCCCACGGAAAAAAAAGTAACGAAATATATAAGCATTGTAAATATGTTTTTTTCGTTCTCCGCAGTCGTTGTCATTCTATGTCAACAAATATAATAGTCACACATTATTTTCTTTTTTATGCGATGATAAACAAAACAGAAAAAAATCACGGAATGGTTCTTTGTGCAATGTCGCCCATCAGAATAAGCGTGTCATTTCTTACGTCCTCTTCTTTTATTCAGTTTTCACAAACGCCTATTTGACGCTCAAAAATCTAATCATATCAAATAACTAAAAACATTATTTTTAAAACCATGTGACTATGGTGATGATATGTTTCTTATCTGACGACAGTAAAATATTGAAAGAAGAGCGAAAAAAAGCACGACAAAGAACATGAAAAGGCATTTCTAAGATAAATAAACCTATATGAGAACGCTGTTCGAAACTATATAAATAAAACAAACAACTATTTCGCTATGCCAAATATCTTATCTATTGCATATTTTCCGTCTATGATCATTACAACGAGGAAACCGAATCGCTGCATCTTTAAATTGAAAGCTATCGGTAAAGCTAATATTGCTTCTCACGAATAAAGACATGTGGTTAAAGAAAACTCACGCATGTATCATATGTTGCTCATTTTTGAAATAGGAGATGTGACTCACGAAAGATAAGACATCCTCATTACTAATCAACGATAAGCGTACTGAATTCCATGATAAGACTTGCCAATGCAAGATACAAACGAATCAATCTCATTAGTAATTGTTTATCTATCGTACAGAGATGAGATGGTAAAACTGTGAAGTTCAATAATCTCTGAATATCGGTATCAAATATTTCCATTGCACCTGACTCGGTCTCAAAAATAAGAACTAAAGAACAGTGTACTTCTCTGTTTATTAAAAAGTCGTAAAATTTCTCTTCGATGATGCTGTACATAAGTTTTTGATAATCGAAACGAGCTACTCTCGAAAAACGATGACTTTCGTCGAGTGACAGACTGCTTGAAAGTATGAAAAAAACATTATTTTTCATAGAATTTTGACAAAAACAGAACAAATAGAACAAAAATAAAACATATTTAAAAAAAAATAACTTCATTGAACCTAAAACAGACCAATGGGTGATCTTATTTGATTTGCAACTGATTCTGCGCGACATCTCGCCATACAATGTAACAATATATATCAAACCATTGTCTTTGACATGTGAACCACAGAATCGAACGTGTTTACATATGTTTTAATCAACTTCTATTGAATCATTCAATGTCAATATCATTGTTAGACATATTCATTTGAATATACTTGAACAAGTTCGAACTTTTGTTTTGTTTTCATTCGCCTTTGTTCAAAGGTTCTTTTCTCTTTATGTCTTCCTTGCATTTGACATAGGTATTACTTCGTTGCGGTATGTATGATAAATAATGCCTGAATACACGTGAAGAAAAATAAACATCAGACAGATAGGCTGACGCACATCACATCGCTGGGTATCTATTTATTCATACCCCTGCTATTCCACAGGCTGCATGTCGATAAAAACAAAAGACGGAGGAGAAGGAGAAGGAGAAGAAGAACTGCTATTATTTTCTTTCCCATGGTCATGATTAACGTCGAGATTATCATTCGTATTCTATACTGTTTGTTGTTAATGATAAGGCGATCGTACACATCTGTGTCTTTTAGTGTTTTCTATGATTTGAAAAGAACTTTCTCGTTGGTTATTCTATTAGAACGAGATCTGTTAATGAAAGTCAATATTGTCTCATGTGTTTTGATAGTAAACGTTCAGATTAGTTGATATTTGAATAGCAGAGAGAAGATATTTGGTAAATAAGAAAATAAAAGATGATTATTTTTATTGTCGAAATTGACATCGAGACAATCTTTTTCTTTTTCTTCCCCATCATAATTTTTCCTCTTCTGTTTCTACGCTACTCACACATATACTTCACTCGTTCTCTCCTTGCTTTTTTTCTTACATTTTTACTCGTCTTGTATGGTCGTTTGAATGTTAAGGTCTCGTCGTATTTCCGCTTATTTTACTGAATGAAAAACAAAACAAAATCTCCTCATGAGGTTGTTTGCTGATTATAAAAAGTTAAATTTTATCGTTAAAACGTCATGTAAAGTATTTCTGAGATTTTCTGCTTCACTTTTCTGAATTATTAGGATTCTCTTGCAGAGAATAACGTCACTTTCAATTCATATTGGTTCTGCTTGAAACCTGTAGATTGATATGAATAAATATATCGCTCCAGATAGTGGAGTTCGATATGAACCACCAAAGCAAGGTTTGGAACGTCGACGGTCATGTACAGGTAAGACGAAATGATTTTGAACGAATGACAAAATCGAAAATTCGGGTTTGTTCGAATTTCAGATATTCCGTGTTGCTTCATTTTTCTCATATTCATTCTTCTCTTCGTTGTACTAAGCATATTTGCCTTTCAAGAAGGTAGGAAGAAGACTCTCGAATAAAACTGTCAATTGATTGTCAATAGGTGATCCAAAACAACTTCTCCATCCGACCGACAGTCAAGGGAACCTATGTGGATCAGGCAAATTTCCAGATCGTCCTTATGTTTACTTTTTCGATTGGACAAAATGCATAAAATCACTCAATTTCGCATCAAACATGTTAAAAGGCCGTCCATTTGTATGTCCAACAACTCAAGTATGTGTTCAACAATGTCCAAGTCAATCCGCCTATTATCAATTTAATAATTATCAAACTTATCGTGTTTGTACATATGATGTTACTACGAATAATACTAATAATGTTCAACTCGTAAGAGACGGCAAATGTGCACCATATGTCTTAGCTAGTAAGCCACTCTTCGGTCGATGTATTCCTGAGACGTTAGAAAATCTAGTCAATGATTTTATTCAAGTTAGTGATAGATTTCTCTGTTTGATAAGAGAAAAATTAGGTATCGTTTATCTTTAGGTGCCAAATAATAACAATGTCAGTCAAAATCTTACTGATTCTAATGGAGAAGTCCTAACTCGAGCAAAGTTAGAACAAGTAATCAATATTGTTTTATTAAGAGACATAGGTTTTTGTTTGTACGTGTAAACTTATCTCTAGGGAGTGAAATACTTAGTTGATTTGTTGAATTTAAAGCAAGTTGGTGCATTTCTTGTCGAAGATTTAACAACATCATGGAAATACATTCTAATCGCATTGGCTTTTGCCGCTATTATTTCCGTAGGTTCATTCGAACGTCTGATAAATAGGAAAAGATTGTTGTTTGTAGTTTATATGGATTGTTGTAATGCGTTGGCTGGCTAAGCCAGTTGTTTGGCTTGGAATTCTCTTATTTATCTTTATGTTGGCAATCGTAACTGGCCTATCATTTTACGAATTCGATCAACTTCGAAAGAAAAATGATAATCAAATCATCACCGAATTTAAATTTGTCGCTGATGCGAATTATTATCGAGGTTTACCAATAACATGGTTGGTTCTTGGCATTCTATTGTCGATTCTACTCATCATCTCAATTCTCGTTTTTTTGGCCTTATTAAAACGTTTACGGATCGCTTTAGCTATACTCAAAGAAGCATCAAAAGCGGTGGGCTATAACTTTTTCAGTCTTTTTTGGCCGTTTATTCCATTTTTGTTACAAATTGGCATCTTTGTTTATTGGGCTGTTGTGGCTATTTATTTATCTACAGCAGGAAAACCCATTTATCGTATTGTTTATAATGAGACATTGGCAAATACAACAAATGTGCAATTAGGCGATATTTGTGATCCGAAGAAGTGGAATAATACCAATGGATCGAATGGACAATGTGTCTTTTGGGAATATGGATATGATCCACAAATTGATTTGGATAGTGTATTAAATGGTATGTTGGATTTTGAAAATGAATTGAGGAAATCGACTGATTTTGATTTAGGGACTGGTACTCATTTCAAATCGTTCATTATATTCGTAAATGAGCATCAGTGGCTACCTCAAGTTTTCTCCGTTTTTATGTTATTTTGGTTGACAGCTTTTGTTATTGGATTTAGTCAATTAGTTCTTGGTAAGTCGTGTGCAAGTCGAAGTAAATGATTGACTATGAATATTTTAGCTGGTATCTATGCGCGGTATTATTGGGATCGTGAACGATTCGGTGTTCCCTGTTCATCGCTACTCGCTTCTCTTTTTCGTGCGCTTATCTTTCATCTTGGTACAATCGCATTTGGTGCTTTAGTTATTGCAATCGTGAAATTGATTCGCGGCATTTTAGAATACATTGAAGAGAAAATTAAAGACAAAACTGGTATTATTGCTCGATGTTTATTCTGTTGTTGCCGTTGTTGTTTATTTTGTTTGGAAAAATTCTTGAAATTTCTCAATCGTAATGCTTATATCATCACTGCGATCTACGGCACAGGATTTTTTACATCTGCAAGACGTGCATTTCATTTAATCGTGTCAAATCCTCTTCGTCTACTTGTTATCGATAAAGTTTGTGATTTCTTAATTTTTCTTGGCAAGTTATGCGTCACAGCTGGTATTGGTATTCTCGCTTTCTTTTTCTTCACACATCGAATAGCTCAAGCCGAAAAGTATGTTCCGGAATTGCATTACTATTTCGTACCTTTGCTATTGATTATAATTGGTACATACATCATTGCGACGTGTTTCTTTTCGGTCTATTCGATGGCGGTCGATACTTTATTCATTTGCGCAATACAAGATATACAACTACATGAAAGTAATAAAGATCATCAGCTGATGATGCCGAAAGGCTTGAAGAAGGTTTTTCGTGTTCAAGACAAATAAATCGAATTAGTGGATTATCGATCGAAATCAATATTTAGATGATCTGAACCGTCTGGAATATTTTAAAATTAACCTGTTGAATGTCTCGATGCTTGCATTTGATTTCCCTCTGTTTCTTTTTTGTATTAGTTAAGTTCAGCAATAAATGCAGGGTGGCCCAAAAGCCACGCAACTGGGGAAAAAATTTCATATTTCCATTATGACTCAACCGAACGGACTTCTTTTTTTTACCAAGTATAAAGGCACGTCCACACTCCGAATCCATATAGGCAAGATTAGTCAGGACTTTTCTTAAGTATCACTATTGACCTCAACAAGAAATTTTACATTTTCACAAAACAATATACGGAATGGTATAAAAATGACTTTGTCGAAAAAGAAAATTGTACATCTCCATTACGGCTCGAGCTAAAAAACTTATTTTTATTTAACCAAACACAGAAGCATGTTTGTATTCGAAATCGATACAAGTGGCATGACTGAGGATCTATGTTAAGTATCATGTTTTCTTTTCCTATCTATGAACAAGTAAAAATTTTCTTGTTGAGGACAATAGTGATGCCTAACCGAAGTTCTTATTAACCTTGCCCATATGGATTTGGAGTTTGCACGTGCGTCTTTACTTAACAAACAAAGTCCGTTTGATCGAGTCATAATGGAGATATGAAATTTTTCCTCAGGTGTGTGACTTTTGGATTACCCCGTATTTTCTAGTGTTGCTGTTCATTATACAAAAAACAAGCTTTTATTTATAATGAAAGAGGTTTCTTTTCAAGAAGATTCTTCCAATTGAATGGTACATCAATATCACAAGTTCGCACTTGTTCGGAAATGTCCGGTCCAAGGGGTGATCGACCTTCAGGCACAAGATTGTCGGGCATTTCGGATAGAACATTCAAAGACCGCTGATACCGTTCGATGCCGTTCCTTGATAAGAATGAAAGCGAGAATTTTAGATGAAAAATAGAGGCTAGGAAAGCTCACCAAGCAATCATAATGCCATTATCAGTGCATAATTGCGGTGGTGGACAAACAAGTTTAACGCCATAGTGAGCGCATAGGTCGTGAATACGTTGTCGAAGGTACAGATTACTGGATACACCTCCTGACAAAACCTAAATAGATGTCAATTCAAACGAGTTTTTCAGTTTTTTTCAATGTACTTACAAGCGTGCGTTTCCATTGAGGTTTTTTAATGGCATCACAGAACAGTATTGCGCGATGAATACGTGTTTCGATATGTCGAACCACACTTGCTTGGACACACGCAGCAAAATCTTTCAACTGTTGTTCATCGGAAGTCGTTGATCCTAACAAAACATTTCTGAATGGTACGATAAATACGATTGAAATTTACGTACCACAATAGATTGCTTCTTTGTCGACAACTCGAATAATTTGAGATAACATTCCGCCGAAACTGAACGAACAATCTTTCATTTTAGCGGAATATTTTGGCGTGATCAATTGGTATCGACTTTCGTCACCATCTCGAGCTAACCGTCCGATAGCTGCTCCTCCGGCCATATCACGAACAAGTGCATGTTCGTGCAGTTTCATTGCTCGAGCACTCTAGACCAATCACGAGTCCATTTACCAACATAAATTCTTCATTAGCCTTACTTTATCGAGCGCTTCTCCTGGTGCAATATCTTTCGTTTCACCTAACCGGTTGAATTTATCCACATCTTCTACAATTCCCAAAATACAATGGCCACCACTGGCCAATAAAACCATATACGGGAAGGAAACGCTACGAAAACCAACATCCGTTGAAGACGTACAACAAATAAGTAATTTACTTGTGGGTTAATCGAACAGTAAGCGCATGTGCTTCCATATGGTGAATGGGAATAAATGATAAATGGGAATATTTATGGAGAAGTTGTCGAGTAAAATTTATTCCTTGCCATAACGAAATCACCAGACCTGGTTTGACACTTGTGGCAATCGCGGCAATTGTCTAGACTAAATCAAAGCAACATGTATTGACTCGTTTGACAGAGATGTTCAGTTGCGGCACGCAATCACTCACATTCCATTCGATATCTTTCATCGTCTCAGCAACGACTGGTACTAGATTTTCATAATGATGCTTTTTGGCGATACTTGGTACAATTCCACCCCACGGTTGATGATATTTCAATTGACTTCGATATACTTCACTCAGAATGGTTCGTTCACTGTCAACAACAGCTGCAGCTGTATCGTCACAACTTGTTTCGATACCTAGGATTCTCAATGGATGAGGAAATCGATGTGTCGATAGACGTCGTATGATCATCTATTCAATGGAAAAGAAACGAGTTTTTATTGCACTCTGTATTAAAATCAAGATCAATCATCATATGACATTCTCAGTTTTTCAAAATCATTGCACGATAAAAAGAGAGAAGAGATAGCAGCACTAATATACAACGAAACGAGATGAAATCAAACGTCAAACAAGAACGATCATTGTCGTGGTTCATTACGCAAAGCCAAGGTCTTCGAGTACACTGCGTTTTTCTTCCAATTCTTCCTGCAAAATATCAAGGAAAGCACGTTAGATTATAATCAATCAATATGTTCACGTCAAAACAAAGCACATTCACGAACACATACATCAAAAGCATGAAAAACGATAAATTCGTGCAAATATTGTATATTTTTATTTGATTACTCAGCGTGTTTGACATATGTGAAAACGGAAAACTTCGAGATGCAACTGTTGCTAAAGACAACACTAAGAAGAAGAAGAAGAAGAAGAGAATTCTCTGGAAAAGTTCAAATCTGACTAAATAATAAACGCGAATTGTTCATGAAAACTGAAAAACACAACGAAAGATATTCCGAATACAAAACACATGCAAAATGAAGCGTGCGTGTCTTTATATGTCAAATCATCATCAGAGCTGGATATGCTTATCCAAGACCATGATCTTCAAAAAAACCCTGCGGTGTTTCTTCCTAGAAATAGATAGATACAAAAAGGACATAAGCGAGAAAGCATGGCTCAATGCGGAGAGAAGGAAAAAGTTATCGCGCTGAAATTTTATTCCGAAGAAAAGGAGAATTTCGATTATTTTCAAGAGCAAGCATCTTTATAAGTAGGAAAATCAAATCAATCCGTATTCATAGAGTGTTTCTTGGAGTTGATCATCCTAGGAATGATACATTGCAAAGCGTGTTTTAGATGTCGTTCACTGATGAGTAAATAACTTGGAATTTCGAATCTATCGATCATCAGAAAAGGATTTTCGAATACAAAACTCACCTCTTGAATGATGTCTTGATCATTGATAGCTTTCAGAACGCTTTTTTTACTTGTTTCTTGAATTTCTCCGCCAAGGATGAATTCATCGAAGATGAAATAAGCTTTTTCAAAGTTGAAAATAATATCCAATTCACAAACCTATCGACAATCTCATAGTTAAACAAGATGATATTCACATTCACTTACACTGCCGAAGTACTTATCGAGCAATTCCACATAACGATGAATGGTTTCCAATGTTAGTAGTTCATTATCATCTTGTTCTATCGCACAACAAAAGTAAAGACTAGCATATCTAAATGACAGTAGAAATGTCGACATCTAACTGGGGAAGAATGTGTTTTTTTTACCGTTTGTAGACTACTTTCAGATCTTTCCATTCGAGAAAGCTTGACATTTTTGGTTTACGTGAAAGAACTGCCGCGATCAATTCACGTGTGATCTTCTTCTTCGACTTCTCCGTTTGCGGTGTGTACCATTTTTGTAAACGAAGTTTGCCCTGTCGACTGAACAGAAGAATAAATTGAATCTAAACAAATATGATCAGTTCAGCATTGCACAACGTAAGGCAAATAGCTATTCCGATATTTACCATATCAATTCTTATTCGTGAGACAGACAGAAACGATCTGAAACATATTTAGATATGATAATCTAAAATTTCTTTTGAGATAAAAAACTACAAAAGAGCAAAGATGGTCTTTTATTCAAATGAAATGATAAAAACAATCAACGTACAATAACCGGACACGAGCGTTATCCTCTAACTGTTCCAATCATTGTTTTTTTTTGTCACAAATCCAGAATATCTATCTGACAATGACACCCATAACAAAAAAAGCTAACAAATAAAATCCGGATATCGATTTCTTTCTTTTCCTTCTTCGCTTTTCTATGTATCATTCTGATTTTTTCTTGCTTAGTCACAATGTACATGACATCAACATCGAATGTGTCGATAATAAACAAAAAAGAACCTGAAGGAGAACTAGAGCAAACACCAGTTCTACCGTGAAATATCCATGAAGAAAGAAAGTCAAACGAAAGAACGAAAACTGGAGAAAAAGAACATATCTAGAAATGAGGATACTGTTACAAATATAAAAACGAGCTCAGTACTTGAAAGATAAAACAAACAAAACAGAACTGATAGTTTAGACTGCCGTCATCAATGTCGAACGTGTACTCGAATTGTTATTGTTGTTTATATTCGCATTTCGGGTCGATGAGGGTGGTCGCATTGTCATAAATGACGAACTGATGGATTTCGGTGTCGGTTTTGATGATATGAAAGCAGACGTAGGACTATGATTGAATGGAATGACGAAACGAAATTTGCCAATTCCTTCGCTTTTTGTTAGATTATCGTAACCTTGAGCATACGGAGTTTCTTCGTCGCCATCATCTTGACTGGTCATTGCAGATGAAAGTAATGGTTCGACGGATCGAGCATTTCGTATCGTTGGTCGCTGATATTGATCAAATGGAGTAACAACACATTTAGTTGAACGTTCAATAGTTATTGGAATATCGTAGATACGTTTTGGTTTCGGCTGAAACAAATAAATCAACACATCATTCATTTGTAGGAAGTTTTACTTACTTGTTCTCGAAATTGAACACGTTGCTCATCGGTTGTGTCAGATGGTGATTGAGTTTGACTGTGTGTAAAACGAGGCACTGGTATTGGGGAGGATGGAACGGTATCATAGGCTTGCGTACGAGTACGGTGTTCATTCAGATTCGGTGTCTGTGGAACTGACGTGGTCGATGATGCAAATGGTTTTGTGAAGAGATTTGCAAGTTTATTAACATATTCTGTTGGTGTATTAGGAACAGGTGAACGATGTGGCACTGCATTCGGACGATGACGAGATTGTCGATGTTGAGTGGAAGAATTGTCCGATACGCGTAGACAGAAAACGGTGTTTTCAGGAGAGGACGACTGTTCGTTGTTTGAGCGAGATGATTTTGATTTTGCACGGTGAGAATTCTGACCATTGGGTCGAGAAGAATGAGATTCAGAACGACTAAATTCAATAAATCTTTCTTATACAAAACAAAACTGTTTTGTCGCAGCATCTTACTGATGTTGATCATGGTTTTTGATTTTATCGCGTCGTTGAGGCGGAACAACAACATGATTATTATTCCGATCGACTGGCGTAGACATAACCGCCACATTATCGTAAGATTTAGGTTGATCATATGCTTCACTAATTGGTGTCGCATTTGATCCATTCGTGAATCGACGTACAGGTACAATTAATGTTCCATCATCACCGTCATTATTATGTAATTTCGATGCATTATGATAGATAGTTGCTTTGATGACTGGTGTTGAAGGTTGTGGGGTAGGAATCGATTTCGTAGTACTTGACGACGAATAAATTTCTATTCGAAAAAGGTAAATACATCATTCGAAGATGAATATGATTCTGTTCAACACTTTTACCATTCGATGGACAATTAATCGTTCCTGACGAACTATCAACGTCGGAATAAATATGCGGTTGAGACGAACTTATCGACGGTTGTCGATGTTTACTCAATGGAGTCGATGTTGTGCTTCCACCTGCTGTAAAGGCAAATTGTGAACTACCTTTGATTTCGACGTATTTTGCTAATGTGTTCAATAGCCTTCCCATGCTGTAGATATTGTTCCCACGGATGAAAATAGTTTCGTCGTGTTCATCGATCAGTGCAAACTGAATATCACGTGTTCGTTCTTCGGGAAAGGATAATTTACAACGTTTCAAGCACAATTCATGATCCGTTTGTTCGCTCAAACGGGATTTATGTATACGAAAGATTCCATCGACGATCGTACAGTATTTGGTAACAAAAGTATGATTATCCATAGAAACAACGAGAAAACCTATGATGAAGAAAATTAGTCGGTTTCGATTGAGTAAAGAATTTTACCTCGTAGTTCACAATGTTTCCTTGTTTTTTCATCAACACCTGTTACATTTGCCATTTGATCGAGTAAATGTGATACGAGTTGCCCTTTCTTGCGATTAAATTGAGCGAACATACGGCGAGCATTGCGTGAAAGTGTTTTCACATTACTTCGACTCTTGGCATTATCTTTGGATTTTTGTGATGCTGCTGTCGCATCTTGAAATGACTACATGAGAAACAAGAACTTATAGACAAGCAAACAGAAAGCATTTCAACTTACTTTTAGCCAACTATTCAATTGTTTCGAGTCTTGCGGTCGAACATAAATGGCTTCCGAAAGACCCATTTGTAAGCATAAACACTCATAATTATCCATAGTAGCCATATGAACCTTTGCGTTCGTCATATCAGACACCCATAATGGTGAGCTATCATTATCCGATTGCATTTGACTTGTTGGTAATGACTTTTTATCAGCTGAGAAACAAATTAGATCGTAATCATCGAGAACATAATAACGCCATATCCAATTATGATTTTCATCATAAGTTAAAAGTGGACCATTAGCAATTATTGTTGATGTTGGTGTGGACATCGATAATCGACTAGGTGGCTTCGATGGGACGCTGTCAGGACAGTCTATTATTAAAGGAAAACTTTGCCGGAAAATTCTTTCGAAAATGAAAATTACCATTGGGAGTTTGGGGTGTTGATGCTTCGAGATAAGTATTTTTCGGAACATCGATATACCATTGACTATGAGCATCGGCTGTTTTATGTTTAGCATTGGGACAAGTTTGATTATCACTGTTTGATGAACGTCGAGTAACGAGTGGAACAGATTGTTGTTGAAGTCGTTCTTGTTCGTCTTCGAGTTGTTTCTTACGTTCTTCTTCTTCTTCATCAGTAAAATCATCGCTATCATCATCTTCTTCATCGGATACCACATTCGAATGAATCCTATGCAAAACATACAGATCAGATCAAACCAACGAGAAGTTCAATTTTGAAAAGACTTACATTGTTTGATTCTCAGGTATGGGTGTTGGGTGAGTGGTTGCAGGTCTACTGAGTTCATCGAGTCTATCAACGTACATCGCAGCGATTTGACGGTGGTCATTATCTAAATTTGTACTGTTTAACATGGAACGAAGAAAATTTTCGAGACCGGGCAGGAGTTCTAGAAATACAAATGAGTTTTCAATCATCAATTCAATTCTAGTCTTACCATTAACGTTATTTGTTGTCGTTGTTGAGGCCATTGCAGTTGATGATATGAATAAGTCGATAGGAGACGACGATTGTCGATCACGCATTACGATAATTCACATCCTTCGTTGTTCACGTTAGTAGGAGGGGCCCTTCAACTGTCTACAAATAACAACAACAACAACATAACACTGCTTGATCAATGACGCGAATATGCAAGAAAATATGCTTCTTTCTTCCTTTTTTCTTCTATAGCACAGGGTGTAGTTACCAATTGAATTTTAAGACCTCCGTTACGTTTATATAAATGTACAGGGTATGTTTATGAGCTGGTAATATTGACCTTCATTTTAGCGCAACCCTATCGAACAGAAATTCTAAATGCATAGTGCTTTCTTTTCTCGCTCTCTCTCTCCTCTCCCTTTTCATGCCGATTTAGACAGAGAGAGGGAAGAGAAGAAAGCGAGAACGACGAGAAGAAAGGTTAACATCTTTCTCGATCACCTACTCGACCATTTGTTCACATAAAAGTTTTAAGAAAGAAAGAAAGAGAGAAGAAAGGAACAATTCTCGTCAATAATACTACTTTTGTTTAATAAAAGAATATATGTTCATACATATACAAGAGTATGTTGTCTGAAATCTGATATGGATATACACGCGCAACTCTTCTTCTCAATTGCTATTGTTATTCTTTTTAATTGTGCATCTGATTCTCTTTCCTCGGTGTCAATATTTGTTTCTTTTTGATTATCGCAGACAACAGTCAATGATACAAGAAATAAGCTTTCTATAAATGGACGTCTTTGCAATGTGATCTCTATTCGAGCAAGATCAAAGCAAGCTTGCTTAAAGTAATACTCTTTTTCTCTCATTCGTGTCCTTAGGGAATAGATTTACCTACTAGAATTCTACTCGAACATAAAAAAAAGAATGTTAAGAGACATGCACATTCCCGTTAAATCTATTTCAAGTATCGATTAGAGGCAACAATCCGATGTTAGAGAAAATGTCCAGAGAACAACGTAACATATCTGAAATTCACATTTACCAATGAGTTGATCCTAACATTCCGTCGATGACCTTTATTTGGTTAATAGAAACATAAACAAATCTCTCAAATGTTCACTATTAATTATTATGGTGATATTCGACTTCTTTTCTTTTTTTCCCTTCTATTCATAGCTCGAAAAAGCACCCGAGAATGTAATATAAACAGTATCGATACATACAATTGATATCAATCTTTCCAGTAAACAAATTGTAACATATAAGAGATGTCTATCTAGAAAAAAAAGCAATGCAAATTAATTAGTAATATAAAAATAAATGAGTCTGTCGTTTTTCATTCGTTCGTTCTTTTTCTTTTTGACTTTTTCATTCTTCGAAACGATTATATAAATGCAAATAGGAATTTATCCTTCTCTTTGTATTCTCTAAACGTATATATCGCATACTTGTAGTATAACCTCGTTTATCTAAGTTGTGTATACATGTAAATTTAATCATTGATGATAGAACACGAATACATCGTCACCTGAAGGTGTCATATGCTCATTCACCATCATCTCATTAATAAAACCCTTTGAATATTTCCATTCTTGACAAACAGTATACCATCATGCAAAACGATCGGCATTCGATGCAGCCAACTGTTCAACTTCATCACGTAATAAAATGTCTCGCTCTGTTTGATTAGCAAATAGAAGCCAAATTTTAATACCAACATGTCCATTGGAGGGGACAATGGATGTTTGTTCTTTGAGTATTTCATTCAATATTTGATACGTTGGTGTTATGCCTGAACCGGCAGCAATAAGATCAAGTCGACTAACAAATGATTCAGACTTACGTGAACGTATATCAAATAAACCATTATGTCAATGTATAAGATTTCCCCACGGAACACGAATATCAAGGGTTTGACCAATTACAGTTAAAGTCATTCCAACATTTGAATGAATCGAAATAACCTTGGTGGGCATTGAATGTGCCATTGGATAGGCGTAGTTTGTGTTACCAGTGGATCAAGAGTATGTTTTATTAATAGAAACTGGAAACGACGAAGACACGCATTATCAGAAATATTATCTTGATGAATTAATGTCGATTTGTAGTTTTAATGAAACATAAAAATGACTACGGATTGTTGTACCAGTTGTCGGTTCTCATCTGATAATTGTCGAGCATAAACTAAAAAAGGTCTTTGAAAGTATCAAACTAGAAGTAATCTAGATTGATTCCATTCCCTTAAAGAATGAGTCATTCGATGGAAACATTCCTTTCTCTGACCAATGATGTATTACAAGACTGAACCAATGCCAGATGAGAACGATAGGGGACTTACTGAACCGATTCTTTCATTAATTGTTCAAACTATTTCAAGAAAAGAGGAGAACCTTTGATGAAAAGGTGCTTACACGACAAGAACACAAGAAAAAGGAGAAGAATGTACAAAATCACTGATGCATATTCACACAGAGAATATGAGAGGGGAAAAGAAATGTAAATGAAAAACATGTCCTTTTTTATTCTATTGAATGTAAGTGTAATATCGAGAAAAAAAAAGAAAGAATTGTATGAAGCGGAAAAAAAATAGGTATTGAAATGAAAATTTATTCAATTCTATTGAGAAATATTTTTAAACGACATTTACATCTTTTCACTCAATATGCAAAATAAGAAACCGAAATTGTACCATGGGTGTCAAGTTAAATATCGTGTTCTGTGTTTAATTATTAAACTATTTTACTTACGATGAAGATTTCCAAGCTGATTATGTAATCGTACCGAGAAGAATCTCAACGATTCATAAATGTGCGCACCAGTGAACGAGAGATTTGCAAGAAAAAGTAGAACATCTGGGTCGACTCTCCTTGATAAATTAATAATATACAGACCTTGATTTATCACACTGATCAAATAAATCTGTCAATATATGTATAGATATTGATTATGTTCCAGTGTTTCCTAAGTCGAATAGCATCGTTCAGAAGGAACGAAATCAGGTTCTGCCTCGAACTGTACAAATGTTTTCTCGTTGTTCTCTGAGATAGCTTTCGAGAGGAATGAATTAGACAAAAAAAAATGAAGAGAAAAATGTGATCTCGCCCGTACTTTACGACAATTTCATTCCGTCTCTACTTTACTGTCCTTCGACAGACTTCACTTGTACTTCATCCTATACACTTCAGTTTTTGCTTTCAAGTAGATTGAAGCATTGCGTTATTCCTCTTAGAATAGACAAAAATCTTATTATTCTCAATGGGTATTAAACATAACATTTTCTTCTCTAGCAGAAGTGCAACGAGAAAGAGGAACTCATCACCAAATACAACATGTCTGAGAGAACTGTTTAAGATATGTATGAATGGAAAGATGCGGCAACGTGCGACATCTGTCGAATAAATACAAAATATCATTTTTCTATATCTTTTTAAGAATTGAAATCGAACAAAAATGAGTTTTTCATTGATTTTGAATGAGAGTTTTGCTTCATTTTCCGTATGACATTTTCCAAGTGTTTCTCAGAGGTTTGAAGTCTGTGAATGGATCGATGGCTAATAGGAAAACGAACCATTAGGCTAGTAATCAAAATGATTCTTATTTACTATTACAAAATTCTAACTGAACTTAAAGACTCGAAATGCTAATTTTTCTTTTCTAGATTCTCGTCTGTCGAACAGAATCCCAAATAAACAAACAAGAAAATCATGGAGTCCATCGATCGTGGTTCGGTCAAGGATGTTGACCAACAACAATTCACAACTGCTTTTGCCGAATTTCTCAAAAAAACTGGCAAACTCGCTTTACCAGATGGCAATTGGGTCGATATCATCAAACTAGGTATTCACAAGCAAATGGCTCCAGTCGATCCTGATTGGTATTACACACGTTGTGCATCCATTGCCCGTTTCCTTTACTTACGTCGAACAGGTGTTGGTGCTTTTACACGTGTCTACGGTGGTAAAAAAAACAACGGTGTACGTCCATCACATTTTCAACGTGGTTCACGCAGTGTTGTTCGCAAATGTTTACAATCACTTGAAAAAGCTAAGCTCGTGGAAAAACATGCTTCAGGTGGTCGTGTGCTTTCCCAATTAGGACGACGAAACATGGACACCATTGCTAAGCAAGTTGCTGAAAAACTTGCCCGACAACAACAACAATTCTAATGAGAATTTCATTTTGAAAATTGATTTTCAATGAGAGAAAAAAAGAACATCATTGAACCTAATCAAAGAAATAAAGAAACATCATTTCTAGTTTTGAATTTGTTTTTATTGTAAGATCCGAGAAGAAAAACAAAATAAACAAAAAAAGAAAGCAAAAAGATCGTCGAAAGAAGTTCAACATCTCTAGATGAGTCACATCGTTATCTTCCACTTCACACATTATACTTCAAACAAGATAATCATTTCATTCGGAGGTATGATCACATCGAATTTGATTCACATGATTAGTTGAAACCTTTTTTCACGAATATTTATTTATGGTACTCGATAGGATCATAAAAAAAAGTGAATCAGTAAAGAGCATAAAAGAATACCTTTATTCTTAGTATATGTACCAACACTACACCCGCGCTCATTAACTGCGAAAAAACTTCGCTAGACAGAAACAAAAAATCCGAATATATAAGTCATTTGTAAATAATTTCTCTTTCTCTCACTTCTCATCCTACCGATTCTTCAACATTCGCATCCGTCTGTCTTTCTCGACACATTACAATAAATTCCATTATTAGTAAAAAAAAAAGAACACAGATTGTAACTAACGTTATTTTATCCTTCGATTCTCATCATCTTATTGAACGAAATTATGTATTTTAATAAATTTTACGCAAATTCAACTGAACGAATCATCACAGGATCGCCAGCGTCGTTTGACAGCTTCGACATCGAACTTCAGCATCCGCAGATACTACGACGACGAGAAATACCAACTGAGACTTATGATGATAACGATGATAATCACAAAGATCAATATTTTACTCGTACATATAGAAATCCATTAAAGTCTAAGACATTCTATACAAGAGGACCTGATCGGACACATTCTATAGATAGTATTGTTACTATTCCTGCAAATCTGGCGTCGTTTTTATCTCCGGAAACTGTCATAACAACTTCACCACTTGCCATCGTCGAGGAAAAGTAAGCGAATGTTTATCTTTTCAGTAGAATCTTTACAAAAAATGAAACTATACAATTCTTTCAAGTAATTGACTGTTTTTGCTCTTTTTTTCTTTCTATACGTCAAAGAAATGTGCTATCAGATCGAAAGAATCGAAAGGAACGAAAAAATAGATAACAGAAAGAGCGGTCGTATTACATTGGTTGAAAGGATTCTTTGTCTGCAGTTGCACTGTAGAGACGTAGGTAAAAATCTATAATAAAGCATTCATTCACACGTTCATTTCTTGTCGGTTATTCCGTAGGGATCGTTCGGTCTATATTAAATTTTCTTTGCTATGCATTCACCGAGGAGATAAGTCGATATTACTAAAAAATATGGCCGTTTGAAGGTGAGGCATATCATGTAGACAGCAAAAGCGGTAGACGTGACTGAATTTTTGACTCTGATATAGTATATAATCGTTAACATTTTCGAATTCCGATGACGTTAGGAAAGTGATATCGAGGTGGAAATCTTTATTGGTGATTGTGTTAATGTTTTGAAACGAAAACACTTATCATGTGCTTTGATTTAAGGAAATTTTCATTCATGACTCGATCGTTACTATCTGGTTTAATTCTCTTTCTTCTTCCAATTGCATTACTCAGCGGTAAAGATCTTCGTTTACCTCGATTTGATCTACAACAAAGTTTACTTCAGGAACCCTTTTTCGATATACGGCCATATCATTTATCTACGGTTTTCTTCTTCTTCTTCTACCTTGGTTGGGAACAATCAACGAAAGGAACATTCGAAGTAATATATTTTAATCGCCTACTCCTAATAAAATATTCTCTCGTTAACAGCTCGCTTTCGTTCATTGATTCTCATTATTGTTTTCGTCAGTGGTCTTGCTGTTATTGCTCAAATTATCTTTCAATCAGTTCTTCTCGCCAACAAACCCTATGGGCACACATTACTCAAGTGTACCGAGCGTACCCAAATCCTTCAATATTTTGGCTTAGAACGGTAACAGAAATGTTTCTTCATGAACAATTTCTCCGTATTGAAAAATTTTTAGCCTTGATAATTCCAATGCTATTCGAGTCCTACGTTTAATCTTTCCTGATATCATCATATTTGCTGTGTCAACAATATGTATCGTGATCATTCGTCGGTCCCTGCGCGCTTCCAGACGTCGGCAAATCAATGATCTTCAAACATCTACAACGACAACAACAAACGATATAACTAATACATCACCATCATCGACAAGTAGTTCGAATCTGATTAATCGAAAGAAGCTTTGGCCAAGACTTTTATCAGTTATCCGACGCATTCGTTTGTTTATCCAATTTCTCATTGTTGGCTTTGCTGCATTTGTTTACCCAAGTTTTATAAATGCGATCTATTTTCTTTTCTTTCTTATCATCGCTTTTATTTGGTCATTTTCGATCAAATTCGGACGAAAGTTTGCGATCTTTCGTGCATTGTTGGTTCTTTATGCAGGCATGCATTTAATCATTTTCTATCTTTACCAATTTACATTCTTTCAACAAGCTCTCCCACCATTATCCTTGTGGAGCAAGTAAGAAAACACAAAGTGATCACGAATTTCATTTGTACTTTTCTCGCATTTTGTAGTGTAACGGGTTTAACAGCAATTGTAATAAATAATTGTACATATAGTGAACCAAATGTGATAACCAATCTTGTATGGAGCGATTATATCAATCCATGTGCGATCTTACTTCTATACTTTTATTTCGCCTTCGAAACTAATCGAACTCTTTTTGGAAAAGTAGATAAAAGAATCATATTTGAAGGAGAAAGTCTTTATTCCACGTTCGATTTTTTAGAAAATACAATCAAATGTCACAACATTGCAATCGATCGAACAACAGGTAAGACATTTGTTAAGAATTGAAGTTGTCTAAGGCAAATTACATGTCATACGTGTTCTTAATCAGATCGATACTCGTCCTAGTTTGAATAATCAGGTTTGCTCAGAAACATTGCATGTTTATATTCTATTTCAATAACTAAATTTTTCCGCACAGAGAAACTTCATTGCAAATCACTCACAATATCATTTAATGTATTTCTTTCGAATAGCATCATGCTTGTTAGATAGACAAAGAGATTCGGATATTAATCATCATGTTCCGATAATTCCTCGTGCATATTCATACTGATTTTCTCTTTGCTTTCATCGCTTAAAATTTGATAAACAGCTGATTTCGAATTGTTTTTTTTGTTACCACAGAGTTTAATGGATAATACTGTGGAACGACGAAATACACTGGAAAATCATTCTCCAACTGCCCAACGCCGATGGAGTTTAGAACAACCGAGTGATCAAACACTACAAGGTCGAGCGATTTTCATCATCTATTCAATACTTCGTGTCTTAGAACGACAAAGCTATCTGCTATCATTAATTGCGATGCTGGTAATCTAAAAACTGTCCTTCTTTCAATTAGATCACATTGCAAAATACCTCTTTTTACAGGCTTGGAGTATTACTTACCATAGTTTATTGACCTTGGTTTATCTCTTATGGGCATGCCTTCTTTGGGTTTTGCCAAATTCTCGAAAATGGTGTTTGAGAATGAGTCCATTTTTTACAATCTATGGTGGACTGTTATTAATCTTACAATATCTCTGTGGTTTCAAAATAGGTTTTGATCAATTAAGTTTTTTGTCCGATCGTCATACGATGGAACAGATTGGTATAAAGATAAATGATTATCACTCGGCATTTATTAGTTCCACTGTCAAAGTACGAGAATTTGTTAGAAGTTTTTATTTTGCGTGTGAATACGTCATCAGATAGACGAAAAGTGACAGAAAGAACAATTATATACATGCATAAGTGAATTTGACTAATTGATAATGATATGGGAAACAAGATGGCTGGATCGAGAGTTATTCCTTTTCCGTATGACACTCTGTCGCTTTTCGTTTGTCTGATGACACACTCGAATTACAATTTTAATTTTCGCAATAAGAAAACAAATTGTCTAACGATTCGATAAATTTCTTTTAGGCCTTTTACATGATGTTCTTTTGGGTAACATTTCGACAATATATAAATGAACGTGGGAATGCCAACATCCAACCAATGGATGGTAAGTTCTTTATTCGAGTGCAAAAGCAGAAATATCCATGAAATACGAATATTTATAGCTGTTGAACTAAGTGAAAGGGGTAATCTGAGCTTTGTAACGTGTTCTTATATGCGATCTGCTTATCTTGAATATTCTCAAAAGAAAGAATTTTTCATTTAACATTCGATTTACATTCTTAGGTCAATCATTGACTTCGTCGGTGGAATCATATCCAAAACGCTTGGGTAAAACCGTTTTCTTTTTTGAATGAATGCTTCATCTTGAGGAACTCGTTGGTTTTTATAGGACGATGGATCGTTAATATCCTAACAAAATACTGGATCTTTGTCTCGTGTGGAATGCTATTACTTGTTAGTATCCAGAATACAGTTGTAATCTATCGAATAATCTATATGGCATTCTATTTGTTTTTCATTCTGTCATTTCAAGTGAGAAGAAATGTTTCCTATGAAAATAATTCTTCTTTTTTGATTTTCAAAGCTCTCGTTTGGGTTTTGGAGAAAAACAGCAGCAACATTTCATTTAACAATTATTATCTATTCGATGATCATTCTCATTGGAATCTATATCTATCAGGTAATATTCCCAAACGTTATTCTGAAAGAATGTATACACATTTGAATCTAATTTTGTAGTTTAAAATAGTCAATGTATTTCTATCCGAAAGGTTTAGTAAAGAATTGTAAGTTTTCTACAACCGAGATACCTATCTTTGATTTTCTCTGTCTATCATATAGACTTATATCTATTGGACTCGAAGAAGTCGAATCTGATGTTCTGGCCGTTAAATTACTTACACCAAGTGCATTTCTTGTAGTTAATATAATGCAATTGTATTATTTTCATTCGGGTTGGATGGAACTAATCACAATGCCAAGGTAAATTTTGAATAAATATGTCGATACGATGGTGAATCGTGTTCATTGTTCGATCTCTCATAATAAACATTTTCATACCTTTCGAACTGTTTTCATTTTCCGTTTTAGTGATAAAAATATCGATGGTCTTGCCAATGCAACACTGAAAGACATTCATATTTATGCAAAAGGTAAGAGAATAATGATCTATGTTAGATGTTGATCTACGTCGAATGTTTGTTTAGAAAATACCGAAAATACCAATCGCCTTTATACTCAACAAATGTTACAGAGTGAATCAGAGACTTGGCAAGAATCGTTATATAAACTGTACTTTCGAGTGAATCGTCGTTACAAACAAGTGACTTATTATGGTTGGCGTTTCGCAGAGATTCATTCATTTAAATTAGTTCTTTTCGTCATGGTTGTTGTTTCTGCTATTCGAGTAAGAAATCATGTTTTACGGAATTGAATTTTCGACAACTGCGACCGTTGTTCAAGGTTTCGGCATTCAATGTTTCATTGATTATCTTAGCAGCGATCGGTTTAGTACTACTACGTTTGCGATCATTGATCAATTTGTTGACGTTAATTGCGACCGGTTTATATATTCTTGCATCGATGTGTTATCAATTAGAAATCGCGAAACAACTCATAGTTCAACGACATATTTTCGTGAAAAATTGTTCACAGGTAAACGTTCTGATAAAAGATATGATTACATGTTATTTTTAGATTATTCCAAATGTTACGCTGGACGAAAGCTTTAATCACATCCCTAATGATACAGCAGAATGGTTTGGCTTTAAATTAACATCGAATATCGGTCGTTTCATCGGAGTAAATAACACAGTTTTGTATTGTTTAAGAAACAAAAAAGTGGATTTTGATTTTCTTAAAGGTCTATATTTTGTTAACAGTTGTGTTAACGTTTGATGCCATTGCGCGATATCGACAAAGACATCGTCGTTTATCGTTATCAGTGCGTTTCAATGTTCATTTAGTTGAAAATCGTTTTCCAGTTCTATTCGAACCATTCGCAATCAAAGATCCCGATGAAGATACATATGAATATGATATACTCAGTTACAATCAAGCTGACCAAAGCATGATTGAATTTCTCAAATACTTGTGTAATTTCATTTTCTATCGATTTGGTCTGGAGGTAAAGAAAGTCGATTTTTATTTGGGAAAAAGACAAATAACGAAGTCTATCCATGGCATTTTTCAATATGTAGATATGTTACATAACAACAGTTATCGTTATTGGTGTACGTCTCGATATAGTGGCTGTGTTATATTCTGTTTGGCTCGGTATTTTCCTAATTTCCAGTCGACGATCAATTCAACGACTATGGCTTGTTTATATTTTATTTCATTTAATTGTCTTACCCATACAATATATGAGTGTCGTAGGTGCTCCGCCATTCCTTTGCTTCGGTTAGTATTTTCAAGTATACTTTACAACTGATGGATGAGAAACGTGTGATTCACCGATCTATCTAACCAATAGGATATGAATAGATGAAACAGACTTGTTGCTGATCTTCACATGAAATCGAGTTTTATTTTACACGATTTCTTCTAGAATATCCGTGGGCAAATGTGAATATTACTGGCTGGTCACAATTGAAACGATGGCTTTACTTAGCAGATTATCAATATCGTCCAGATGCATCGCTGTTAATTGGTAAATTTTGTTGTTTCGAAAAAAGTATTCGACTGATAACTTTAAATGCGTATTTTAGCCGACTTTTTCCAATTTCTCTTTGCTTGTCAACAATGGCGTGTATTTGCATACGAATCCAATGAAAAAGATCGTGTCTATGTTGATGCAGGAGGTTCCAATCGTGAGATAATCTACGATGATGATGTTTACAAGAATAATACTACCTGGGATTTTGTTACCAACAAAAGACACTGGCTTGATCGTATTAAATATGGAATCTTCATGTATGGTGCATGGAGTGTTCTCGCCATTGTCTATCTTGCTGGGACAACACGAATTAGTCTACTTGGTCTTGGATATTTAGTGGCATGTTTTTATTTTCTGTGGTACGGACAAGACTTTTTGACGAAACGATTGGCACTCATGCTTCGATTGTATGTTCATTTGGATTTTTCTTCGATAGTTTATTTTCTCTTTTCCAGATGGAATTATTTGATTTATTATTGTTTCTCGGTAGTGTTTATCAAAGCATGTTTACAGGTATGTGAATCGATAGGAAGTGGAGAGAGAGAGATTTTAATCGGAAGAGTGTTACAAAGTGAGACATGCGCACTTTCAGATAGTCGCATGTGTTGGTATTTTATCAGCTCAATGTGCAGTTCAACAAGTCTTCGCTATTGCTTGTTTACAATCAGGCATTCAAAGATTCAATGACTATGAGAGTACGCTATCTATTTGTTTTCATTTGATCTAGTTTAGTTTCTTTAATTTTGGCATTTAGAAAGAATTTTCTCCCATCTAGAGCATGTTTCTTCTTTCATTTTCGAGGAAAAACAAATGAACAAAAGATTTCAATGTTTATTTGTTTTTAGGTGGTAGTTTGTATCTTTCTTTATCCATCAACATCTTGTAAAATGCAATCGCTCACGTCTACATTTTGCACGTTTGTGGATTTGCTTGTGCCATGCCTGAAGTCAGAATTTAAACCCGAAACAAATTGTCCTTCGAATTACAAAAGTAGAGAGTATTGCAAGCCCTTCTTTTTAAACAACTATATGAATTCTAGCTGGCAATGAACAGTGTGATCGAAGTGCGGCTGATGCAAGTCTTTTCATGTAAATAATATTGCTACTACGTCGGAATGTTGATCTTGAATTTGGTATTTAGGGATGGTTTTTGTATGATATTCTTATTGTTACAAAAACGAATCTTTTCCAGTTATTATTGGGAACATATTGTCACTGAACTTCGTTCGCAAGCCAAGTTAGCTAGTCAAGGTGCTGTATTATTCAATGAATTATCGCGGAAACGAATCGAAGAAGATCAACTACGAGAAGATCAGACTGTTTCGAAAATAACGCGAAGTTTAGAACGTATTAAAGAACAACAATCGAAATTGAATCAAACTGAAGGTAAAACACCATCAGCACTCTCAGAATCTGCAGAGCATTTCGAAGGTATGGTGAATATCTGATAATGTTTTATGAAAAGTTTGTTGTCTTTGCTCTAGCTATTCGTTCTGGTGATTATTATATGTACGAATATGAATCTGATGAAGAAGAAGAGGAAGTGAAAGAAGATGAAGCAACTGTTGCACAAGAACAGGTTTACTTTTAGATAAATAGTGAACACATCGAGCAACGATTTGAATTTAGATTCTCCATGTTTTATCTGCATCAAATAAAGAAGCAGAGACGGCTGTGGTTATGCATAGTAAGTTCAATGGGAAGGAAAAGGAGAAGATGTATTAGCAAATATTCGATTTTGCATAGAACCTGCAACAGCATCATTTATAGAACCTGAACATCAAGAAACTATAACACAACCACCAGCCCCTCATCCAGTACCAACTACGACAGTAGCAGCGTTAACAGATTTAGAAGGTGGTGACGCAGCGACAACGAAGCCAAAAGGTGAGTAGATCTGATGTAAGATGATTTCATCAAGAATTTCGGTTTTCTTTTGTAGAGGAAAGTGCAAAAAAGAAGCGAAAATCGATTTTAATTAAATTACGTTTAATTGGATGGATTGTGATGGATTACTTGATCGATTTATTCACTCGTAATTCTCGAGATTATCGCGAAGTGTCGAAAGAGTTAGCTAAAATGAAATCAGAAGATAAAATCAATCAACAAGAACGTATTCGCACTGAAACAAGCTTTGAACCAGTAAAATTTGTTCAATATTACTCTGCCGAAGAATTTTTTCTCATTTTTTAGACTTCTGTTGATCGTATCGATGAGCTCGCTGGTGGTGATCGGCAAAACGGGTAACTTTTATCCATTGTTTTCCATAAAATCTCACTACATACTCTTGTTTAGACATATTTATGCTCGACGTGTTTCTGAAGCATTTGATATAAGTGAACGTTCACGTTTCTATCGTCTATTTGATTCCATATTCTACTTTATCATGTCTCGCTCTGAATTACTTTGCTATTCAGCGATGATCATCAATCATTTGACATCCGGCGCACTTCTCTCCTTACCACTCCCATTATCAATCTTTCTCTGGGCAATGTTATCGTCTCGTCCATCACGAAATTACTGGGTTACTATTCTAACTTACACTGAAGCAATGATTGTGGTCAAGTATATCTTTCAATTTCGGTTCTATCCATGGAATGCTGATACAACAGACACGAGACCACTAGCAGCTATAAATATCATCGGTATTAACCGAAAAGAGGATTCGGCATCGGTCGCTGATCTATTTTTACTCTTATCGCTTTTTCTTCATCGATCAATTTTAAAAGTAAATCATGACTAATTATCGTTATAATGAAAATTCTTTTCATTTCATAGCAACTCGGCCTTTGGAAAGCTGAACAAGCAACACCACACGGTATAGATGAAATTGCATAACGAGAAAGAACGAAAAGATGATTTCGATATCTAGATTCTGTAGTTGCTGATAGTGTTGCTGCCACAACTACTGATCCTGTCGAAGAAGAACCGAATTCTGATGTTGAAACTACCAAAATAAAGAGGTAAGTCATTTATCAATGAAATTTTCTGAATTTTTTTGTTGATATCTACTGAATCTCAATAGATTTCTAAACAACATGCGGTATGACTTAACTTCACATGAATAGAAATATCATTTGAGCATGTTGACATCTTCTTCTAGTCTTCTTCACAGATACAATCATTCTCATCCAGTAGAACTTCTTGCATTTGTTCTTTGTCTTTAGAAATGTTTACTTTATGAAACCAATGATAACATTTTATCGTCAACTTAAACAAGCGTTATTTGTACGTGATGTCTATGCGCCAATGTTCTTCTGTGATTTCATCAATATGATCATTGTCATTGGCTTCTATAGTCAATTTGGTGTAAGTTTTATTGAAGAAATCGAATGATACGTGTTTTCAAAGTTAAAATTCTGTTTTACAGTTACCTAAAATCTTCAGGGTATAATCAAACATATTTTCCACAAGAATTGATTTCTATTGATTTCTTACACCTCACCCATTACTCGATATTTGATTGTTGAAATGTACACGAACTTTTCTGTCGTAGGAACGAGCTGGTGGAAACGTTGTTCAAACTATTAAAGAAAATAAGGTAAATAGTCTTTAGTAAATTGTTTGTATGGTCTTCCACGGTATATGTTTAGGTTCCTGTTGCATTCTTGGTCATTTTATTAGTTCAATTCGTTTTAATTATCATTGATCGTGCGCTGTATCTTCGGCGAAACGTACGCGGTAAATTATTCTTTCAATTGTTTCAAGTTATCGTCGTTCACGTTTGGTTATTTTTCGTTTTGCCTGCAATTACTCGAACGTAAGCAAAAATCAATTGTTATGGAATTAAAATCATCATTTCTTCTCTGCTTTTCGCAGAAAATTCCGTGACAATATCGCTGCACAGTTTTGGTATGTCTTCAAATGTATTTATTTTGGATATTCCTCGATTCAAGTACGACTCGGATATCCAAAACGCATCGCCGGAAACTTTCTCATGAAGCGATACAATTATGTCAATCAAATTCTTTACCGGATGTAAGAATTGCATTTGTTGAGATTGGAACTGACGAAAATTTCTTTTAGTTATTTATTGATTCCATTCCTATTGGAATTACGGACGATTATGGATTGGATGTTTACCGATACAGCGCTTGGGCTAACAAGTTGGTTACAATTAGAAGATATTTATTCGAATGTTTATCTGCTGAAGAGTTCAAGATGGGCTGAAATGGTAGAAATGAGAGTTAGAGTAGGAGACATCGATGAAAAAACATTTGTTTTGTATAGAAATATCCAACGAAACGTGGGGTTCCTCGTCCCAAAGCAACAAAATATGGTGTCGGGGGTTCTCTATTAGCTTTGTTGATTCTATTGATTTGGTTTCCGTTACTATTCTTTTCATTTACATCTTCATTTTATCAACCAAATCCACCAATAGAAGTGAACGTTGAAATCAAATTAGGTGGTTACTTAGTGAGAAATCTTCTCTCTTGTAGTTTTGCAAATTTTCGTTTGGTTTTTATCTAGCCCGTATATCAAATGACTGCACAAGATGTCGATCTTGGTCGATTTACCGAAGCTGATTACAACAGTCTTCGTGCATCGATTTATTCACCAAATATCGAACCAGCTGTTGAAGTAAACATCAGTTTCTATCAACCCGTTGCGATCCTTCGTTATCATTTCTAGGACACTGCCTATGCTTTCTTACGTGATTTCAAGCCCGACGATATTTATTGCGTCAATCTATTCGCAACGAGTGTTAATCTATGGGAAATCAGTCAACCCATTCGTGATATTGTTGTTGATAATCTACAACAAAATATAACTGTACCAGTACGGTTTTCTTATACAATTACACGGAATCCTCCAGGTGAAGATGACTCGGAAGATATTGCAGCAGTTGTATCAGGTGAAAATACGGTTGAAATCAAACCTGAAGATCAAGATATTCGAAAATCACTTGTGGAAATATTAATCAATGGAACAGAGGATTCGCAAATACGACCGTACGTTGATTTAGATTCGAGAATTTCCGATGATTTCAATCGATTTTTAGAGAATTTACTATTAGCAACTTGATGCCCAGATTTCTACATGTCAAACCCAAAGCAAAACCAGAAAATATCGAATCATTCAGAAAAGGTAATCTAATCAATATATAGTTCCGAAATCTGATTGATTTTTTAAAAAGTTTTCCTTCCGGAATACTATGCAAATATCACTATGGGTCTTAATCGAGCGAAATCAATACCAAACAGTACAGAGATTTGGTGGAAGATGTCAGAAAATCGTACAGGTTTCAAAGTAACTCCCTCATGTATGTCAACATTAATATCACTGAACAACTAGTAAAACAAATTGTTGAATTTTGCAGGTTTAGCTTCCAGTAATAATTATTTAAGTATGATCTTTTTCAACGATAAAATCTCCCCAGCGAACATTTCATTTCTCACTCGATATGGGTAAGTCTGTTGAATGTTTTCTTAGCTTTGCTCGATTACCAACTAATAATTTGACTAACTCACCGCATGCTGTTTTATTTTGTATATTTCGTTTCTAGTAATTGACATGTATGACTTCTTTGCTCATTATTTTTCCTTTCTTTGTTCCTTCAAATAGCTTGTTCCTCTTCTTCTTCTTTGAATTTTGACATCTGATGACTGTTTTTCTTTTTGCTGGTGTTTTCGATTGACATTCGACATGTTTTGCTCTGTTCTTATGTAAATTCACTCTAGTATCATCGGTATCTACATATCAATTGTGTCTGTTGCTGCTTCGTTCATCCGTGGTCAACTATTTGGAACAACGAATACGATTATGTTCGACGAATTACCTCAAGTCGATGCATTGTGGCATTTCTTGAACGATATTTACTTATTACGAGCCGTCCGGGAATACGAAACTGAGAACGACTTCTTCGATCGTTTAGTTTACATCTACCGTGATCCTCAAGTGTTACTCTACTGGACAAAAGAAAAACCTGATTCGAAATAAATCGAATTTTTTGTGCTTTTTCTGCTCAGATATTTCACATTTCATTTTTCTTTTGTATAGAAATTCACGTGTTCTTTCTTCTGTAATTGTGAGAATAAGAATCACATTTCTAATACATAATTCTGGCCTTTTTCTCTTTCGTATAGGATTATCGGTTTATACACAACATTTGTCGTTGTTGTCGCACGATTATTACGCACAGTTTTACAGACAAGTCAAACAATCATGTTCAATGAATTACCAAATGTCGAACGAATATGGCATCTCTTACGAGATATTTATCTCGTTCGAGAACATAATATGCTACATATTGAAGAACAACTCTTTGCCAAATTGATCTTTTTATATCGTTCACCAGAAACATTGATACGTTTTACAAAACCTAAAGTTACATGATAGTTTAAAAGTGTTGTTTATTAGGGAATTGCGGAAAATAATCGTGATGATATGTAGAGTCATGACGTTTTTTTTTTCTTTTCATCAATGTGAATGAGTTTATTGTCTATACAACTTGAAATAAAAGCATAGGATGTCATTTCTTTTTCAGATGAGTGGAATAGAGAAACGAAATTGGAATGGATTTACATTAGTTTTAGTGAGAATATCAACAATTTCTTCTGAGATTTTTTAATAAAGAATTTTATTCTAGCCATCGATTTGCCATTGTCATGTGGCACAGTTGGCAGTCGATGCATTGATTAATACTTTCCGTATGAAAAGTGTACGAGTATTTGATTGGATGTCAGTGGAACCGGTGATTGCCTATGATCCGTATGAAGGTTCGAACAGGGAAAATTTAGCATTTGGTATTGAAGGTAAGAAGAAATTTTGATGCGATGAAAGAGTTTATTGAGGATAATTGTTTTGTTGATAGTTTATGAAGAAACTAATTTGAAATTATTGGTTATTCAACAACGTGGTGGAATTGTCTCTGGCAAACGGCAAGCTTTTGTTGATGAACTTCTTGCTTTTTTTAAAAATGAACAATTAAAAGAAATCGTCGTTTTAACAGCATTTAATGCCGTTGAACGTAATGATGCACAATTAACTGGGTAAGAAACGATGTAAAACACTATTCAAATGATAAGAATTTCTATATTTTCAGTGATCAATTTCGATATCTATCAACAGTAATGAATTCGAATCAGCTCGGATGGATTTCATTAGAAGAACGTCAAGATAAACATCATCATAAGGTTGTTCGTGATCGCGATCGATATTATATTGCTGGTGGTGGAATTGCTAATCGATTGTTCTATACAGCGTAAGTAATAACCAAAAGATTCAATTGCTATCAAATCTTTTCATTGTAGACAACAATCTCAAATACCTATTACTGTTTTATTGATGTTTACGGATGTTGGACAAGAACTTCAACATGCTAATGAATTATTAGTTCGATTGAATCAATGGAAAAACTGGCGACAAGTAAGATTGACTGAAGAGAAGCAGACTGATAGGAATTTTTTGTGATTTGATAGATTGAACAATGGCAGATGCCGGCATCGCAACGAGCGTGGATTGAAACACAAACTGTTCCACCAATTTACTAACAGAAACTTATAAAAAAAAAGACCTTGTTTTCTTTGACCGACGTTTATTTTAAAAAAAGAACTATTTTAAAAATAGCCAAGAAATCAGGAGGGCGTGAGCGTGGGTGGGTGTGAACAAAGAAAAGAGAAACTCACACCCACAACCACGCCCACATCCTTCAGAATAGAAGAAAATTATTCGATTTCGTCGAGAACGAGCTTCGTATCTAACCCGTTCCTGTGGATCAACAGGATTTGATGTTGAGAAGTAATTCGCATTGTGCATACGTTTCACCGTTGCGGTGTCATTGTCTGATCGTCGTCATTGGAGAGCGAGGTGCGATACAAATGATCTAGATGGATGTATTCAAGGGAGTTGGTGTTCGTCTGTGCCGTATGCTGCACCGCGAGCAAGGGCGAATAATTGTTCACATTCATTGGACTATTGAACAAACGTTCATCGCCTGAATCTGAGCAATCGTTCTAAAATTAAAAACGTCTCGCATTTTATTTTTGCACAAGAAGAAGGCAAGTACCATTTACTTCACTGATGGCAAGTCGTAAATCATCTGAGAAAGCAGATAGCGAAGTCCATTCTGTCGCCAATCGGCTGGGCACTGTGGTCGGCTTGTAGCGTGATATTGTCATCGCTGGTGGAATTAATGTATTGTTCGAACGACGAGAGCCAGATAACGATCTGTCGCGATGCTCTCAAACAGTGATGATAGAATGCCATGGATGACGGAAATGGAAAATAGAATACGATATTTATCGACCGATGCCTGATGGCTCTTCGAAATCCTTTCCTTAGTCTATCACATACTTATTGATTAGCCTCACATATCTACCCATAAAGAGCATTGATCCTGTGTATATAAGGCCGTGAGTAGCTGCCTAATTCGACTTATAATATAAGTGGCCTACTCCTAGCACACTACGATCCCTATCTACATAGGAATAGGAATAGATTTAGTTTCACTTATACCTATACACACCCACACCCTCACCCTCAAATTTGACATATGGAACGCGAACTATCGAATCACAGACAGCAGATCGACCAACTTCATTCTGCGAATGACAGCTTGAGAGATCGTCTTGACTTATCCGAATGTTATAATTATGCTTTTGATCTCGCAAATTTATTCGTATTCTATCATGTCGAACCATTGTTAAAAAGTCTTCCATATTATAAAAGTCGTTATCTTTTAACATGCTTAGTCTTTGATTTATTTCACTTGTTATCTTTTTATTAGATAAGGTCGGTTTTTAGTTTTTCTTTTAGAATATTGCGCAAAAGTGAAAATGTCTTGTCCCTCCGATGATTTTAGTCAAAAGATTTTCTTTGAAGTTCACAATAATTTACCAAGAGAAGGTCCTGGAAGTGTTCAATCAACTCTTCAAGCGTTTCGGTCTATTAGTCCAGACGATAAACAACAAAATATACTTGATATCGCTTCTGGTCCGGGTGTAACTACTATCGAATTGGCAAGATTAGGACATCATGTAACTGCCATTGATAATCATGAACCATTTATAAAAACACTCGTAACACGAGCTAAGGAAGAACTTCTTTCAGATCGTATAAATGCATTGATTGGTGACATGTTTTGTCTCGAAAAATTTGTGCCTCAAAAAGCATTTGACATAATTTGGTCTGAAGGTGCAATATATATAATTGGTTTCGAATCTGGCCTTATTGAATGGAAGGACTTTTTAAAAAACGATGGTTATCTTGTTTGTTCTGAATTATCTTGGTTAACTACAGGTCCACCAAATGAGATTCACGAATTTTGGTCGAAAAATTATCCGGGAATGCATTCTCAAGAAGAAAATTTTGCAATTATAAAGAAATGTGGTTATGAATTGATTGATAGTTTTGTACTAGATGAAAAAGATTGGTGGACTGAATACTATGAACCCATGGAAAAGCAAATTGAACGATTGAAATTGAAATATAAAGAAGATAAAGAGGCAGAAGATGTTTTACGAAAACAACAACTTGAAATTGACATGTATAGAAAATATTCAAAAACATATGGTTATGTATTTTATATCATGAAAAATATCAATGTATAACTATCATTTTAATAAATGAAGCTCATCAAGACTAGCTCGTTTCACTATTGATTGAACTGACAGTTCTATATATAGTAATCTTCAAGATCATTCTCTATAAAAGAAAAAGACCGAAATATATCTTAGAAATTATCTCTCAAGGTTGACCTTTAGTAATTTCAGTGTTACAAGCTAACTTCATGATTATCATCGTTTTTCTCATTGATCAGATGTTTCTAAGTGAAAATCAATGTTTAAATGGAGCGATAAGTTGGTATAATAAAGACTATCACCCAGGGCGAACGCTTCAGATGCCGAATTATACCGAAGTCAATAAGAAAAAATTTCGCATCCGCAAAGATCTTCATTATCCTTTATATTCCCTCTTCTCCGCATAATTCCCACCATAACCCATGAAATCTTTCGTCTTGACCCTTCGAATACCGGGTACATCAGTCTCATTCATATCGATTCTTTCTCGACGAATCCAATACGGACAATATACTCATTTTACAATGCATGTATAACGGTAGATTTCTCCTAATCTAAAGGTCTTACTCTATCACGACAACTTATTTATGATGCTTTTCATTGCAGTCGAGGATCACTGGTTAACAATAAAAAACAGTCAGAATTTCTCTAGTGTTTCCACAATTCTTCTCTGTCAGAATGCTTGAAAGACTATCGAATGCAACAATCTGTGAGCAAAAAGATTCTTTAAGGAGAATTTTATTCATAATAAAATGTATCGATTTGAGCAAACGTCATTTTGTTTATTATAATGTTCAATATATGAGGAGAATAGACGTAATTAACAAGTTTTGCCAATAATATCAATATTTCCTGTACCATAATTAGTAACTAATACATCCAACCAATGATCTTGATTAATGTCACCTACCGTAACAAATACGGGCCGAGCACCGTATCCAAGAAAAACTTCTGTTTGATTAACGAATGTTCCATTACCTTTACCAAATAAAAGTATAACGGAATTCGAACCATAATTAGCAGTAATTATATCTAATTGTTCGTCGTTATTGACATCACCTACAGTTATAGAATAGGGAACAAATCGCAATTCAGTTAAATATGTTATTAATGGTCCAAAGGAACCATTTTCATTATTTAATAAAATTCCAATATTACTTGTTCCATAAAGTGCTATAACAATATCAATGCGATTGTCATTATTAACGTCACCAACAGCAACAGAACGAGGTTTAGAAAGATCTCCAGTTGAATAAGTTGTTTGATTTGTGAAAAATCCATAACCAATTCCATAAAAAATGCCAATATTATCAAGACCAAAATTTGCAACAACAATATCGTTTAAACCATCGTTATCAAAATCAGCAACATTTACAGATTGTGGTAAAGAACCATTTCCAGTCGATAATGTCATGACATCAAGAAATCCTTCAGTAGAAAGACCAAGAAATGTATAAATTCGATAATCATCGAATATAACCACATCTAATTGTCCATCATTATTAAGATCTGTTGCATAAACAAAATTCGGATTATAGAATGAACTATGATAAATTCTTGTTGGGCTTGAAAATTCTCCATTTCCATAACCTAACCAGAAACTAACAAAATTATTATATCGATTAGTAATTGCAAAATCTAATCGATTATCACGATTAAAATCACCGACACTAATAGATAGATAGTCTGTTGAACTACCTGCATTTCTTAATTTTGGTTTAGAAAAAGATCCATTTCCAAATCCTAAATAAATTGCAAAGTATCCTGTATCTAAATAGCAAGCAATAATATCCATATTATTATCATGATTGAAATCACCAATATTTACAAAATATGGATTAATTCCTTGCGAAAATGAATATGTGATTTGATCTGTAAATGTTTCATTACCATTATTTAGAAAAATGCCAATGTTATTAAGACCAGAATTTGCAACAACAACATCAGGATAATTATCGTTATTAAAATCACTAATAGCAATACATCTTGGATAAGATCCAGTATTAGTTGAATATATTATTTGATTTTTAAATGATCCATTACCATAATTATAGAAAATTCCAATATTATGTGCGTAATAATTAGCGACAATAATATCAGATTGATTATCACGATTAAAATCACCAGCAGTGACGAATATAGGATAAGATTGACTATTAGTTGAATATATTAGTTGGTTTTTAAATGATCCGTTGCCATAATTATAAAAAATTCCAATATTATCTGTGTTAAAATTAGTAACAACAATATCAAGATGCTGATCATTATTAAAATCACTAATAGCAACTGAAGTAGGATAAGATCCACTTCCTGTTGAATAACTAATTGGATCAGTTAATAATCCATCACCATGTCCAAAAAAGATTTGAATATTATTTCCATAATAATTAGCAGAAACAATATCTATTTGATGATCATTATTTAAATCAGCACTAGTTATACTTCGATAAGTATTTGTAGTTGATCGTGGATAAAAATTCATCGCTGTAAATGATAGGATATTATAACGAAGAAGAATACCAATATTATTAGTACCATAATTTGCAACAACTAAATCAGATTGATTGTCATTATTCAAATCAGCAACAGATAATGATTGTGGCTTCGATCCTGATCCTGTTGAAAATAATTTTTGATTTTGAAAACTTCCATTTCTATTACCAAGAAATATTCCAATAGAATCACTACCAACATTAACTGTTGCTAAATCTAATATTGCATCATTATTTAAATCAGATGAAACAATCATTATTGGTTGAGATTGAAAATTTGTAAAATATATTTTATCTAGAGTAAATGTATTATTACCATAACCAAAAAAGACACCGAAATTATTTGATCCATAATTTGATATTGCAATATCTGCTTGATTATCATTATTAAAATCACCAATAGTTAAGGATGATGGAAGTGATCCATATGATGTAGAAAATTCATTAATACGTTGAAATTTACCTGCGTCATATCCAAAAAATATTCCAATTGTATCATCAGCTGGATTAGCAGTAACAAGATCTAATCGTCCATCTTCATTAAAATCATCAGCAAGAATATAATATGGACCACTTGCATCCGTCGAATATACAGAGTCACCAGTAAACGAACCATTTAATCCTATCAAAATGAGTACATTATTACCAATATAATTGGCAACAGCTACATCTAAATAACTATCATTATTGAAATCTGCAACAAAAAGACATGTTGGTTGAGAAGTATCACCAACCCATTTGAGAGATGGATCTTGAAATGTTCCATCATTATTACCAAGAAGTAGCGCAGTTGTTCTTCTGTTATAATTAGCTGTTATTATATCTAATTTATTATCATTATTGAAATCGCCGACAGTTACAAATATTGGTAGTGTATTTTCTGTTGTGGAAAATATTCTTTGTTCATTGAATGTTCCATCACCTTTTCCAAGATAGACACTAACACTATCAGAATTAAGATTAGCAACAACAATATCAGAATTATTATCATTATTGAAATCTCCAATAGCTAAGGATATTGGCTCATTTTGAGTATTATATGTTGTTGGGTTACTAAATGAATTATTACCATAATTCAATAGTATACTAATTGTATATGTGCCATGATTAACGGTAACAATATCTAATTTCTTATCATTATTGAAATCACCAACACGTGCAGCATTCGGATAAGATTGACTACCAGTTGAAATAGTTATTTGATTTGCAACAGAACCATTTCCATAGCCATAAAAAATACCAACATTATTTTGATTATAATTAACAACAATAATATCTAAATTTGAATCATTATTTAAATCATTTAACGTAATATCTACTGGATATGATTCACTTTCAGTAGAATATGTAATATAATCAGTAAACGATCCATCTCCGTTACCAAAATGTATACTTATAGTAAATGCATAATAATTAGCAACGACAATATCAGAATGACCATCATGGTTTAAATCTCCAGTAGCTAAACTATAGGGTCCCGAATTAGTTGGAAATGTGTTTATAGATCGAAAGTCAGCCGTTCGAATTCCAAGAAAAACACCAACATTATTTGTTGCATTATTAGCAACAACAATATCTATTCTAGTATCCTCATTAAAATCACCAATGTTTATAAATTGTACACCAGTATTGACACCAGTTGTATAAGTAACTTGATCAGTAAATGAACCATTACCCCAACCAAAAAATAATCCAATAGAATCTGTACCAGTATTTGCAACTGCAATATCTTGAAAATGATCGTGATTAAAATCAGCAATAACTAATGAATGTGGATTTGAATTTTGTCCAGTTGAAAGTTTTATTTGATTTGAAAATGTAATATTATCAGAAGAGCCAAAAAAGATCCCAATATTATCAAGAGCATAATTAATAACAGCTATATCGAATTGTTTATCACCATTAAAATCTCCGACACTAACAAAATACGGTTTTGAATATGAACCTGTTGAATAGATTTTCATATGTGCAAAATTTCCATTTCCATAGCCATAAAATATTCCAATATTATTTGTACCAAAATTTGCAACAATAATATCTAAATAAGTATCATTGTTTAAATCAGCAATTGCAAGTGATTTTGGTTCTGAGTCATAACCAGTTGGATATCTCAAAACAGATAAAAATGTTCCATCATCATTATTTCCTAATAAAATTCCAATATCATTTGTACCATAATTAACACATGCTAAATCGATCTTTAAATCGTTATTAAAATCTCCATATGAAATAGCTATTGGTCTTGAAGAACCTAATGAATATATTATTGGATATCCAAATGTCATATTACTATAACCAAATAACAGGGAAATACTATTTATTCCAAAATTAGCAATAGCAATATCCAAATAAGTATCACTATTAAAATCAAAAACAGTTATTGCATAAGGAAGAGAGCCTTTTGTTGTTGAATATGTTATTTGATTTTCAAAAGTTCCATCGCCTTTTCCGAAGAAAATTCCAATATTATCACTACCATAATTTACAACCGCAAGGTCTAAATGATTATCTTTATTGAAATCAGCAACAGAAACGGCTCGAGTACGAGAATTATATTGCATTTCACTTTTGGCTTTACGTTCGAATGATAATTGACAAATTTTTACTAAATAGAATCAATTTTTTTAAAATAAAATTTATGAATAAAAATATAAGAAGAAAAAACATACTAGATAGTGATGGCGTTTTGTAATAAATTATAAGAATACCAATTGTCATAGCTACGAATGTGAATATAAAAGACGGGAAGAGACGATTTTTTATTAATAATAATATGAAGCACGAACGAGATTCCCTATTTCAATAACTGATAATATCAATATGTTAAGAAAACTAAATCGTTTACTTTTCTTCTATTCTTACAATGTTCTCATCTAAATTATTTTTATGATTGATCTGTTGATCATTAGGTTCCTAGCAAAGAAAAATTACAATGATGTTTTACTTTTTAGAATATCTTACTATAGTGGAAAGTGAGATCATTTTTTTCACGAAAAAGCAAGAAATGCACTTACAGTAATAAAAATGAGTGACGTACATAAATATTAATAGGATGATTATATGTGATTATTGATGCAGAAATGTTTTAGTCTTTCTAGGTAAGATAAGAACGTATATACAGGTGAAAAGTCGAACAGGATTCTTATTTTCTTATTCATTAATTTTCTCCTGTCAACATAGTTTTGATTTGAAGTCAAATAAAGAACAAATATATAGCCGTTAAAAATGAGAACATATTTACGTTTAATGTTTGTTTTGTTTTTCCCTCTACTGGAAGGGGGGTAATACACAGAATTTGAGTTAAAGTTCGTTCGTTCGTCTGTTCACGTACCTTACACTAATAGAATAACAGTCTATACTGTTTACCAAGAGAGTCTGACCGTAGGGTAATCGATGGCGAGGAACTCGAATCCAAGGTCAGTGTTTTTCCCATCCATCGAGCTTCTCTCTACTTTTCTCTTTTCAAAGCAGATATTTTTCTTTGTCTTTTTAAAAAATCTTTTTGTGGAAGATAATGAACTGAACGCTATTGCGATATGTGATGGGAGAGAAAATAACAGTTTAGAAGTTTATACAAAAAGATTTAGTAGATGTTGTGTTATGATATTTATAACTCAAGAAATCACAGAAAGTGGTATGTGCGTAGTATCACTTCCGCGTCAGGTGTTTCTGTAAGATCTTGGCGGAAGTACGTCACCAAAAGATATATCCGTCAGTTGAGTTCCATCTTAATAACTATATAAGGAAATCCACTGTGCAAAAAGCAGTCTAAACATGTGAAGCGCTATGATGGGTGCTCGTTTCACGGCAGATCATAAAACAAAACTTTCTATCTATTTTGTTTGGCAATCAAATGAATAGCACATCACCGATTCGGGAGCGCCAACAAAGTGAAACGTAGCTATTCACTATGAAAATCAACCAAAAGTGAATGGTACAGTGGGGGTAGATATAGGAACGGCTAGCCGTTCTTCTTGAGAGATATTTGAACGTTGAGTTTTATAAGAGTCTAGGCAGTGTCGATAATTTTTTGAAAGAACATAATTCCTGTCTTTTCGAGGTTTGAGAATAAGCAATGTGAATTATCAGCTCCCTTGATTTGATAAAACAATAAAATATCTATGATGGATCACACAGTTATGAAAAATTTTCATAACTTCAATTGCAGACCAACTCAGTATGCATCGGACACTTTTTCGGGGAAAACAGGAGAAAATTTTGGAATATCAAATAATTATGATTGAAAGTCTAAAGCCAACTATCGAATAACTGCACCATCGAAATAAAATAGATTTTATTTATTCGGTTAGGCGAAAAGTTCAGCAATACTTTCACCCTCAGCCTCATCTTAAAGTGCTGCATAAATTTTTGCCCAATCTAGCATTTCTTCTAAAAAATAGATGCTATTGGATGATATCCTTTCAGTAGATGGTTAGTGGCTACTAAGCCGCGTTACTTGTTTTAAAAATGAACAATTAAAAGAAATCGTCGTTTTAATAACATTTAATACTGTTGAACGTAAGGATGCACAATTAACTGGGTAAGAAACGATGTAAAACGCTATTCAAATGATAAGAACTTCTATACTTTCAGTGATCAATTTCGATATCTATCAACAGTAATGAATTCGAATCATCTCGGATGGATTTCATTAGAAGAACGTCAAGATAAACATCATCATAAGGTTGTTCGTGACCGCGATCGATATTATATTGCTGGTGGTGGAATAGCTAATCGATTGTTCTATACAGCGTAAGTAATAATCAAAAGATTCAATTGTTATCAAATACCTATTACTGTTTTATTGATGTTTACGGATGTTGGACAAGAACTTCAACATGCTAATGAATTACTAGTTCGATTGAATCAATGGAAAAACTGGCGACAAGTAAGATTGACTGATTGATAGGAATTTTTTGTGATGTGATAGATTGAATAATGGTAGATGCCGGCATCGCAACGAGCGTGGATTGAAACACAAACTGTTCCACCAATTTACTAACAGAAACTTATAAGAAAAAGACCTTGTTTTCTTTGATCGAAGTTTATTTTTAAAAAATAAAGACCTATTTCAGAAATTGGCGAAGAAACCAAATCAAAAATTTATATTTGAAAACGAAGAGATTAGTGCTAAAAGAGAAAGATTTGGAAAAAACCGTTTTCTAAACACGTAAAGCGAAGCGCGTATCCTTTCCACACGACCTTTACCATGTTAAACTGTTGGCCGTTTTGCTTGACTTGAGTGTACAAATTTTCTATAAATTCATCCACGCAGAAATACAATTCAAAATGCAATGCCAAAAACTGTCCCGCCAATTTATTGACTATGAAGTAACCAACGAAATCTAGAAATCATAGTTTTCGTTTTATTCTCGTGCTCTTTCATCGTTTGTTGTAATTTTCCAATCGAATCGATTTTCTTCGACATGATAAATGAGAAAGTACTCAATGGAAATTCAGACTGTTGTCTATCTCAGAAATCCTCAGCATCCGAAGAACAAGTTCAAAATAAAAATCCATTTCAATCACTTGAAACTACAAACGTTAAACACCCATTGGCAGGATTAAATTATTTGTCATTTCTGCGATCGATACTATTCGACTATACTTATCGCGATGCAATGAATCCTCTATCGACAAACTCATCTAACTTGTTGGATGAACCGATCGTTCTTAGACTCAATATTCCTATTGAAATGATTGTCCGAAGTATACCTCAACAAATATCATCATCTCAAGATCAATATAATCGTCGATGTTCGTGTCCAACACAAATAGCATCAGAAATGATCTCAAAACCACCTATATCTTTTATGCGTAGAGCACAAGAAATATTTTTCGGTAATAATATGAAGAACGATCGGGAAGATATTGCGTCGAAATCATATATAGTACCGAATAATATGCCAACTTTTAATTCTCATTTGATAAACGAAACGAATAGATCGGCGATCACACAACAACAACAACAAGCAAAGGTCTATCAGAAACCATCTCAAATAACATCATGTTCTAGACGATGTGAATGTCATTAAGTGTTGTCTTTTTTAGTTAACATTCCATCATACTTCATAAATGTATCCACACTTGAAGTAATGCAATGTCTCAAAAGATAGAATATCAACAAAAAATAACGATCATACAGAAAAAAATCGTATCAGTTTTTCATAGCTTATCAGCAATTAGTCATTTTTGCCTTGAGAATCACCGTTAACACTACCAATACGTTGGTAACAAAAGTTGGTTTTTAAATGTTGCATATCTTGATTCAATTGATTAATATTTCGGTTCAAAGTGCCAACAATACCAATTAATCGTTCAATAGTATATGGGAAATAGTGTAATTGATAACCAATCGGTATATTTGGATCGTAAACAGGTGTGGATGACTGCATTCGAATATTTGAACCATCACTGGATGTTGTTTGATTTATTCTATCAAACGATTTATCACTATATGGTGATGAACGATTGCCAATCTCGCCGCTACTACCAATATTAGGTGTCATAGAGCAATTTTCTTCAGTACTTGAATTTGCATCTTCTTGTGCAATAATATTATTCATACTATCGTCAGCAATGTGGTTCTCCACAATTGCATCTGACATCTTTGCCAGTCATTTAAATAAAAACACTCACAAATGACGAAATGAAAAGGAAGCGGTCAAACAGGCAGAAAACGCGAATTAAGTTAAAACTGAAATAAGCAATATGATTGGCGCATTATCTCTTGAAACAGACGACGATAAGGCAATCAGACGTCTTAATTCAACTTTACCTTAATTTGCGTTTTTTCTGTCCGTTTGAGCTCTTAAGCAGTTTTTGTCCTCCATTTATTTGTTGATGAGTGACCCATAGTTTTGACACATTCTCCACACGGATGAGTTTATACTCATGTGAATTCCTATTGGATGACATAGAGACCAACGGGAAATTCTCATTACAGCCGAAGAATATAGAAGTGATTTCGTTCGACTTCGATTAGCTGCTCATCTTACTATCATTTTCTTTGACAAATCAAATTAACCAGATCTTTTACTTCTAGTTGATGAAATGATCTGATTGTAGATTTCTCATGGCAAACATTTCTACTGATATCAAGATTGGCGTTGATTATATTAGTGCCGCTTGTAATTGCTGTCCACATTCTCTCGATTGGCAAAATGGTCCACGATTAATCTATGGTGTGACGAACAGCGTAGCTCTTTGTTCTGATGTGAGATTTACAGACTGTGATTTGGTATCGTTTACAGGAAAAAATTCGATTTATTTTTGTAGACTGCACCTTTCTCTGTGCAAAAGACTTTTTCTGATCATCAAGGACGATTGAATTGTGTGAAATGGGTTCGACAAGAACTACATTATGTAGATTCAAACAATGATCATTATTTTCTCAGCGCATCTGTCGATAAAACAATTGGCCTTTGGAAGGGGAAAGATGACGATGTATGATTTCGTTCAATCCAATTACTGTTCTGAACTTTTATTTTTATTCTAAACTAGTACGTTAAACATGTTGCACTTACTGGACATCAAAATAGTGTGACAACTGTTGACGGGTATCGACAGTCTTCTACCGGTGATATTTATGTTGCAAGTGGTTCAGCAGATTCAACAGTGAAATTTTGGCATATCGCTGATACGACAGGTAGATCTCGTTTGATTATTGACATCATATCAAATGTATTTCCTCTAGCTAAATGTCTGCATACACTTGACTTTAAGAATGGATTTGCAATTACCTTAGAATTAGTGCCGTTAGATCAACATAAGGATGGTACGTTATTTCTTGTTTAAGTGAACATTCAAAATAAGAAGTTTATTCGAAATATTTTAGTATTCTTATTATTCGTTGCCACGGATAAAAATAACGTACACATTTATCACGTTTCAAAAGACGCGGTTAGTGTGTTGAATTGACATTATCCAAAGTTGATTCATATATATTGATTTTTACAGATCGAACAAGTATTCGTTTTAACTGGACACGAAGATTGGATACGTTCAATAACTGTGCAAAAGACAAGTAAGAAGCGAAACATCGAGCCGTCTGTCAGATATGATTTTTCGTATTTTAGCACCATCTCAATGGTTTGTTGCTACATGTTCTCAAGATAATTATATTCGAATATGGCAATTATCATTCGATGAAAACAATAATCAAGTAAATCATGATCCGTCAGCGTTAAAATTAAAACGAAGTTCATTCTCTCTGAAAAATTCCGGTAGACCGAACGTTTTCTTTCTTTACATGCAATATCATATCATTCGATTTAGATCAATCTCAAACTAATATCGATGTCGAACTCTATTCGATTCTATTAGGACATGAAGAAGCAATATACGGTCTTTGCTGGTATCCGAATACAGGTAACTTCAATTGTTTTACTGAATAAAGTCACCCATCGAGTATTATTTAATCTTGAAGATCGAAAAAAACCAGCAACAACACTTCTCTCTGCGTCAATGGATAAATCAATGGTTTTATGGACATTTGATAACAATCAAAAGATGTATATCGATAAAGTAATTTATTTTTTCTTTTCATATCTCAACATCATACTTTATACATTCAATTAGGCTCGTGTGGGTGAGATCGGTGGTAACACACTCGGCTTTTATGGATGTACATTCAGTCCATGTGGATCATATATGCTCGGGCATGGCTATGAGGGTGCTTTACATTTATGGAAGATAGAAGAAGTAAGATGATTATTAAGGAAGAGATTGTATTTTGATTTTTTTTCTGGAAGGTTGATGATCGTATTAATTTAATTCCACAAGTGATTAATAGTGGCCATTTTAGTACAGTTGAAGACTGTTGTTGGGACAAGCATAGTGGCCGATATCTACTGAGTGTATCGACGGATAAAACAACTCGTTTACATGCCGAATGGAAACGAAATGAAGTGAGTGAAAGACAAAAAATGGTTTTCATTTGGAATTTCATTTCTATCAAAAGATGATTTCGTGGCACGAAATTGGTCGACCACAGATTCATGGCTATGAAATGAAATGCTTGACATTCATTGGTTCTGATCAACAACGTATCGTTTCTGGAGCTGACGAAAAGATCTTACGCATATTCGACGCTCCGAAAAACTTTCTTGAGAATTTTGCACGAATCACCAAAATCAATGTCGATGAAGATATTCAAGTAAGCATATCTTCACAATTGAAACCACGGAAATCTCTCTAATTCTTCAGCGAGCTCAATCGTTGCCTGAAGGCGCAAATGTCCCTGCATTAGGTCTATCGAATAAAGCGATCTTCGATAGTGAAGAAAATCAAACAGCAGCAGCGACTACAGCCGCCATCGATGATAATCCTATGACTGTGGATGGGTTATACAAAGAAGGATTTTTCAAAGCAATGGTTCTAAATGGTAAGCCAACGAGAACACAACACGAATTTTCAGTATAATCTGTCGGGTATTTTTTTTTACAGAACCACCATTTGAAGAACATCTCTTACAGAACACACTTTGGCCTGAAATACAGAAACTCTATGGACATGGTTATGAAATCATTGCCGTTGCATCGAATCCTTCTGGTTCGATTATTGCTTCGTCTTGCAAAGTGAATACGATCATTTTGCGTTTCGCTCAATAAAACCTTTCGATTTTCTCCAGGCCAGTCATCAAAACGATGCAGCAATTATCTTATGGAATACAACAACTTGGAAACCCATTGTTCGTTTAGCTATTCATCAATTAACAGTTGTACGAATGGCTTTCTCTAACGATGGTCGATATTTACTATCTGTTTCACGTGATCGATCATGGTCTTTGGTCGAAGTTGATGAAAAAAGTATATTCACACATTAACTTTCCTGTCTTATTTGATTTTTTCATCGATTAGATTTACAAGCTCAGCTCCTTAAACGAATATCAACGAATAATCCATACCATAAGCGTATAATTTGGACATGTAGCTTTTCTCATGACGACAAGTATTTCGTTACCGGTGCACGTGATCAAATGATACACGTTTGGCGTGTTCAAGACGAAAGTAATGATGATAATGAGCAACCCTGTGAAAAAAATCCCTTGAAATTAATCGATTCTGTCACGGCGGTTACCTTTGCTCCTCGACTAATCAACACCGACAAGTTTGTGGAAGACTTTCTCGGTCAAATCATGTTTTCCTTCATAAATCTTTCAGATATTTTGTGGTTGCGGGTCTTGATAATGGTGCTATGTTTCTCTACTCGTGGAACGAGCAAACATCCTGGCAACATTTGTCATCAATTAATCCTCCGTAAGAAAACGAAAGAAATTTGCAATAATTTCATGTTTTAATCAAAAATATGCTTGTTAAAGAACGAGAAATATTAAGCTGAGCACTCTTAATCATTCGTATCTCATTGATATGCTTGTCAGAACTCATGTCACGCGAAAATCATAATATTTTAGTCACGTCATGTTCTTCTTTCGTTGTATTTACTAAGATAAGTATTTCCGATAATTCTTAAATTCAATTTAGAGAAGAATACTATTGTGAGATACGTATGCTCTTAAAATTAGTTTCATAGAAGTACAGAAAAAGTTGAGCATTGTCATCACAATAGGAAAAGTCGACATTGTTTTCATTGATCGTGATGCTTTCGAGAAATGGAATGTGAAAGTTATTCTTTCAGATGACACATTTATTTGTCATTGATTAATAATGCACGTTTTTTTTTCTTTTAGAATCGGCTTTCATTTAACAGTGAATCATCTATGTTTTCGTCCGTCGTTATCCTCTCCATCGGCATATCAATTAGCCGGTTGTTCCAATGATGGAACTGTTCGAATCTTTACTATCTTGTTATCTTGATTCTGTTTTTGAATAAAACATTTAAGGAATCGAACCATCCGTGTTTATTTAACAATTCTTTGTTTTCTCTATTCCAGATGCGACACATCTTCTGATTCGAACAGTATTATGTATGAAAATAGTCCTTTTCTCAATCGAAATGTCGCCGTCAATTATTTTCAATATTCTGTAAACCGTAAGTGACGAAACGAACTCTTCTTCTTAAACATTAACGGAACTTTTTCTCTGATTCACTCTCTAGTTTGAAAGTTAAGAGAAGGGAGCTGACGAAGGAAAGAAAGGTAGTAATTGCATCCTTTCATTCATTTCATTGTATGTGTTTTCTATCTAGAAAATATTTTGTTTTTCTTCTCACGCTTACGCGTCATGTTCTTCTTTTCTTCTTCTTTGCCTTCGCTTTATTTTTCACGAGGAAAGAACTTAGCATCATATGTGTCCTTGAGACGCAGGATGCTGTGAATTTTCTCCGTCTATGAGAATATTTATGTGATAATCAGTAACCGGTTTGAACACATGTACGCATGAAGAGATTTTAAAGATAAGTGAACGAATTTCTGGAGATCGCTTTGTTATATGATAGTTACTCATTTTTGCTTCTGTTTACTGAACTACTTGACTTTCAGTGGGACGAGAAATAAAGAAGAAGAAAAAAGAGAAAGCGAGCTTTTCTTTGCCATACTTATCTGATAAGCAAAAAAGAAGAAAAACAGACTGAGAAGAGAAAAGGAGAAGGAAAAAAAATGACATGTTCGCTAGTTATATTAAGCTTCGTAATCTATCTTTGTTTATTCTTTTTTTTTCTATTTTAGGTTCATTTGAACCGAGCTAGATGTTTGAATGGCGGATGGCAATAGCCACCCATTCAATAATGATGTTATTGCTAGTGAAACTATAATTCAATTACAAAAGCAACTAGTTCAACATCAGCAATTGTCTTCTAAACATAAAGATCTTCTTGATCTTCTTTCCTCTAATCGCACCAGCAACCATTTTCTAAACACGACTGATCCGTCGATCAATGTCTCGTCTCAAACCATCACCGACGATGATTTCACTCGTTTGAAATCTCTCATCCGGTCGACAATTTGGCCTATCGATCATTCGATTCGTCGACAAATATGGATGAATGTTTTAACATTCAATCGAGTAAACTCCTCCAAAGCACATTTTCATGGGCCGATTTCCACGTCGTCCATCACAATTGATCATAGTTCCTATTCTCTTTCGTCAAAATCCAATCAATGGCCAACATTTGTCGATACGTCAAATCTGTGTTTTTATCATTTAACTGAGCCAACTGGACGTTTATTATTACAACGACTTTTGTTCACATTTGCTTTACACCATCCTGATTTAACCTATTGTCCAGCCTTACAACCTATTTCTTGTTTACTTTTACATTATTTCAATGAACATCAAGTTTTATACTTAATTAACCGTTTATTAGCGAAACATTGGCTTTGTGGAGAAACACGTTTACAATGGGAAGCCAATTGTCAAGTTTTTAAGAAGCTATTGAAAACATATTATGTAAACTCGCACAAATTGATCAAGGAGTAAAATGCACAAATCTAATCTGAACATTTATTTTAGAAATCAACAGCAGATACGATTGATTTACGATATTCGAACAGTAAAGGATTTTATCATGACTGGTTTTGGTGGATATTTCGTTACTTACCATTTCATTATCTTGTAAGAAAACGACTTTTTTTCTCGTTTTCAATTCTCATTTCTTTCTCCTAGGTCAAAATTGTCGATTGTTTCTTCCTCGAAGGTCCAAAAATTCTCTATCGAGTTGCTTTAACACTCGTACATCTATATATAAAAAGTAAGTAAAAGCATTTCTTTGCAAGATCCGAATCAATTTCCATGAAATGTAACATGCTGTGTTTGAATGTGTACTTTGTAGAGCCTCGTTCATACAATTGTTTGTGTAAATATCCTTCTCTATATATATTTCGTAACTTGTCATACGAAAAGCCAAGAAGAATTTACAAGTTAAGACCCTTCCCCATAGGTTTAATGTATATATGCGGATTAAATAGCTTTGATACTAATATTTGGGCTTCGTACGATTACTAACGATATTTTAATGCTTGGAGGAGGGATTTTTAGTTAGGATATATTGTTTCATATTGATAAGCGATGATTTCGAAAGAAAACGTTCATTTGTTCGATTTGAAATTTAGCGGTTAAACATGAAGCCAATGGAAATATTCGAAATATGGCGGAATTTTGTCAGCAAATTCCTATTTCCATCGAGCAACTATTACGCGTGAGTGTTTCAAGAAAATAACAAACGTTTCACTGTCGAACATTGAATTTTAGTCTGCATTTCAAATTCGAAATTTAAAACGAACTACTATTGACCAATTGATAGATCATGAAGAGAAATCACTCCATAGTTCTCGTTATTACTCACGATCGGATGAGAATGATCAATCAGCAACTTTAACAGCTACCAATCCTAATTATATCAATAGTAATGCCAATAATAATAATAATAATAATAATAATAATAATAATAATGGAAATTTGAATGATTATCAATCGAAATTCGTCAATCCACAACATCTTACAAGAATACCAAAGACGTCTGTACTTGATCATCAACAAGTAGATTGAATATTCGTATCGAATAAGAGGATCAATTGAAGTTTTTGTCTAGTTTATTGCTTTATGGAATTGGTTACCAGCGCGATTAAGTCTTTCTCAACCGAATCTGATCTTTACAACTGAAGAACACGGATTTCGTCTTCAAAGTTTACTGGATAAACTTGATGAAGTGGAATATTCAATTTTAGTTATCAGAACAACAGATGGCGAAGTTCGTTATCTTTGTCTTTGATGAATTTGAGAAAATAATCTGCTTTCATAGATATTCGGCGCATTCTGTGCAGGTACATGGTCCGATCGTCACAGTAAAACATATTTCGGCTTCGGTGAATCATTTCTGTTCACACTTGTGCCGAAACAAATCAAATATCCTTGGGTTGGTCAACAACACGAGAACGAAAACCGACAACATCAGATCAAACGCGAACTATTTCTCTTCGTTAACCACGAGAAGTTAATCATCGGTGGAGGGTAAGATATACGAACAAAAAAGATCAGGAAAAGAATCTGTGTGTGTTTTAGAAATGGTGATGGCTTATGCATCGATTCTTCATTATGCGATGGTCGTACCGCGCATTGTGAAACATTTAATAATGATCCACTTTGTTCATCACCTTATTTTTCTATCGCTGTTCTTGAAATGATTACATTTGATTTTTCTTCATCCTAGTCAGTCACAAAGTCCTATGCGCTATCTATATGTGCCGTTCGTCAATGTATTTTTTTTCTTTTTGTTTTGTTCTTTCTTCCATTTAATTATCCAAAAGAGAAAACAGTATTTTTATTCTTTGTGTATTTTGTGTACTGCCCATTTCATTCGTTCTTTTCGTACTTCAATGTCTTACAGAGATTTTATTTCACGTATATATGTATATGTGTGTGTGTGTACGCGTGTTTTTCAAGGCAATAAGATGAAAATTTACATTTATTCTTAGATGAAATTATGTGTTTACTTGTTATTGATCATTGTTTTTCATACAAAATGTTCAGCTTTGAAGCCAGTGCATCTGGCGATTGTTGTTTGCGGCTCTCGGTAATGGAATTGCATATGATTTTATTTCTGATTTGTTTGTGTTAGGCTCGATGAAGCAGTGACTTCGCTGAAATCTTCGTTGATCTTCACGCCAGGGCCGGTTATCTTTCATATTTTCACAGAAGACCATCTACGCAAAGAATTCTATGAGAAGGTAAGAAGATAGAACCATCAGATTCATTGTCCTTTTTTTCTAATTCGTAGATCGAAGTTGAATGGCCAGTGGAATATCAATCAAAATTTCAAATGGAATTTTATCCGATTGAATTTACACGCGGAAACGATGAACGTTGGAGAATGCTGTTCAAACCATGTTGTACACAACGATTGTTCATTCCAGTTGGTTGAAAATCGATTCGAATTAGTGAAATTCTTTCTATTCCCTTCGTAGGATATCTTGAAAAACATCGATTCGGTGATTTATGTTGATACAGACACATTATTCTTGAGTAATGTTAGAAACCTATGGCGATTCTTTCGGAAATTCAATTCAACGCAGCTGGCTGCATTGTCACCGGAACATGAAGATCCGTCCATGGGTTGGTACAATCGATTTGCACGTCATCCATACTATGGTTCAATGGGTAAATTTCGTGAAAGATTCTTCTCTATTCCTTAGAATTATTTCGGTGTATGTAGGACTTAACTCTGGTGTCATGTTGATGAATTTAACTCGTATGCGTCAAGCGGATATGATCAGTAAAATCATGAATATCTTCGATGAATTCCGTCTGAATATCACTTGGGGTGATCAATGCTTATTGAATATCTATTTCAATTATCATCCGGGTAAAAGCTTCTGCGAAGAAAAAAAAAGCAAATACGAAGAGAAGTTTTTGTTTTAGAACAATTGTATGAATTTACTTGTGATTGGAATTATCGGCCAGATCATTGTATTTATGAAAACAATTGTGCAATGGCAAAAAAGGATGGAGTGAAAATCCTTCATGGTTGTCGTGGTGCATTTCATAATGAGAAATATGATGAATTCAAAGCGATTTATCAAGTAATTCAAAACTGGAAATTCGATGTGAATCTCAAATCTTCTCTTCTATCACAAATTAAAAGCAATTTAGAACGTTTTTCTACCACAAACTGTGGTAAATCTCGAGAGATTTTTACTAAATATTTATCCAAGGAAATCTCTTCGATTGATTATTCGTTGAAAAAAGCCTTCCATATTGCATTTATCTTTCGAAACAATTGGAATTCTATTGAACAAGCATATATCACTCTAAAATCTCTTTCATTCTTCTCCTCAAATCGAACTCAATTCCATGTACATGTGGTTTCAACAGATCCAAATATACAGCACCATTTTTCGCAACAAGTAACAAAATCTTTGAGATAACTCAAGAAAAATCCGATGAAATTTAGATAGAAACTATGGGATATTTGATAACTTATTATAACACAACAATTGAGCATCCATTTCATCTCTCTGTAAGACAGACGTGAAATTCCTATTCGATTCTTTGCGTTTTCATTTAGAAAATTTTGAGTGTCGACCGTGTTGTTTATTTGAATCCAAATATTATTTTTACGAATTCGTTTGAGAAACTCTGGTCGGTTTTCGATAATTTCAATTCACAACAAATCATTGGAATGTTCGGCCAATGTCACATATCAGGTATTGAATTTCTTTCCAATAGTTCCGACTTTATCTTCTTCTTTCTCAGCATCAGCATTTTAAATTATTTGTAAGTATTTTCTATAACGATTTGGTTGATTGTCGCTTGTTTGACTTCGTGTGTATACGTGTGATTTGCTCGAACGAAAGTTTCTCATAGAACGATATTCATTTTATTGATTTTTAGGATCTTCGAATATGCTTCTACTCCATTTAAGTCAAATGAAACATTTGACTATCGATTTCGATGGTATCAACCAGATAACTACAGGTAATTGGGCGATTGCCATACAAATAAGAACAGCAACTATACTTGGAGGTGCGAGTCGTCGTCCCTTTTAAAGCGCCATCTTGTAATTCTTCAATAATCCAAATGTGTTAATCTTGTATTCCAGTATGTCATGACCCGTGGCTTATCATGTACTTTGATTTCTTGACTTTTTACTGAAAAGATTCGAATAACGGAGTGACTCGTTCTACTCTTTTACCCCGAGTAATCATTTTCGAAAATCACCAGTTGTCGGTAATTGATTTGAGCGATGATTTTATGGAGCTTCATAGAACAGAAGAACAATATTTTTTCAACAATTTAGAAAATGTTTACTTTATTCCGTGCGGACTTATGCTTGATCCTGATCACTGCCAGTCGATTCAAAATGGATTATTTCTTTCGGATCTTATGGATCATCGTTTATTTCGAATTTTGTACAAATTAATCAATCAAGTATGTTTGAAATTGCTTTGAAAAATCCAAAACTTTCATTCTTCTCTGTTTAGATCGATATGAAAAACTCGAATGAGTTAATCGAGAATGAAATCAACGGTAGAACCGATTTACAATGTCGCAATGAACTTGTAAAGCTCCTTATCACGAATAAACGAAACTGAATTCGAATATTTCTTATCGCTCACTTGTTTGTCTCGTTTCATTTCATTCCAATAAACGTTTTTTTAGATAAATACCTTTCTTTTTTTCTCGCTCAGTCGAAAAAACAAAAAGAAAACATGGCAATCGAGATAGAAAAATTCCATGTAAGTAAATACATATGTAAATTTCACTGCATGAATACCATGATAAATTACTCATCGTCAAGAAAAAAGGTGAATGATTTCTGTACGAGACTTGTTCTCTAGAGAGACATGCACGTACTAGATTTTTGACAAGAAACAAAAAAATACATTATATTAATCGAGCAACGATACGCAGCAGTTTTTCTTTTTTGCTTTGACATACAGCATATTGATGAGAGGAACATGACGAGAAGAAAAGAAGAAAAAGAGAAGATTGCAATCACTAAAAGTGTGTACGTACACAACTACGTGCGTATGTGTAGATCAAAGAATCCACTCTGTCGATGACATATACATATCTTTGCGCAACTAACAGTTGTCCTCAAACCCAAATCGCGCCTATGTATATAATCAGAAAGAAAAATAGAAAAACAAGAGAAAGAGAGTAAGTAAGTGGCAAAAATATTGACGGAAAAGGAGAAATAGAGTAAAAAAAGGCCTTCTATGTCTAAGCATACTGTGGATGCGTGAAAAAGAGAAAACAAAACGAGAGAAATCGGGAGAAAGAAAGACATTAACGCGGCTACCGCAGTTGTTTTTTGTCCTGTTCCTTTTCTGCGTCTTATTTCGTTTTTCTTTCGTCACTGGAGACTTGTACGTTATCAAACGACGTATCGTTACTATTACGCTTTATTATTAGGAAATATGTTGAAATTTTTCTCTACCCAAAAACAATTCATCAACGATTTTTCTAACTTAACTTTCACTTCTTCACTTGTATTTTCAAGTCTAAATATAAACGCAACGGTAAGGCAGGCAGTTCAAAAGACATATTCATTAAAATTTCGTTAGACAATTTCCAACATCAATTACCATCACCTGGTTGTTTTCTGTACATTCGCTGTGCTCTTGCGCGATCACTTATTACACATGTAATAATGATAATAATAATATTGAGTACGTCGTTGTGCAAACGTTTGCAATATTGTCATGTTTTTCTTTTAGCGAAAAACAGCAACTAGTTGTGTTGAGAAGTTTTTCTTTCTCCCTCTGCTAGTCTATATTTTCATTTTTCTCACCTTCGCAGACGCATATACGCTGTTTTGTTTTTGTATAGAATTCTTGTTTTGATTATTATTCTAGTTGTACACTTGTCGAGTGAAAAAGATAAGTAACATTTTTTGTTTTCACGTCTGTTGTTTTTTGGAAGTTTTTCTTGTCGAAAAATAACAAAAGCAAAGCCGAGGAAGAAAACATTACGATTTGATGCTTTTGTTTCAACATCACTGTCAATCTGTTTTTCTCGCATTTTATTCGACCGTTTCTTCTATTCATTCTCGCTCAAGCAAGTAGCACAGATCTAGTTTTATCCACAGACTATATATCCACATTCTCTCCGATCGTCTATATATCCGACGGAAAGATATAGACAGATGTTGTTTTTATCGTACGACTGTTGCCATCGTACGTTTTATAGTGCGAACAGTATCGACGTGTGTGAGAATAGTATTGTATCATACACTGACAACGTCGAACTCGTTTGCGGATAAACGCTACGAAGAAAAAAAAATAACGCGTATGTGATGGTACATTTGTGTGCACACCCAATCGAAAACGAGAAAACAAAAGAGCGTCAGCTGATGAAAGAAGCTTTTTCTTTTCTTTCTTTTCATTTCAGGTCAGTATATGCCTTTGAAATTTGCTTTTTTTCTACTTTTATCAGCCGTTCTCCATCTGGTTTTTATTAACGCTTTCCAGTAGAAAAGTAGCTTTCTTTCCTCTCTTTTGCCTTTCTCTTGTACACATATGATCGAAGTTTTTCTTTTATTTCTTATCAAGAGAGAGAGATGAGACTTGCATAGCTTACGTTCTATTGATAATAAACAGCTGAAAAATTCTTCTTGCGTACAACCCTACAGAAGCAATAGTAATTGAGAGAAAAAATAAACTAAAAAATAACAAAAATAATCATTCTTTCCTACCGACATTATCAAAAAACTGTTTTCATCATCAAATTCCATGCACATACGCACACACACACTCGCTCTCTCCTTCTGCATTTATCCTATCGAATTGCGGAGAGAGAAAAACCGAATAATAATAATAATAATAATAATCCGACATGTCTTGTATTTTGAGTAGGAAGGCATTTATCTTTTCTTTGTCTTTTTGGATTTTAGACGTACACTAAATGGCGTACGACGAGGTGTCACCACCGAAAAAACGCTGGCAACAACAAAGTTGTTCGTCAACACCCTCACCACCGTCATTAACACCCTTTACATTAGATGCAAATCAATGGCGGCAGCAAAGTATTCTCGTTCTCGATGATCAGAATCTAAATCTATATCGTACAGGTGTCATACTCGATATAATCGATTCTTCTCTTGTCACAGTTGCACTGCGTGATGAGCAATCGTCAACAAAAACAATCGATCTCTCTCGACCTAGCTGCAGTTTACCATCGATTATTATTGATAATATTCCAGCATGTCACGATCTTGTACCTGGTACAGAGGTTTGTGTTCGACAAGTGGGAAATAGTAAAACAAATCATTTTCACTGTGGCCAAATCCAAACCAAACATCCACAACGTTTAGAATTTTCAATAAATTTTAAAGATTCAAATAATAATCAAGAAAATGATCTTAATGATGAAGAAACCAAATGGTTTACCAGACAAAATCTTCGATTATTAATTGAACCATGGCACGAAGAACTACGTCTTTATCGCGAAAATTTATCAGCGCAAAGTATGTTTCGACCGATATCAGTGCAATTGCCAATTGATAACTCTGAACAAGTCTCACAACAACAACAACATCAATCAAGTGCATTCCCCACACCACCCAGTGAACATAAAGATGAAGACGATGAAGAAATTGAACGGGAATTACACAAAAACCAACAAGCAAATAATAAATTTCACGGAATCAAAAAAGGCGATATATTTACAATGGGGTAAAACATCCGAAATGCACCCTAAGCTTCAACAATTCATCATTCGATTTCTTTTAGCAATACAGGTATAAGAAAGAAATTCAATGGCAAACAGTGGCGTCGTCTTTGCGGTATAGATCAATGTCAAAAGGAGTCTCAACGACACGGCTTTTGTTCGAAACATTTATCTCAAATGCGAGAACCACATGCTCTCACTCACCATGTACAACGATTTATGGGTTCGATGGGAAACTTTCATCCTGCCAACGCTCTGCCATTGCTTGCTGGAATCTATCAACGCAGTTTAGAATATCCTCCTATGCCATCAACATTACCAGCATTCTATCCTATCGTACAACTTGCTCCAGCAACATTGAATTCGATGCCTCCACTAAGATCATTTTCTACTCCATCACCATCATCAACGACAACGACAGCACTCCTAGTCAATTCGAATCAATCGCCTAGCGCTTTTGCACCGCTTATATCCGTTGCTCGACAACATTCCGCGGATATAACTCCGCCACCATCATCTTCATCATCTACACCTGTATTATCAAATAATACCACATCATCTTCATCCGTTCGTCGATCCAGCGAAGATGACGATTCAGACATCGACATAGAAACTTTACCGTCACCTTGTAAGTGGGCGAATCTAATGAAACTGCGCTCATTTTTCTCTTCTAGCAAATAAGCGATTTCGTTCGGAAACTACTGGAGATGACAAATGCACAACCGGCAAGAAATAGAATCTAATGGAGTGTTGAAGACAACTGTTCCATTAAAAAATACATTAGAAACTCTTCAATATCGAAAGAAAACCGAACAGTTGATATTTTTAATACTATCCTTATTTTGTTTCCATCTTCTTCTATCTATTCTTTTCTTTCTGCTTTCGATACAATCAATTTTCGTTTTCGCTCTCTCTCTCTCTCTCTCTCTCTCTTTCTCTTGTTTTGTGTCTGTCTCTCTCCCTCTCTCTATCCCGGTTTTATTCTTCGCGTTTACGTCAAACGTGTGATTGAGCTAGTCAAGTCGGATCAAACCATGGTGTGTATGTTTACTTGTATAGCGGTTAGATTAACGAAAAAACAATACAGACGGAAGCCTTGATATAATCAAGAACAGTGATGCACTTTCATTTGATGTATGTATGCTTGTTTTTTCTACTCGAAAATACTATATTTTTCCCTTCTTGTTACGTGCGTTCCTAATCGAGATGTGTCGAGTTTATTTTATTTTGTTTTGCTTTCTCTTTTCTGATAACATTGAAAGTGCCATTGTTGATCTCACAAAAAAATTACTTTTTTGTTTGATGTTATCATCTGGCTCGGTGAAACATCCTTCATTTTTTCTGTCTTTTCGTTTTCTTTTGCATTCATTGATTTTTTTATTCTGTCTCTTTATCCGATTTCTCTTTCTCTTGGATTTCATACGTAGTTTAGATATTATACGTGTTATAAACACAAGATTATGTTCTTGTTTTGTTACTGTTTTATATGAACTATTGCTGATGAATATCAAAGAAGAAGAAGAAGATGATGATGACGACAAGAGATGATCATATCTTTTTATTTTAGAAAGAGAATATCTGATAAACATCCGATTATGAAGATCGAACATTTTGTAAGAAAACAGCCGCACGAGCTTTTCTCTCTTTACTATCGAGACGACGATGATAGTATTCGATTTGATCTAAAATTTTCATCGATTAAATAGCAGAAGTATCGTGGCTGACAATGACGTATGTTTATGCAAAGATAACCGTTTTGCGTTTTCTTTTCGATGTCTCGAATTGGAGAAAGTCTTAATAGATTCCGACCATTTATTATCGTCCTTAATGGAACTGAAAAATATACGTGACGAGATATCGACCGCGGTATTATTGTTCTATCCTTATCATCTACCAGTGTAGATTGTATTTTGTTATCGCACAAGCGATTACGTCAATCGAGACGCTATTCTTATCTTTTGCATTTCATTCTAGTGTTGTTAAAGAATGAAAATGAAAACGTTGTGAAAAATAATATCGAACCAATAAAAACGTTCAACAGGCATTTGTTGAATTCAAACATTTGTACATAGAAGTGTCTTAATATCGAAAAACATGAATACATTTAAAAGAGCATCACGCACACAAGTGTAATCTTTCGTGTACTAGAATAATCGATATTTTTCTTCTAGATGTCGTCTGACAACACAGCTGGTGTAGAACAGTCGTCATCTTCAAAGAACGATAATGCGAGAAAAATCGCTTGGACAGTTATTGTCATTACTGCGTCTGATCGGGAAAGTGCTTATGCATTTGATTTCAGTCTGTATTTTTCTAAAACTATTCATCGATATGTATACGAGAAAAGTGTCGAATTGTAGTTCTACGGCAAAGGCAACATTATGGTTTAATAGATAAGTCAACCATTTTATTGTCCGTAAATGATCCGCAAGATAAACTGGGAAGTGGTGGAGCAACATTAAATGCATTGTTAGTAGCCACGGAACATCTCAGTGCTAGAGCTGGTTATTCTGTTAGTGAAAAATTCCGCTTTTTCCTTCAATCTGGTTGTCATTCATTTTCTCCGTAGGTTGTGAATACCAATGTTTTACATTCGGCTTATATATTGATTCTTCATACAGTAAGTCGTTGTTTTCAGGTCAAAACTGAATATTCTGGGGATTTAAGGGCCAGACATTTCCTTATGATGCTTGTCATCGTTCGTTAGCAACGTTACCTGCTCGATTCGGTCCACATCGTCCATGGTTATTGACAAATTTAGATTTACTTTTACATGATTTTAATAATCTGGTAAAGATCGTTTAGTTGTCAATCATTTAGAAAGAAATTTCGAAAATATTTAGATTGTTTCAAGTCAATTACCGTGTGGTGTATGGGTTAGTAGTACCAATGCATTTGTGACGTTACCAAAAAGTGATATAGGAGAAATTTTGTTATATTATTTGGATTTGACATATATTTCAAGGTATTCAAATTCCATCGGACAGTGATATTCACGCCCTGGCAACATTAGAAGATGTTCAATATGCTTCGAGACATGGTGTTTATATAATTGATAAAGAAAATGTATGAAACGATTGATCAAAAGTTCGCTAACCAAAGAAATCATTTGTATTCTAGAATGTTGTAACAAATATTTTGTATCAAGTATCAACGGATATTTTGAATAAATATGCAAATGAGGATAATCGAATCCCGATTGTAAGTGAGATTGGATTTCTATTGACAATTCGGTGTCTACTTTTGTATTTCTAGATCAGTAGTATCGTTTATTTTTCAGTTCAATTTTCCGAGAAACTTATAAGTATGATTCGTTTTGTCCGCTATTTCTCTTGAATATTTCGATTTTCTATATTAGAATTTCATCGTACACCTCCGCTAGATGGTTGTACATATGAAGGAATTGATAGTGGTTCCCAACCTAATCAAGTATATTCTATACGAAATGGTATTTTCTAATGAATGTTCGATATTCTTTGATATTAGTTGTCATTGTACTTCGATTTCCTGCTTGCGGCGTGTAGTGATATTTCATTTGAAGAATATTTATCAATTCAACACCAGAATCCCACGAACGAATTGGTTCAGCAATCGAAAATATTCCTTTGGAATCAATTAAACAGCAAAACAAAATTTACCTGCGGTACATTCGTTCATTTTCGCCTTACCTTTTCTCATTGATCTTTCTTTAGGAGTTCTTCCACCTGCCTGTCACTTTCAATATATTGATAATCGTTGGCCCTATTTGACCAATGAAAATATTCATTGCAAACGTGACGATATTCAATGGTTATCAATTCAACACTCACTAATCGGTCAAAAGCGAGTTCAACAGAGCAATCACTCCATAGTTAACAGTATCATTTCCACTGACTGTCATCTAGGTGAAGATGTTACAATACAAAATTCGATTATCGGTGATCGAGTTACGATAGGAGACAATTCTTGTGTACAATCAGTCGATTTTTCGAAAGAAGTAAGAAGGGCAGTTCTGCATCGTATGTCTATTCATTGCTCTTTTTGAGAATTTTCATTTGACCATTCCATCGGATATGATCATTCAACGAATTATTCTATCACTTCAAACAACAGGAGAATTTGCTACGAATCAAATCGATATTTACACGATTATTGGTGTACATGATAATGTCGATCGGATGTTTACCGATGAGAAATTCACGATTCTCAACATGCCATGGAAGACTTTTCAAACGCAAACAGGTATCGACATTTGGGATCTATGGCCAAATTTACAAGTAAAAGAAACGACATTTTCTCCAAAGATTTTCTTAAGAATTCTTTCTCTTCAGAACATGCCGGAAAAACGGACATTTGCAAACGCTCGTCTCTATCCCGTCTTACATTTTAATAACATATCATCGTTAACTGAGGATTTACTTTGGTTTTTCAATCCATCTGCTCGTTTACATCAACGATGGAAATCCTCCTGGCGTTTGTCGCTAACCGAAATTTTGATTCGTGCGGATCTTCACAAAGAAATTCTCCGCCGCCAAAATCTATTCCACAAAATTTCTCAACAAAAAATTCTCGATTTGTTGTACCAAACAGGACGAAAACAGATCAATGATGATTCCTACTTGATCCTATTGAAACAAATTGTTGCCGATGGACATGGTCAAGATATGCTTGAAACATTCGATCGAGCATGTTTAGTAAATCATGACAATTTACAAGTTCTGTCGTGTTTATTCTCCGCTATTGCGAATACATTAGCCGAAATGGCAGGTGGCGATCGTGTTGGTCTCCGGTCGGGACCGTATTTGAATCGTGAATGGCAATATGCATTTCTGATGTTTGAAGAAGGAAAATATCTGTTAGGAATTCAACATTTGATAAAACAAAGACAATTGTGGACTGATCGACCCGATGTTTTAATACGTGCTGCTCGGCATTACGACGGTAAAAATAAGAAGATTAATTTTCTAAAGAACCAGAGAAAACAAGGACAGTTCGTATCCTTGTGGGAATATGAATACTCATCAGATGAGTGACATGATAGAATAGAAAATGACCCAGAGTAACTACTTTTCATGTGCAGAATACTCTATTGTGGTTAATCATTCATTCATCTTTCTAGGTGCAACGCAAACATTAATCAAACAAGGTGTATTAACTTGTCGCTCGAAATGTCATATTGAACACTTTCAGAAGTCAAATTTATTTCAATTTAAACATCGACAAGTTGTCGTGGAATGTCCCGTTCGTTTGGACTTGTCCGGTGGATGGACTGACACACCTCCGATTTGTTATGAACATGGCGGCAATGTATTAAATGTGGCAATTACAATAAATAACCAACGACCAGTTGGTGCACGCGCACGTCTAGTTGAATCAACAGCAACACCTTATGTTACATTTATTCTCAAAGGTGAAAATGAGAAAGATGATAAAATCTACGAGTTTCATACCTTAGAACAATTTACTGATTATAATCAACCGCAACGTCCTTGTGCATTACTGAAAACTTGTTGTATTTTTACGGGAATTATTGAAATCAATACGAATCAGGAGATGTCCTTGGGTGAACAATTGAAAAAGAAGTTAGCAGATTATAATTTAGTTCTCGAAGCTTGGTCTAACGTTCCTGTGGGTTCCGGACTCGGAACGAGTTCGATTCTAGCCGGAGCAATTCTTCTCGCACTGTGGCATTTGATTGGCGTTGAAAATATTACTGATAGTATGGTCATTCGTAAGTTGATTTGTGTAGAAAAATTGACGAGAAGAGAAAAGCGGAGTGAAATTTATAGATGGTGTTTTGGTTGTGGAACAAATGATGACAACCGGTGGCGGTTGGCAAGATCAAATTGGAGGTTTGTTACCAGCATTCAAATTAGGAAGATCGAATGCACGATTACCATTGGAAGTCGAATGGCGACTGTTGAATGTTGAAAATAATCAGAACACGTCGTTCTGGAATGATTTCGATCGAAGAATTATACTTGTATATACGGGTCAAACACGTTTAGCACGGAACCTACTACAATCAGTTCTAAGAAATTGGTATTCAGGTACGATTAGTCATTTATTCGATGAATTAGAAGAGAATGCATTGCAAGCTGCTGAGGCAATTGAACAAGGTTTGTTTTATATTGACTCTGAACATAGATGAATTTGATTTCGATAGGAAATCTATCTAAATTGGGTCAATGTATGTCATTGTATTGGCAACAAAAACTGCGTGTTGCACCTGGCTCAGAACCAGAAACATGTCGTCGATTAATCGATCTACTGACGCCTTATATTTATGGTAAATATTATTTGACTCTCTAATTCATTTAGTCTATGTAATTTGTTTCTCAAGGAGTGACATTAGCTGGTGCTGGTGGTGGTGGATTCCTCGCTGCACTCGCGAAAACTGAGAACGATGCTCACCAATGTGAAGAATTAGTTAGTAAAGAAAATATTCCAAATGTTGTGCTTTATTCCGCTCGTATCGACCGGCATGGACCAGTTATTTCATTTTCGTGATATTTATGTACCCTCATTTTTGTTCCTATCCATCTAATTGATCATTTTACTCAATAAACTCTTGTTTTTAATCAACAAACGATTTTTCAGACATTCGATAATCAGTAGTGTTGAATGAGCCATCTATCCGAACATGTCCCTATTAGCATAAACGATGATTCGAAGAGTAATTGAATCACTGGGTACACTAGGGCCATTCACTTAGATCTATTAGAAATGAATCTATTCTGCAGAAACAGTAGCATTTTTTTGTTTAAAGTTCATTAAAAGAAAGTTCAATGTTTTTTTTGCTTTCAGTACACGACAACATCGTCGTGACGATTTGAAATATTTTCATTATCTTAATTTGCTTGTTGCAGAGAAATGAAAGCTGCACAGTTGTGAATACAAATCTAACAAATTCGAATGAATCGAACAAAACGAAAGAAAGAGAGAGGGAGAGAGAGAGAAAGAGGCAAAAAAGAACAGAATTAACAACGACAATCAGAAAAAAGGCAAAGAAATCAATGACACATATACGAACACATATGCACGCTGGTTTGGTTTCAGCTCAATGAAAATCATTTTGTACAAAGTTTATGAGAATAAGAGCGACAAAGCAAAACAAAAATAGATAGAATTGAGAAAGCACCGGGCTTGTTATGTATAGAAGAATTGTATAAACGAAAGAGTATAAGAAATTGAGAAAAAAAAACGATAAGGAGAAGAAACCGACAGACAAAGTCAAAGAGAGGGAGAGAAAAGGTAGATCTTTGTGTGTATGTAGCGATTGCATCGTATTGCGAGAAGCGACATGCATACAGAGATAGATGTGAGATCCGACACAGGCAAAATAAAGGAGAAATAATAATCGTAGTACGAATATGAGTGAAGTGATTTATTATCTGAAAGGAGGAGCGGGCGAAGAAGAAGATGATGATAAATTAACATTTGATGTCGTTGAATTGGAAGGAATCGTTGGTGTCATTGGATAATTTGAGGACATTTGTCTCGTCAACTGCTGCTGCTGCTGCTGCTGCTGTTGATGTTGTTGCTGTGGTGGCAAAGAATTGGAATATGCCGGTACAGATGACTGTCGATAATATGACGGAGGATAGACATTTCCTGTACCAGTGCTTGCATTCGATGGCGAATGAGTGACATGTGATCCAAGTGTATCATAGGAGGATGTCGATGACGATGACGATCCATAATTAGTCGATGAAGGATGACTATTTGGTATTGAATTTATCGATGATGGCAAAGTGGAAGATGCCGATGCGCATGTGGCTGTCATTATCATTGGCGAATTCTGCTGTGGGGTTGATGACACATTCACTGAAGAACTTGTTGCTGATGTATAACTATAATGTTGAGGTACTTGATATTGCTAAAAGAAAAAAGGGAAAAGAACACGATGAGATAAAATATGAATAAATTATTTTCATCTGACTTGATTATGCGCTTGGTATGGATAAGAAGGATAAGAAGAATAAGATGACATCATTGATGGATATCGATTAGGATAATAACGATTAGGTTGTTCAAAATGCTGGGGTCGGGTGGGATAGTTATACATTTGTTGTTGCTGTTGAGCTTGCGGTGGTTGGGATGGTTGTTGCGATACGGGTAGCGGTTGAGATTGCTGTTGCATTCGATACGTGTCAGGATACTGTTGAACTGCATTTGTTAAATACGGTGTTTGTCGTATTGTTAACGAGTCTGATCTAGTCATCATTTGCTGTTGTTGGTGTTGCTGCTGTTGTTGTTGTTGTTGCGGTGGTGGATATCTTTTGTTGTATTCCATATTTTTTTGTATAGATAAATTATTATTATTATCTGACAGAAGAAATGATGAGTTCAACGTATTTAAAAATGCAATTAATCCTTCGGCGGTCAAATAATCTTGAGGATTGGGGCAGTTGGATAGGGGATATGTATCAAATGTTGTTAAGTCAAGATCTTTCACGTACGATGAAAAAGTCAAATCGGAAAAGGATATCAACGATGTTGAAGATGAAGAGAATGGCATAGATGGCGATTGTGACAAAAGATTCGTCGATGGTGATGTTGAAGAAATGAGATTTGAAACAGGATTAGCATTAATATTCGTATTATTATTATTATTATTATTATTTTGATTCGTTGAATTTAGTGTTGCTGCCGAAGGTGAAGCTGTGGAAGGAGATGACGTCGATAAAATAGATGGTGAAGAGCACGAAGATGGATGTAGAGGAAAGTCTTGTTGATCAGTTGTTGTTAGTGGACACTGTTGCTGTGAGAGAGATGAAGATGACGGAGAAGAAAGAATATCAATTGGTTTCTGTTGAGAAGTTTGGCCATTTACACTGACGTTAATCACTGTACTCAAGGTGAAATGATGCGTTGGGGTATGAGCAATTTGACCAGTACCATTACTTGTACCACCGCCACACTCAATATCGATTTTCTGAGTTAACTCTGCTTGAAATGGGTAACAAGTCTACGAAAAGAGAAAAAAGTTAAAAAAAATGAGCAAAGACGAGAAGCAAACAAATTACTTGTGATTGCGACTGAGCATGGTCATCACTGGTATTTAGGGATGATGTCGATGATGCCGAACCGATTCCATTCGTGTTTGTTTTTTGTCTTTTCCTCACATGTCCACCGCTATTACAATTTGCTGATGAAGGCGATAAACTCGGTGAAGTTGTCATCGCTGATGGTACGAGACCAGGGGTTGTTTTGTTCTGTTTTTGTTTACTATCTTCGAGTGAACGTTTCTCTTCGAAATGTTGGTAAAAATGACGTCGATGAGTATGTGTCATCAATGGATGAGGGTGAAGATGAGGATGATTATGCACCATATTTGTAGTATTAGTTGTATTTGTAGTGTTTGTTGATATTTGTTGTTGATTTACACCAATAGGAACAACTTTTAAAGATTGTTCAACAAGTTTTTGTTGTTTAGTTGTTGACCATTCGAAATAATGGTGATCACTCGGTGTTGTTTGTTGTTGTGGAGGTGCCGCCATATTTCTGAAACAGAAAACAAGAAAATTTGACATCGATGTCAAATTACTCTCTACATCTATTTTTCTCATGTGTATATGTATGTTTTTTTTCTCTCTCGCTATCTACGTCCTATTTTCCTGCTGTTCTGATTCTTATTGCGAGATTTTGACAGATGAGACAGGAAATCATGTACCTACCTGGGTATACATAGATTGTCAAGTTTCTATTTTATGTGTATAACAATAATAAGAAAAAATGAGAGAGACAGAGAGAAAGAAAGAGACCAATAATAATGATCACTAACAGTGACGGTGGCCAAACCACCACCACCACTACACTGTTGTATTGGGTATATGTGATGTTGTATGTGTGTCGCGTTCAATCGATCAGTCAGTCAGTCAGTCAATGAACGTTTGTTGCTGTTGCTTCTTCTTTTCTTCTCTTTCTTTTGCTTCTTCTTTTTTGGTGCGTCTCTTCTTTTTCTTATTCAGTCCGCCGCAGCAGCAATAGCAGCCGTTGAGGAGGAGGAGACGCTCTTTTTCGCCTCTCGCCACCATCACCATGATCATGTGCGTGTATGTTGCTGCTGTAGTTTGCTTCGTCGTCGTTCGTCGTCGATGAAAGATTTCAATATATATATATATCGTCGCTGAATGGTTATAGTTCAACTTCTCTCTTCTTTCTCGTTCTGTTTTCTCTCGGCGCCGTCGTTCGTTCGTTCTTTCGTCGTCGCTTGTTTGACCAAGGAGGAGTACAGGAATGAGAAGAAAAAAAATCTATAAGCATACACATACACACATGCATACATATAGCATGGTAGTGGTTGAGTGGAGTGTCGCCCGAAGAAGAAAATTCGCTATGTGTTCGCAAACCTACGGACAGATAGATAAGAACAAATCGTGCGAGCAGTGAGCGAGAAAAGAGAAGAGAAGAGAAAGGAGAGTCTCGGGCACCGGCGCGACGTGCACACGCGGTAGATCTATTTTCATATATTAATATGCATACACCACCCCCCATCACACATAAGAACGCAAGAAGAAAGAGAACACAAATGAGAATGAGACGATGAAGAGAAAAGAAAGAAACAGATTTCTATATGTTTGTAGGCTATACAGCTCAATTGGCAAGCGAGCGAGACGCGTGTGTGTATGTCGATTTCTCCTGTTCGCAGCATATATGGAGTATAGTGTCACCGATTTTTGTCGACAACAACAACGAACACACACAAATATATAGGAAAGAGAGAGAATGAAGAAGACGAAGAAAAGAAGGACTATCAATAGGCGCCACCAGCCATCAAAAGGAAGAGTGAGCTAAAGAAAAATGATGATTATTGTTATAAGTTCTGCTGGTACTCTTCTACACCAACGTTCGTATAACGCTGTCGATGAGGCAAAACGTCTGCTTTGTTCTTTGACATGCAATCATTTTTTCTCCGAACGTGTATACAGGAGAGAAAGCATCATAAAAAAAACAAAACAAATAACTGACTCTCATCTTGTAACAGTAATAATAATGAGAAGTTAAAATACTCCTCTTTCTTCTCTTGTTGTATATGTATCTTTCTTTCTCTCTCTCTCTCTCTCTCTATTACGTTTTCTTCCTAACAATCATTAACTAATCAAAGAAACTGATAGAATGATCAAACACACACATACATACATACACAACGCAATGAATTGTAATAGTAGTAGTGGTAGTAGTTAGTAGTATTGAGTGGCTGCTCGCTCTCTCGCGCGTGTGTATATTTGTATGTAATGGTCGTCGACGGACGAGAGCAGCGATAGTGACATATGAATACGTGCATGTAACGGGTGACAGCAGAACAAGAAGAGAGACGAAGAAGGAGAAAACGACGAAGAAGAGAAGAAGAAGAAGGAGAAGAAGAGTACTACTACTACTATAACTACAGTTCTGTTTGTTGACTGCTGTCGAACGCCTTTTTCAGGTCATTGTTGGTTGACACAAAACGATCTTTATACATTCGATCAAACAACAAAAGAGACTTAACTGGTCAACATAAAATAACAATATACATAAAACTAAAACGGGATGGTAACACGAATAGCTTATTTCTCATTGGAAAGAAACACACCAGACTCTCATTTTCAATCGTTTGACTTGTCAGAGCTAATTAAAAGAATTCTCGATTATGCACAAACTTTTGTTCTTTTCATCTTCTAATGATTCTAAATTGAATTTTGACTGACGAAAATTGACGCTTCAAATTCACTATAGGAATGAAGTCTGAGAAATTCTTTTCACTCAATCCTAACATGGCTTCGCATTGTTCCAATTGAAATTGTAAATCGTTCGATTATGAGGACAGATATTCAAATAGAATAAAAACAATTACGCAATACAAATAGAGCAAAAAAAGTCAGAACGATTCGCAGTATGATGATCAGAATGTTTAGCTTGGAATACATTTATTACTTGGTAGTCTATTGATGGCAATCATAATCTATTTCCGAAAGCTCTTGAAAATGATTATCTATTGAAATATTTGCTCTTTGTTAGAATGTTAAAGACGAACTTTGAAAGTGATTTGGGTACAAATCAGTAGAAATACTTTTATTATGTTCATTAGATGAGTGATACATTTTTTTTGCTACATGTATTTCGGAGTTTATTGATTAATTGTCTTAAAACAATTTAGTCTGTGCAAGAAGAACGATTTTCACTGAGCTTTCAATTTTGGTATAGGTTACGAGATCTGAGTATTACTGATTGACACATTTTCATGGATAACTGGTGATAGCATAGTATTTTATGACCAGAAAATATACTATTCGGTATGAAGAAGCGATTTTCTTTTGATCGCCTGTTGACGACAGTTAATATCGAGCCAAGGGAAGGTGAGCATCTACGAAGCGAACAAATCTTCGGTAATTGAACTTTCTGCAACAAAAATTAGTAATAACTCACAATTTGTCGTATTAATTTCGATTGATTTTGGTGGTACGACAAGTGTCGGCTGGCCCGAAGTGGGTCGCCAAACTAAAACTTGAGCCGAATTAGCTAATAAACCAGACATAAAACGAAACAATTTCTTTTTTTTTTATTACATTTCATCGATAAAATCGCATTACCAGTTGGTGGGTAGAGCGCACAAGTTGGAATGGCTAAATTTTCATCATAGATCGTCGGTTGTTGAGGTGACGGATCGGATATAAGCGTTGATCGTCGACCTCGTTGTCGTTTTGGATCGACAGCAATCTCAATAATCTTTTTCCATTCAACAGTTCGAAGAATATAGATATCCTGTCAATGATCAAAGTCTTCGAATGATCGTTCAGTTACCGTTTTTACTTTAGATTCGAGATCCATTGCTGCAAGCCAAACGAGAAAATGTTGATTGCGATAGATATGTGTTAGACGTGGTATTTCTTCGTCACTTGTTGGAATATCCCAAGGAATCATAAAATCAAGAATAAAAAGAAATCGAGATACAAACATTCGAAAATATTTATTCGATTTTTTTGTCGATGACTGGCAAAGGTAGTGATTCTCAATTGATTATTCAAATTTGAACATACCAAGGATGAAAAAAATCTCTCATTGTCACCGTATATTTCGATGAATGCGAGATCGGCCCATTGATCGTGACCACTTGGTGTGAACTTCCATACCACGGATAATTTCGTCCATCGCTATCGTTAATCAATGGTTTCTCACGGGTGACCATCTCCGGAAATTCCCACGATGTATAACCATAATCTCCGTAGGTATCTATGCGCAAAAAGCATCGAGTTATTGCCATCGAATATATCATTCGAATGAAATTTACTAAAGAATTCCATGTGAGTACAAGCTTGTATCCATCCGATTTTCCAATTTTGATTTTCGTCTATCGTGGGCATTTGAAATGTGACATGGCATTTGAATTGTGGAGTTTTATATTTCAAGACTGATGAAGAACTCTCATCGATAACAGTTGGTTTACTTTCGATTTCTGCACGTAAATCGAGAATTTTAATACGTGGTGGTGACGGGCGAGATTCGATCGTAAGATTCGTGGTTGATGGAAGAATATGTCGGGTATGTTTTGAGCGTGAAGGACTTGGATTGTTCAGGAGATTTGATCGAGTATTGTGAGGTGTTATGGGAGATGAGTCCGGAATGGTCGGGTGTAGTTTCGACGATTGTCGATGTTTATCAGATGTTGACTGATTCTGAAAATGCTTTTTTCGGTAATTCAAAATGAGGAGATGCATTTTGTCTACCTTTGAATATTTTTCCTTCTGCTCATGAAGTTTGAATGTTTCGATTATTCGATTTGTTGAATATCTTCGTTGTCGATTATCTGCATCGAGTTCGTTTTCTTTACTGAAAACACAGAAAATGTCAAAAAAAATCTCGTGCTTTCCTTTCGAATAGATTTACTAATTATCTCGAGATTTACGGGATTGATGCTGAATAAATCTATATGAAATCTCCAAAGTTTTCTTCGAAATTTCGCGAATAATATTCAAACTTTTCTGGTGGATATCGAAGAGTCTTCTTTGATGTGAAAGTTGTTTTGGAATCAACGAACAAATGCCGCGACATCGACTAGATCTTCATCTTTGATTAATACTTGCCTATTATTCACAAATCTAATCTTTTATTCGGAAATCGTTCTTACGTAATAATCAATTAAAGCTCATAACCAGTGAAAGCAAAGAATCAATTGAATAAAACTGAATCAGAAAGAAAATTCGAAATCGCAACTAAACTACTAATGCGCCATTGATATCATGTTTTCATCACTAGTATTCAAATGAATCAAGTGCAGAGAGAAAGGCCGAGAAGAGCAGGCAGATGTCATTGATCGAAAGAATAAAACAATCTTTGAAGTGGTCGCACCTCCGGTCGGTAAGAATTGAAGAGGTGGAGTCAGGAAGTGTGCGTGTCTTGCAGAAGATTGTTCTTCGTCTTTCTCTTTACCTATGCCATGTAATACCAACGAACGCTATTCATTATTCGTCAACAACATGGATGATCACGTTCGGCGGATGTCGCATAGATGTGTTTGATCTTGTATGTTCTGTTGCTGCCACTCATTCTTTCAGAAGTTCTAGTTGACTTTCACCTGGGTATTTGTTAACATATACAAACACTGATTTGTTGATAATAATGATCGATTGATTAACACCGACAACAATACCGTCAATATGTGACTTATCGACGAAAGAGAAAATCACGACAATCGAGCGATCGATCAATCAATCGAATGTTGATTTTCCGTTAGGTGAGTAACTTCAGTCGTCGACGTCTCTCGTTCTCTTTTTTTCTCACACAGACTTAATTGGCGAATAGAGATAGCATTGCTGCCGTCAATATGTAAGTGTTTGTTTGAGATTCTCACCTTCTTATATGTTCTGACATGGTCTGTATGTTTATCGAATCAGATTAAACGATTGATAGACTGAGAATTAAGAAGAATAAATCGTGAAAGACAGATAGATTTGTTTGCTTGCATCGTTTTCTTATCGATGATCATGCTTCGTCTCTCTCTGTCCAGATTTTTGATCTCTATCAGATGAGAATTTTCTTCATTGTAATGTTTATCTGTATGTCAATGTTACATGATAAAGTTTTCAACAATGATCACATCGATGAACTTCGAATATCAAGTATTTCATGTCGTTCTTCTGCATTTGTCAATTGGAGATATTGAAGGTCGTATTTACTTACGATTATTCTCCTTCTCTACTTACTCATGTGTTGATAATGCTTCTCTCAACAAGACTTTCGCTGTACTAAGCAGAGAGTTCGAAAGTTAACAGAGAAAAAAGAATCGTTTGCCCTCAAATTGCAGCTTTTAGAAGACCTTTCAGGCAAAACATTACATACTGTTTATATCCTTGAACTATCAATGAGATTTGCTCTGTGCAACGGAGTGTCAAGCCGGATATCATATATTCTCAGGATGTCTTCAGGTGTCCGACAAAAAGAGTTGTTCTTCTCTATTGGTAGATTATTTTTTGTTATTGTTTCACCAGAATTTTACGTGTCATAGAGAGAAAAACGGAGCAAAGGAAGCAAGAGAAGCAATGAGCGAATGTAAAATAACATAACGTCAATGTCAGTGTATTACTTTTCTCGGCAATACATTCAGCCAATGAGTAACGGCAGCAGAATAAATGCTTCTTTCTCGTTTCTTTTTCTTCTTACTTCAAACAGCCAATCATTGCCGAGCATTGCTACCAAATTGAGCAAATATTTGCCATCTTTCTCTCTTCTTTCTCTCTCAAGAAACACATACGCATATATTCTCGACGACGAAGTTGTTGACGCAACTACCTTACAATACCGATCACCAGAAGGATATCAATTGACTGAAAAGGTGAGAATTTCTCTTGGACATATTTTGTCTCAATAGAACAAGTGGCAACAGCTGAACGCGAAGAGGAGATCGAGAGAAAAGATGAGACCATCTGTAGCCGTTTTTTCGAGTATATGAGCATCCTTATCATTATTTAGCCTTGTTAAGAATAAGACAACTTTTCGAAAGGAAAAGTCAAAAAGTCTTCTCGTGATTTCATCGCAAAATTTTCCTTTAGAATGCACGAACCACCATCGACACCCTCAAATACAGTTGGATCTACTATTTGTGCAAGTTGTTCACTCCCAATCGAAGAACAATTCTTATTATGTGTGATGGGCACATATTGGCATGAACGTTGTCTTGTCTGTGTTGAATGTCAGGAACCATTGGTAGCCACATGTTATCACAAAGAAGGGAAAATCTATTGTAAAAGAGATTATTTGGAGTAAGTATCATGCAAATGAACGCATCGACTCGATATCAATCGCTTCCGGGATATGCGCTTCTTTTTTTTTCTTCTTTGCTGTTTTTCCTCATCACTGACTGCGCAATCAAAACATGTCCAAGATCACTAGAATAATTTTTTAATTAGAATTTCTTCTTCGAATATTTTTTTTCTCTTCAAACGGATGCAGATGTATCTGTTTGGGGGCAGTGAAAGAGACAGTGGAAAAAAAGAGGACGAGGAATGAATATTAAAAAAAAAGACGAGAAAAACTATGTGTTGATGTCCGACATAGAAACGGAAGTCATTGTGAACGGAAGTCGACGCGTATCCTGAGATATCTGTTTTCAGGGCATCGATGAAGATACATCGAGCGTAAGAGTACTTCTACTTCACTGTTTATGAGAATTGACAGAGCACGTGCACATACACCTTTTGACTGTTTCTCGTTCTCCCTTGCTCCTTCGCTCTTTTGCGTTTTTTCAAGTGCTCGTCATCGTCAATTGTTGTAGGTTGCTTATTTACATGCACAGACAGACCTTTACTACTATATATTCCCTTTCCCTCTTCTTCACTCTTTTTTTCCAGTTCAATAGATGACGGAGAAACTGAGTGAGATACTTATGTGTGCCACAATCGATCGTTCATGCTCTTGCTCGTTTTTTCAAGTGTTCATATGGCAGGCAATGCGACAAAAAGAATGAGAATGAATTGAGCAGACATTGATCATGATCAGTTTTCATTGTCATTATATATACATACAATAGATTGGAAAAAAACTTGGAGATTTTTTCACAAAAGAGAAAGATTGACAGTTGAGAGTCGTGCACAGGTGTTTATCTCTTTTACTAGGTAAATCTATTGTGTGAGTCAAGTGTCGATTGATTTTTACATGTGATTTGTATGTGTGAAAAAGACTTCGAGTTGAATCATTGTTTCTATTTTTGTTTCTATAGAATATTCGGCATGCGATGTTCGAGATGCAAAGCAATTCTTGGACCGGATGAAATAATTATGAAAACATCGGGTCAAGTGTTTCATTTACAATGCTTTAGATGTTCATTCTGTGATGATCGTTTACATAAAGGTGATCCATATATGTTTCACGATGGCTTACTTTTTTGCCGTGCCGACTTTCAACATCATCATTCGCAAATGCAACAACACCACCACCAACAACAACAACAAATGATTTCGTCACATCATCTCCAACCTCCTCTTCAATGTAATCGAAGTAAGTGTTGTTTGAAAAGACGATTTTTCAAAGAAGGAATTGTTCGATATCTGATTGGTTAGGCGATGAGGAAGATAGTTATGAAGATGATTGCTGTTCATCAGATGCAGTGACAATGAGTAATGGAATTCATCAATCTGGACATGGTCATATCAGCAAAGGTCGCGGACCCAAACGGCCAAGAACGATTTTAACATCAATTCAACGACGAAAATTTAAACAAGCGTTTGATGTCAGTTCTAAACCGTGTCGGAAGGTAAGAAAGAGAGAGAGAGAGTGTGTGTGTATGGGAAGTTTTTGTTTATTATATATGAATCTGTTTGAATTTAGGTACGAGAAAGTCTTGCGGGTGAAACTGGATTGTCAGTCCGTGTTGTTCAAGTATGGTTTCAAAATGAACGAGCAAAAGTAAGTTTTCTTCAACGAGAAGTTCTATTGGGTGTTTTTGATTTGTTCAGATGAAAAAACTGCAACGTCGTCAATTACAAAATAACACCAATGAAATGGGTGAGAAGAAGTCGAAGAAAAAAATGTCAAATGATGGTCTATCGAATCATTATATATTCGACGATGAGGAGGAAAATATTGGTAAGATCATTTCTTCTATTTATCAACAAGTGGAAAATGATAAAAATGGTTTTCGTAGAAGATAGTCGATGTTCATCGGAAGAATCGATTTCGCACAGTATTTCCAATGGTTTTGGCTCATCCAATGATGAAAACAACAAACACGAATCAAGTAAGTTATGTTCAACAATGATAACTTGCTATGGAATTGAATTTCTAGCTGATGGTCGACATCTTCATATAATGAATGAGAATTGTTATTCAACGCACGACAACTCTGATGGTGATATGAATAGCGATCCAAGAAATTGCAGTCAAAATCCTATTGACAAACTCTATTCAATGGCCCAAAATGCTTATTATTGTTCAGCGTGTTAATATTTGTTCCTTTTGTCTATTAAATGGTCTCGCTTTGCTTGTCTCTCCCCTTTTCGTCGTCAGCTCAATATATCTTCTTCTTCTTTTTTGTCTTCTTTTCGTGACACTTTTACTTTTAAACAGAATATAAAGAGAGAATGTTGTGGTTATCTTTAGAAAACAAGATTAATATATATATATTTGTGCTCTGTCGAAAATAAAAAGAAGCAAATCACATTTTTATGTGAATAATGAGGGTGATTGTAACCAAACAGAGAAAAAAGCAAATTATTTCACGACCAAGAATCTATAGGTTTCTTTTCTTCATTTCTGATCAACACTATTCGACAGCGGATACTATCAAATTTTTGAAGAGAGAATGAAGCCATCGAAAGTCATAATAAACGAAGGCTACGAGTCGAGAAATATGTTCGTCGAGTCAATACATTATTCATTAGAAAAAACATTGAATGAAGATTTTTCTCTAGTGGATAACAACAACGTATTTCCATTTCTCGCGATCTTTTTTGTTCATGTCAATTTGAACAGTTTAGTCGAGTTGAATGGTTGGTTAATTGTTTAAGAAATTCAATGCCTTGAATGAATTTTATAAAAGAGAAGCTCGATATTAAGAAATATTCGATCATTGAATGTTTATTCGAGTAAGTTTTCATAAACAACAAAAATGAATACAGTCATTTGGAGGAATAAGAATGCTCAACAAAATATTTAATAATATATCTTTGAATTCGAAGTAGTTGTTACCTTTGGATTGAACAAAAGTGGGTACACGTTTGGAAAAAGTCGAATCGTAATTAAAAACAGATCAATTCTTTCAATTGTACAACTTCTCAACGAACAAAAATTATAATATGATGAAAACGAAACATTTATTCTTTTTTACAGCTAATATCATAGAAATTAACAGATGGTATTACCTTTTAGCAACGTAATTTCTATATTTCAAGACTTCAGAGATATTATATCTAAAGCTAAAGGAAAATATCGATGAAAGTTTTCTGAATAAACGAAAGATACATCAACATCAAGTTTTCCCAATTGAACACACTTGACACGGGCTTCGTCATTGATGAAATTATCTTTTATGAATTCAAGTAGCTCGTATTTGACTTGAAGACTGTAGAGATGAGACATAGAAGTGTTTTTATCACAAAGATGTCGTTTGACACAATTTACATGAACTTTTAACAGATCTAGATGAATAAGAACAAGAAAATACAATCGTTGCATAATGTTTTCATTCGCTGGAAAATATTTAGGTCGAAATAAATTCATTGAGATCATTTTTCTTTCTATCGAAAATTTCTCTCTCTTCAATCACCAGTCGATCATACACGTTACAACGTCAGCTTTTCGCTTCAATACTTTTGTCTAGATAATCGTACGTAAAGAGATGATATGCTCATGTCATACATGAAGATCACCTCGATAACAGTGACCAGTACTTATTCATGGTTCAATTAGCAGTGGGACTGTGATCAAGCTCTGAATAACAAAGTGGAAATTTCATCTTTTTCGAAAACCATAGCTGGTGAGCTAATCTACAATTCACTCGCTAATGGTATAGCCATAACGGTAAAATGTTCCCTGATCTTCCAGAAATCTTTCATTAGTTCGTATTCACATAATTGACATTCTTTAAAAAGTCAAAAAATCTCCACTATCTTTTCCACTAACAATTCCCTCAGCATCTTCTTGATGGACTGCATGTTGAGGAACTCGTGAGCCAGATTCATCCCAATGAAACCAATGGGAGTTTGTCGAATGTCAGAAAATGTGAGAATCTCAACATTTCGATAGGATCCTGAGCATTTCCTGTTTTGGGAATGCACAGATTTCCAAAATGTATGCACTTTGATGTCGTTGTAAAACATTAGTTATTTCTCTACCTATGAAGTCCTGTTTCGATGGCTTTGACTTGATTTCGTAAATTTCTTATATCTGGAACCAAAATTATTCTCTTCAAATGAATTATGGAAAATTTTATGCAGTAACTTCGTTCGTTAGGGCTTTATTATACAGATATAACTCCATTGCTCCTACTTCATACAGTTTTGTACTTCTAATAAGTTAATTTTGCAAAACTAAACAGCAATCTTTAAAAAACTTCCCGCTTGTCATTATATATTTCAAGTTTGAGCACAAAATGATCTCCTGTTCTAACGGTTTATGTTCGAAAGTCGTTTTCAACTCTGGTGCACGAACATATCGCACTTTAACCAACAGTGCTACGCAGATATGAATAACTGTTGCGATTGATTTAGTTTATTATGTTCATGAAGCATAGGAATTATTTTCAAATTCGGTCAGATCAGGAAATATAGAAATACAACATCTGTCATGACATAAGGATTATTTCGAAGCTGCGAACAGGTGTCTTCCTGCTATGACCTGGATCAATATCTAGTTCAAAATACGTCTGTTGTTGGTCAAGACCAATTAATTAGACTATTGCGAACATGTTGATGTGACTAAGAAAAGTCTGTTTCTTCAAGAATCTCGATGATGTTTTAGAGTAAAGTACGACCTGCCCTAGGAAATGCTTTACTCTGATAAAGTTGTCGTCTGAAAAGTGAAACTGTGGGTTACGAACAACGATCCCGATGACAAATACTTTTTAATAACTCTATGAGAAAGAAGGTTCTTCACATTCGGAGATAGAAAAAGACGCATTAGATATCCTTTTTCATCTTTACCATACTAAGTGCTGCTAAGTGTGAGAGGAAATATACTTTTCTTATATGGTTTCCTTTCATGTCATTATCACTCGAAATAAAAAAAGACGCGAAGTCACCTCAGTATGAGATCCATTTGGTTTACCGAGGTGTTGACACATAAAAGAAAGAAAAACGATAAGTTTATTAACTGAGAGGGTGTTTGGGAACTTTCTGAAGTGTGCAATATTTAAAATAATCTTTGGTCTTATCATCCAGACAGAGTAAAATTTCTGAGAAGTATTTTGTTCACCTTGGTAGGAACTGACAAATTAAAAAATAGAATCCTTTTACGAAGTAATCAAAGATTTGCATATGGAGCAAACCTCGATTTAGTCGTTGCGGGTTTTTTTTTATAAGAATGATCTCATCTATTTTGAAGTTTATTATTAATACTTATCATATGAGCTTCCGCCTATGTGATAATATTAAAAATTAATACTTGTTTTAGACTATCAAAATCTTCTGATAATTACAGAAGTGTGAAAAGGGGAAAGTTTTTTATTTTTACTTCATTCTGTATTTATATTTAAGCAATCATTGGAAATGACAAAAGCGAAGGGAATTAGTCGCGATTTGAATCATTTCATTTGATTGTGGGAATTTACAAAATAGAAAAAAAGAAGAAGAAGAAGAAAATGACGATTTATCTTTCATCGATATTAGAGTAGAGTAAAGATTCTTCTCTAACATAAACATTGACTTACACTTGCGTTAGCAGAAAAAGACAAGAAACTCTTTGTCAAAGTTGATGTTCTACAACATAACTCCCATGTTATTCAATTGCTGTTGTTGTTGCACTTCAATCTGTTGTCGTTGTCGATGTATAATATCTGCATACGTTGTCGGATAATAAGACTTCATGCGTCGTTCGAATAAACGTAGAACAGATCGTCGAAATGTATATGATATTGAGAAATAAATCGGAAAATTTATTGCCGAGTTCAATGTCACGAAAAAATCGGTTATTTCTCTGATTGCTCGCCTTTGATAAGATTCATCAATGTAACCCATATCTAATATCAATGAAAGAAGTGCATCAGGAAAATAACAAAAAATAAAGCAACCGATAATTATAATCAAACTGATTGTTAAACGATAAAACGCTGTTCCAGCTGACGATTTCATTCGATATAGTAAATAAACGATACGTGTATTTAAATATAACAGAAATAGTGATGGAACGATAGCACGAATAACATCAATAGAAATTGAATAAAGTCGAAAAGCACGGGATCGGCCGAACACTGATAAACTTATAGGTGATGCTGAACTGGACAAATTTTGATTGGCTGTCGAAACCGGAATAATTTCGTAACGAAAGGAAACAGGTAGAGCAAGAGCAAGACTACATAAGATTATTGTATAACATATCGAACGAGAATTTCGTTGCACAAAGAGTCGCCTTCGACTATCAACATTACACAAAACATATCTAGAGTAGAATTATTTATAGAAGTCATCTCGAAAATCTCTTCAGCAACTTACCTTTCAATAGCAACGATCAATGTCAGCCATGCTGTGCATAATGTCGAGACCGTGTTAATATAATGACAGTATCGATAAAGTAGAAGAAAGATTTTCTTTCCAAATTCTTGATTGATTGCTTGAATGATTAAAACAAGTGAATAGAGCAAATCGTTCGAAAGTTTGATCGTATCTGATATTGCTAAGAACAAAAGGAATTGCGTTGTGAGAAACTTTTGCATACTGTTGGTTATGAATACAATAATACACAGGATGTTTCCAATCAGACCAGGTATGCAAACGATTGGAATCAAATAAAAGCCAAAGATGATTTGAACACCTTCGAATAATTCTTTATGATTAATTGAATCAAATGTGTCAGATTGATTGAGATCGATATTCATGCTTGAATATTCTGAAGAAGAAGAAGAAGTACTGTTATCGATAAGAATGGCACCGAACTATGAGTTTTTATTCGCTATTGAGGCGGAAATGCGTGAAGACATAGCAAAAAGAAAATGGAGAAGAAATAAATACTCGTCTGATTAAATAGATTAATAGACACGACAGTTTGCCTTACTTTTATTTTCATAAAAATCTTTTACTACAACCTTTAATCTATTTCGTTCGAAGAAATAATTTCAATCAAGACAGCTCAGGAGTAAATGATCTACCTAACAATTTTCATCATCTTCTATTCTTCTCTAATCCCTCGGTCTCTATTATTAATTTTCGGCTGACAACAAATCTGATATAGAATTACAGATCTAGATGAAGCATGAACGATGTCCTCGAACATAACAAAAGCATCTGTCAAATCAAGTTAGACTATCTACATCATATGTTAACTAACAGATAGATCTACAAATTCAGTCTGAAAAACCAATTCGCCGTGCTATAGAACAACAATTTCTATATTCGGCATGAAATTTCTCGCCGAATATCATTATTGTTGACAATAATCGATGGCATTTATAAACATGTGTTCTTCTTTCTATCTCATTCATATCCATTGGATAGTAAACAGAATATTGTTTACAGTCTTACGTCTTAAGTTTTCCTATGATAATACCGAACGATGTCAAACATATCGTGCGGAGGAAATATGCGACGATAAAGAACTGATGATGTGAAGAAAATGTTCTTTGATTACTTTAGTCTTGTAGGTACCTAAAGAGGAGGAAGCGAAGGAAAAAAACAGTCTAAGTAGTAAAATAATTTGTTTTTTATATTGAATAAAAATCTCCTTGGAAGAAAGAAACAGGTTTCTATATATGAAAAGAGTGTGGTGTTTCCAATAATCCATAGTTTCTACATGTATTAGAACAAAACATCTTTGAAATATTCTAAACAACACAAGATAGAATGGCTTATGTGGAAAATGAATCGAGAAAAAAGACTTTCTTTCTTAGCAATATGAATATGGAAGAATAGAGAGAAAATATGATTTGGAGCTAATTAAGCACACATCTCGTTCGAATCAAGTCAATTGTAGGTTGTCAATTGTTTTGAAGACTAAGTGTGTAGGTGGAAATTTACGTCGAAAGAATCACTACTAATTCCTACTTTTTTACGCACGGAAAAGTAATCCAATCGAAGAACATCTACAAATTAAGTTGTCCACTTAATCAGTGCATAAAATGAGAATCAAAACAAAGGATATTCGTCATAAACTATTAGAACATGTCAAGGAGGACATGTGTTCTATGAAATTAACGAAATTCTAAGCTCTGGCGCATGATAATCTACTCGCGTTATCTAACTAACGGCTTAATTAGACTATTCTTTAACATATCAAGAAAAACATACCTTAACGATAGTAATTATTTATTAAGCTTTCAGACGAAGGGTGAGACATGCAAATTATTGTAGTCCCTTCTTACACCAAATGACTATCTACTAACAAGCACCTCGAACATGAGAGTATTTGATTTACTTCCTACCATTTGCACTGTAAGACCTACAGAAAACCTATTAGTAACGAATATTCAACAAGGGAACATGATAATAGTTAGTAATCGATCATTAACCAGTTGCCTCTCATATTCCAGTTGTGTCAAAAAAAAACAGAAAAAAACTGCATTTGTAATAAGTTGATATATGACAATGGCTTCTTTTAATGTCCCATGAAGGGTTTAGGGAAAAAACCGATGTTAGAAAACAGATGAAACATTTCCAAGTCACACTGTATCGAGTAGGATTTGATTAATTGACGAAGCATTTGTTTCACTCAATATCTTCTCTTTCAGTGATTCAACGAAACAAAATTTGATATTTTTCTGTTGATTATTTTCAACTTTACTTCGTAATCCTCTTTCATATATTAACAAAATCCTTTCATACAAGCAATAAACTGCATGAAATCCATGGGTTAATTATGAAACTATGATCTTCATAGAGCCGATAAGTCGAAGATATGTTGAGCATTATAATTGAGCATAGTTAATATCCAAACTGATTGTCTATATGATTATGTCATTTTCATTCAGGTGAAAAAAGTCCGTCGTCACGAAATATTTACCTATTGCTTAGTTTTTCTTTTCGTCTTATTTCCTTCGCTGTTGTGACTTCTCAAAGCAGAGAAAACGGCATATTTTTCTCGTTTCATATTCATACGTAGACGAATGGACAGATTTTCGACTCTTTACTTTTTCGTTCTGATGTATATTACCAAGAAAAAATCATGTTTTTTTTTTCGTCGTTCCTCAGTAATCACCGTTAATAACTCTTCTCATTGGATTCAATCACAGAACATATCAACGCAATAGAATAACGAAACCGTTTCGTCAATTCGTCATCGCTAATAAACCTTATCAGAAGATAGAATGATGTTTAATCGATTTCTTGCACCCTGTTGTAAAGATTATGCATGTGATTGTTGTCTAACGCCCGAAGAAGTTATGAATAAGGATATAAATGATTATTTGAAGCGGATTCGTCGACAAAATTTGCATGAAAGAAAGCTACTTCTGTTAGGTAAGTAGTTATGCGTTTATTGCCAGTTTTATGATGTGATTTTGTTTTTCATTTGAAGGAAATGCTGAAGCTGGAAAGTGAGTTTGGGCATTTGACGGATTGCACTCGATTGTTTGTTTATAGATCAACATTTCTCAAACAAATGAAGTTAATTCATGGTCAAGGCTTTCGAATTGATGAAAAACGTCGGTTAGTTCCATTCATTTATCAACAAATTCTCAGTGTTGCTCGATGTATTTGCCGACAAATGAGTATTCTTTGTATCCGGTTTCAGGATCATCGAAATGAAGTATGCAGAAAATGACGCTCGATAATGAGTGTCTAATTTGCTCTTTGTAGGAATATGCGCGAATGTTGAGTTCAACGAACAATGATGATAATGGTGATGGAAGTAGTCTTTCATTATCCCCGCGTATCGTCGAAGCAATAAAACATGTTTGGTCCGATGAAGGTGTGAAAACGTGTTATCGACGACGAAGCGAGTATCGATTAACAGATTCGGCTAAGTAGTAAGTCAATAATAAAGGGGATTTTATGATTGGAGATCTGTGTTTAAAAGTTTTCTCGATGATATCGAACGAATTTCTGCACAAAATTTTACACCGACGGATGATGATATTTTACGTGTTCGTATTCCGACAACGGGTATTGTTCAAGAAGATTTTCAATTTTCTCATGTTCAGCTTCGGTAGGAATGAAATCTTTTTTTCTGAATATTATTAAAGATTTCTCATCGATAGAATTGTTGATGTTGGCGGGCAAAAAACCGAGCGTCGAAAATGGATCCATTGTTTTGATGTAAATAATTTCTCAATTGAAATAAATGTCTGCTTTATTGCTTATTTAGAATGTAACATCTATCATTTTCCTTGCATCGTTGATTGAATATGATCAATATGTGGACGATTCAACCGGCATGGTGTGTTCACATTGTGCATTTCTGCAATTGTTAATTGCTTTCGTCGTTTCAGATTCTGATGGAAGAGAGCTTAGCATTATTTCATGTTATACTTTCATCGGATTATTTCTGCAATGCGTCAATCATTCTGTTCCTTAATAAAACTGATCTTTTTCCTGAGCGTTTACTCGGGAAACCCCTTCGACAAACCTATCCTGACTTTGACGGTAAATCTAATCGAAAACTGATCCGTTTATCCCTACTAGGCCTTTTCAGGAGCTGATGATGACGTCGAGGCAGCGAAACAATATATCAAAAACAAATACTTACGTTTAGTCCCACCACGAGAGGGATGTGCCGAAAAGAATATTTATCCTCATTTCACCTGCTCTGTCGGTAAGTACCTATCAATGAAAACTTTACTTACGAATCAAGATTTCCCTTTCGATTTTAGATAGCAAAAATATTCGCATTGTTTTCGAATCAGTAAAAGATACCGTCTTGGCGCATAATCTTTACTATTGGACACCATATTGAGTTCTATTTATATCTATATTGCTATATTAAAAAAAATAAACGTCAGATCAAAAAGAAAAACGAAAAATCAAAAATATTCTCAGAGAGTGCTTCTGGTTCTGTGTTGCTGTCGTATTATCATTCATTTGAATAACTCGGAGAAGCGAAGAAAAGAAAAACATACAAACTATGCAGTGAGAGAAAAACAAATTCGAGAGATCAATGTTCGTCAGTTATATCATCGTTCCAGTTCACCAATGTATGTTGAGCACTCAAACCACCTTGTTCACCAAGTAGCCAATACGTTCGTTGTTTTCCTTTACCCTAGAAAATCAAATGAAAAGCTTAACAGAAAAAGAATGCTCGTATAACATACCTTCATTTCGATGTCACCACGAAGTTTTAATTCAAATGTACCGATTTTTTGCAAAATACATGCTGTACTCGATGATACATGAATGCGTAATGCTTTACCGTTCGACTCCATTCGTGATGCGGTGTTCACCTGGAATTAGAGAAGAATTATCAATGAATAGAACAGCTGTTGTTCTTCCAACTTACCGTATCGCCAAATAAACAAAATCGCGGCATTTTAAGCCCAACGACACCTGCAACACATGGTCCGGAATGAATACCAATACGTAATAACAATTGCGTTTCAGGTCGATGTCGAATACGAAACTTAAGAACTGCATTGAGGAGCGCTAATGAGAGACGAGCGATTTCTCGTGCATGTAAATCTCCATTTCGTGTTGGCAAACCCGAAACAACCATCTACTCATTAATCAGACATAGAAAATTGCGTGAAAAGACATGCGAACATCTTACATAAGCATCACCGATGGTTTCTACTTTGTAAACGTCGTAATTCTCAGTAACACCATCGAAGACCGAGTAGAGATCGTTAAGCAGATCAACCACTTGCAATGGCGTACTTTCAGATGATAATGAAGTAAAACCAACAATATCAGAAAAATAAATAGTAACACATTCAAAAGACTCAGCTGTCACCGGTTGACCGACCATCAATTGAGCAGCGACCGTTCTATTTGAAAAAAATTGCAAATATAATTGAGTATTACATCGATAATCAAGAGAAAGAAAGGTGAAGATCATCTCGAACTGTCATTGACTGATCAGAGAAAAAAATGCAATACTTACCGAGGTAATAATTGATAGAGTAATTCTTCTGCTTTCTTTTTCTCAGCTAAATAATCACTTGTGCGTTCTTCTACTAATCCCTTTGAACGAAAAAGATCTTGAATAAAATACTGATTGAAATGTGTTGAATGCTAACTTCAAGATTATTTGCATATTGTTCCATACGTTTAAGTAAATTGTCGAGAATATTTCCACTGTCCAAATCTCTGAAGAAAGATGACTAATAGAATTAGTAAAAATCCAATACTCGTGCTTTACTTATTAATTCGACGCATCACTTGTCGTATATCGGAAAATTCCGGTCTTTCATTTGGATCTTCATGCCAACAACGTTTCATCAACTGTCCAATTTCCGTATTACAATCACCAGCTTCAAGTGTGGGTCGAAGTAGACTACCCGATTTGACACTCTCAACAATGGCTATCCGAAATCAACAAAACAAGATGAATATTTCCTAACTATTTCGAATTCTCTACCGGCTGGTTCTAATTCTCGATCTCGTAAATACCACGGTCCATTTCGTAATTCGATTTCTTGTAAAATTATACCAAAACTATATACATCACCCTTCACTGTTCCTGCTGATGGTGGATTTTGATCTCTCAATAGTTCCGGTGCTGTCCATAATCGACCTAAAGACACTTTATTTGTCACAATGAAACTTCTCTCGATGCATTACTTCGATAATACGCGTAATCTTCAACAGCACCTGGCGGTGAACCTTTATTCGTATCTGGACGTAATGATGGTAATCCGAAATCCGTTATTTTACAAATGAATCGACTATCAACAACGCAATTCGAACTTTTCAGATTTCCATGTGAACCTATTTGACTATTGTGGATGTGTTGCATGCCCTAATCGGAAAACATCCGTATATCACCCATAGTGAAACACATCACCATACTTTAACAATATCATGCATTATCGAATACTTGAACATTGTGTCAAGCTTGATTTCTTCATTCTCGAGAATGTCCTACAAGGAAGTTTTCGAAGATGTCAAAAGATAGAGTATTGATCAAACCTGTAGACTTCCTTTCGGACAATATTCTGTAACGATGTATTGATGTTTGGGATCGATACAAATACCGATAAATCGAGCGATATGATCATGTTGAAGATCTTGCATCTAGAACAGTATTCATTGGAACGATTTACGAATATTTTCTATGAATTCACTCAACTGCTTTCACTTCTAATTGTAACGCACGTGTTGTTTCCAATTTAGGCTTGTGAAAACGTTTTAATGAGACTACAGATGACTGAAATATTCCGAAAATTAGTATCCGGATGTCAAATACAAACGATTCTTACTTTATATATCGCTGTTTTTGTAAATGTTTGTTTCGATGGGCCACCTAGATCACTATCCGCCGAATGGTGACTTGCAATCGAATTACGCTAAAAAAGAAGCACAAGAAAACATGTTTCAATCCTCATACAATTCATTCGAAGACGAAAAAACCACGCATGCAGAAAAAAATCCATGTATGTGTATATGGGAGTATATGTGTATCGATATGATTTCGTAGAAAATATGCAGAATAGTCTTCTGGAGTTATTTCAAAGAACAGAAAACAGAGAAAAACATAAGCACAAAAAGAAAATTCGTGCAAATTCAGCGATTTATAAGAAATTTTCCAACGAGTGATGTTTAGAATAAATGCTCACATACTCACTGACTTCTGAATGGATAAATCCTGAGGATTCGAAAGAAATTAGCATGTCGAAATGATCTCGAAGATGTCCTACCTTTTGGGAAGCAGATAATTTGTTGAAAGATGGTGTAGCGACACCATTATGCAACAATGTTCGTGTGATTAATTCTTCCCATTTGATTAACCATTGCATTGCTTTTAATTCTGCTTCGAATTTTGCTCGTCTAGGTGAAATACATATTCTATTGAATGTGAAGTAAACTCCAATTGAATTGTTTACCGATACAAAATCAAACCGACGATGAGAAGAAGAACAATGATCACTGAAAGACTTATGATAATCCAGCCCCATATTGGGATAAGCGCTGAAATGAAGAACGAAATCAGATGACGAACGGAGATAATGTTCTTCGTACTCTTTTTAGGACATTTTATATTGTTGAATCCACAGCGCGGTGTATCAGGAATGAATGTTGAATTGTTGCCAATAAAATAAATCAAACGCGATTCATTTAACCATTGCAGTTGTTTGTTTTCAATCGAGAATGGTTCAGCTGGATATGCGACAACAGCCTAAAACAAATATTCATATCACGTATATATTTACAATTCCATTGAATAATCTCGACAGATAAACATTTTAATTAACTTTTATCTTATTAAAATCGAAGGCAACCATGCGAATGATCGCGAAAAGGATCTCTTGTAAACAAAAGTGTTATCGAATTAACTAATTTTTTTCTTCTCGTCCGTTAACTGTGATAATTTTGATATTACCTCTAGCTCTCCGCTTTCGGGATCCATGTCATAAATCGCGTAACCCGTATCGATTCGATCGCAGATCTGATTCATCGTAATGTTCTTGTTAGCGCCTTCGATTGATCGATTACAAATCATTGTTTTGAATATTTGAGCGTTCAATGGCGAATACGTTCGTAGTGCATCTGAATCGCTCAATTCGAATAGATTCTGTTTCGAATAATGCATTTTCAAAGCTTTGAAATACGTTACAACTGCGTCGTAAAAGTTTGTTTCATCAGTTCCGATCTAAATCAAACGAAACAATTATCCAAACTCATCAAAATATCACTTTTGTTTTCAAAAACCATTCGGTGAAGACTATCAATGAGAGATTCCATTGATCATGCAGAAAGCAGAACTCATGCCTTCAGAAAAAAACGAGAAGAAGAAAACCAGTCACCTACTCACTTTAATAGATGAACTCTAGACACAAATCATCGATGAATATTTCACCTATTCAAATAAGATTTCATCGCAAAAACTACGTACGGATTCGTGTGTTAATTGATTTGTTCGATTTGTTATTCGAGCAAAATGAACGACATTGGCAGCGAAACGGCGAAAGCGTTCGTCAGTGTACAAACGTTGCCGAACAAACAAAACAGTTTCGAACGCTCGCCGCGCATTTCGATTGATTTCAGCGTCTTTTTCTAGTGGATCATACCACGGTTGACGAACTGCTAAACTTTTCTCATCAGTACTAATCAAACAAATAAACGAATCAAAAAATAACATTCTCATCATTTACTTGTCTTGTGTCAACACAGTATCAAGATAAATAAACGCGTATTCTCCGTTGACAAAACCAAGTTTTTGAGCGGATAAAACAGCTGAACGAAATGTTTTCGGTTTGACACACCATAACGAAACTGAACGAACGAAAAAGTTAAGAAAATGTGAAAAGGGTCGCTTACTTGAAGCATTGTTACTAATAAAATCCAGAAAAATTGACTTGTAATTGTCTTTTTTATCACGATCCGTTATTTTTCGGTTATCGGAACGAACTTGATTGGAGGAAAATGTATGAGCGATAGGTCGTAAAAGAACTTGGCATTCATGCCATGGTTTTGGATCATCTTCGTAGACAAATTTAACGAATGACCATTTATAGTACTGGAACAGTTTAATCAATAATGCGCCTAAATGTACCGAAAGGGTTTTAACTTGAAATTATGTTTGACATAAGGAAAGTCATGCTATTCCATGGGAGTTTTTAAGTAAAAACTTCCGATTTTGATAATGGAGAATTCACTTGCGTGACTCAAATATTCTGTTGGAGTAATTGGAAATTGACGAGCTCATCATTTTCTTATTCGAATCAAATCGGACGTGTTTAATTTCTAGTCGAACTGATTTATTGTTATAGTTATTCTATCCGTTTGTCGGGACATTCGATTCCGGAAGATTTTCATAGGTCTTTTCTATACTCTCAAGTCGAAAGTCAATTATTCATTGTTTTTTTTTCGATTGACAATCCTGTTCAGATGTCAAAGTTGCTCTTGAGGGCAAAAGAGACTGTCGATTAATTTGAATAATAAATTTTCATCTGATTATTTATCGTCAAAATGGAATATTTATTGATTTACTCGATGATGACATTATCCTTGAGAAATCGCGTGCTTTTTCTTCACAACTGATACTTAGTTGGTTAATCACTGGCTGAGAATATCAAACAGGTGACAAATGAATACAAAAACTACACTCGCTTTCGACCTTATCGTAAGCTTTCGACTAACCGAGCTCATCCGTTCGATATCCAAATCGAAACAAAGTGGAATACATAGTTTCGCGTTGCAAAGTAAAATCATTCGAAACTGCTCCCATTGTCACCAATGGAATACGTTCATAATGGAGTAAACGAGCTACAGGTGCGACGGCTAAATCTAAAAAACAGATACAGATTTCAATTACACAAGACAATGATCGATACTAACCGCAAAAAGGTCCGAAAACGACATCAGGCATTGTTGAAAGCATTGTTGTAACGAGTTTATGTGGCGCTAACGATATGGAACAATTTGAATCTTTAATTTTCAAATGAACATTAAGCCAATTGGAAATATTATATCGATCCACAATATATTCGTAAACGATCAATAAAGACTTCAAATTCGGTATAAAACGATCGATATCGGGAAACATCATCAGAATTGTTATATTTGGTTTTCGTATTGTCGATAATGGATACTGGTCGACAATCTTCTGACCAAAATCTGATGAGATGAATGTTGGGAAAAAGATTACTATGAACATTGGAATAATAAACAGAATAATCAATGATCTCGTCATTGAGCACCATGTGCAACGATCACTTGAACCTGAAACAAAAAATAATATACGACGAAGAATTTCACTTTCTGTCAACGCGTGCGCGTCTTTTGTTGATTTAAGTTGTCTTTCATTTCATATTAGCATAAGAGTAACTGAACATCGATAGTGACTGTTTATAGGATGTCATTGATGTGTCCTTTTTTTTTTAATTTGTATCAAAATTTCAGTTACCTTTTTCTTTTCTCTTTCGCGCGCGCGTTCGATGTCCTGATTTGATGATGAAGAGAAACCTTAAATATGTGTTCGAATATATGGGAGTACTCACAGCAGTTGATGAAGAAAAACGAGAAAAGAAAAATGAGGTTAACCGAAAAATTTGTCTCATTGAACGAGAAGTTTGCTCATAACTGACATATGCACACCGTATAAAGTGAAACACTCTTCAAATATGATATACTTACTCTTTAGAAAAACTAACGGAAACTAATTTCACGTCCGTTACCAATGGAACTTAAATTAAAGTAATGTAGGCACATCAAATGGTTTTTTCTTCATCTAAATCAAACGAACTAAACAAGTTTTCTAGAAGGAAAAAAGCTCATGCAGAAAACGCAAGTTTGTTATGATTTTCTCTGTGAACAACTAAGGTAGAAGTTAAACATAAGTACACCCTCGAGCTCAACTAACTCCATCATACATAAATTGATAAAGACAACTAACATATTAATGAATATTTATACTGATGTCTAGAAAAGAAAGTCTATATATATTTGATGATGCATTAATATTCTAACGAAAAAAAAAGCCAATACATAAAGAAACACAAACAAGTAGTGAAGAAGCCAATCTTTACTCGTGTTTAGTTTACGCTCGGATGCGAGGGTGAAAACGATCTTTGAGATCGGATAAGTTGTATGAAATGCTGACCGCCTAGAGTGAACTTGCTCTTTTCTATTTTGGTGATTGCATAAGATGTTCAGATTGGAAAATAGAGAGAATCCTACTGATTGATTCACTAATCAAACATAGTGTCGATGGAAAACACATTGAATTTTGTTGAGCATCTATGCCGAGGAGATTATCAATTAAGAAGAGCGTTAATAAATAGAAGAGAAGAATAATCAGATTGTCATTGTCGAGAATATTGATGAGAAAACAATGTTGGAGTAGAATGAGTTTAATGGAAAAGTTTAGAAAAGACGAATATCATTAAATCTAGGATTACATACTACGTTGATCGATTTTCTCATTAGAATACTCAGACAAACTCGGAGAAAATTTCTACTTGACAAAAAAAAAGAATAGTAGTTCTCTTCTCATTTTCTCTCGATTTCTAGTGTTGTCTCTTCTCCTTCTTTTTTCCTTCCTCTTCTCCTCTCTTTCTTCTATCTTCGCATCCGCATTAACTATTATAATGTGAGAAGGAAAAGAAATATCTTTGCCCACACTATTCCAAACACAATCAAAATAATCGGTTTAGACTAATCAGAAGAAAATACTGCGTTGTTGATGTTCAAAGATGACACAGAAAAGAATAGCTGAGACACATGTCTAGAACAATTCCTTTACTCAACTCTTCGTTGAAGTACATCAATGTTGACTCCAATCAAGATACAAGGTTTCTCTGCTTGTTGACATATGACGACGAAAACTAAATGACAGAAAAGATTTGCGTTTTGTTCTTGTTAACAATCTCAAGCAGAAAAGTAACAAAGAACATACTAATTTCATCATTTACTTTGCCCTTCAAATTCCGGTTATGACTTCTATTCTCATCCTCACGAGTTCGTATGATTGTACGGTTTTTATTACTGTTAATCCAAAGGTTATTGTGTCATTTTCATTTTGGCACGTTTCACCTGCATGTACAAGAGCTGATACATTTCGCTCGTCCTTTTTCATATAGATAATCGTATCTCTTGACAGTATGCATATGTGTGTGTGTGAGAGTAACAATGAAACATTGGATAAATGTTTGCCAGAAAAATCAGAGAAAAATGTGATTGTACTTAAGACGAAGAGAAGAGAAAACGATAAGAGAAAAAACATGTAGGAAATATGCGCATCATCACTATCATTACGCGCATATTGTATTGAAGATATTTGAGCAGCAACATGAGAGTGTGCAAAATCACCGTGTGAAATGAGATTGTCCAAGTACAATGATTGTCATCGAACGCCCCAAAGCTATGGACCAACTAGGCAATTAACTCTCATTGCACGCACGCGTTACACATAACATCCGTCAATTTTCCATACGTACGAAGAGAATTTGCTTGTTTTAATACAAACAATCAATATGTTCGTCGATTGTAAAATGCAGTCAAGAACAGACAGAATGATAATAACCAATTACAAGCCTAGATTTTACCATTTCTCAAGACGTTATTAAGTGGAGAGGAATGAACAATAGTTGATGTTTATTTAAATGACACTAATAAGTGTAATAATGAAAAATCGTTTTGTTTTTATTTGAAACATTTTCATCTTCTCGCTCAGATGAAGTTGATTTATATGAAAAGTTTCGTATTACATCTACTTCAACTGTGTCAACATTCTTTGACAACTTATTATCAACATCTGCCTTTTTTCGATGAAATACGAGACTCGAACGCCTACATTGGTTTGACATTGACTAACAAAAGAATATTCAAACTTCCTTCTTCGACATACGGCTTTTTTTGTCTGTGAACACGTTTCAAATCTCTTATTTTATTCACATCGATCGAACGCTCGTGACAAATCAATGGAAGAATTTTCTGAAAAGAACTACGCGTATTCAATTGCGCAAATTCTGCTCCAACACAAAGAACCGTTTCGGAAAACACTGTTTAATACGGATGAGATTTAATTTAACTCATTAGTTATTCGAAACACAAAAGATGTTCTTTCGCATGAAATACTTGTTTTTTTTTATCAGCATAAGCATCAACACTTGATCGTAATTAAAAATTTCCTCTCATACGAAGAAATTAATCAAGACGAAATACAATTAATTACTGTCTTACATCCGAGAGGAATAAAATTTGATGGTTACCATGAACTTCTCGTATATAAACAATCGGATAGTTATATCCCTCAACACTTGCACTGCCGGCTTCAATGATCGTTCGATAGATTAGATTACGTTAATCAACATCTTATCGCTGGAAACTAGCAAGGTTGGTCTAAATAGATGTGACGAGTTTTATTTTATTGGAAGAATATTCATTTGTATGGGAGCTTGGATACGCGCAATGTTTGTCGATTTCAATTCAAATTCAATCTGTTTTTATATATTGAAAACCAGTCTAGCAATGATATAACAAGAAACAACGAGGGAAAGAAGCGATAAATTTCGAACTTTGCACTGTGTTGTTTAACATAATACGAAAACTGATTTGAACTACTTCTTTTTCTTTCCACTTCCCCGGCCTAGCGGAAGCGCAGCGGCAGGTAAAGATGGAAATTGAATGTTAAATTCTAGATGAGAAGAATTATGTTCATCGGAGTTACTGTCAAACATAATTTGTTGGCAAAGTCGACATACATAAATATTGTTTTCATCGGATTTCTTGTTTGTCCAACCGCTGGAATTCGATTTAGCTGTTGCTGATGGATGGATATCAGTTTTCCAGACTTTGTACAGTTCGTTCTGTTGATCGATGTTTGGAATGATAACAATTAGTTCAAGAAGATATTCATCGAGTTTATCCTTGAATAATTGCCTTGTGTAGGTAAGAAAATCGGCCGTGGAGATTTTCTCTTGAGAAAATGCGTCACAGAATTTATCGTATTCACTGAGAAGATTCATATCTCCATCAAATAAATCAAATAATTTCATGTGGAAATCATTTTTTTGTTTTGCGTAAGAAGTTGGAAAGTGATAAGTTGGTGCTTGAGGTGTTGGAATCGAGTTAAAACCGGGCGGAGGTGGAACAGATGGTAGAACGGAAAAACCGGGCGGCGGTGGAGGTGGTGGTTGAACAGACTATGCAAAAGTGAAATGAAATTAAAGGACAAATCTATTGAAGTATTGATAATACTTACAGATGGAGGAGATGGTTGGGATTGAGATGTGGATTCAATTTGAGAGGATGCCTACGAAATATGATTAGAAGAAATCTAGACAAGAGAAATAGTTGGAATATACTTGATTATTGATAGGTTCTGTTGAATTTTTATTTGAAGGCAAAGAAATCTAGAAGAATATAGGTTTAATTTCGAAGATTAACCATTTCAACTGTTCGTACTTCTTCTTTGATTGGTTCGTTTGTTTTCGGTGACTTTTGTGTCTAAAAACGAGTATTTGTGTCTTTTGTGATGGATTTGAAAACAATTTACTTTTTTCTTGGGCTGATTTGTGGACGAAGTGTCTTTTTTCGCTGAAGGTGATGGTTGTACTGGTGATGGACGTTTTTCTTCTTTGACTTGTGTTGTTGGAACAATTTCTTCAGTTATTAATCGTCGACCTAATTCACTGAGACCAATGGCAGGGAACTCATCCGTCGAAGATAATGCTGGTGCTTCTGATTGTAATTCTTCCATAAATTTCTTCTTACTCGTCGCTGAATTCTTCTTTTTCTGTTTTGTCGACGATGCTTGAGATGATGAACTTGTTCCGGCAGCTGTCCAAACACCAGAGTTAGCTATTAAAAAGATGATATAATTTGTACTGAATAAAACTTCACAAAATGAAACTGATAGTACCAATATTTTGTGTTGTATTCGTCGAAGATAGTGCTGGAAAATCTTGAGCGTTTGGTACCGATTGATTTTTTGCTTTATTCTGTTTATCACTCGATTGAGCATTCGGAAGATGAGACGATGATATCATAGTGATATTCGATGACGCAGTAGGTGCTGTACTAGTTGTTAGAGAAGCCATGGGTCGTCTGATGTATTCTTCATCCTCATCGTCATTAAGTAAACGATTGGTATTCATACGCATTTGTGGTTGATTGGCTTTCGCTGAGAAGATAAACAATGATTACGTAAGAATTCAAAGGAAAACAGTAGTTTCGGATTTACCATTGGCAGTTTTTGTCGATTTTTTCGCCTTTGTCCACGCAGAAATCATTGAGACAGGTGGAGGAATTCTAGTATTAACAGCTCCTTGTAACGCTGGAAAGTCTTCTTTTGTTGTTAGAGATGTTTCTCCATTAGCTATTTGTTTATTTGATTGTGGTACTTTCTTTGATGCTGTATTCTGAGCTGTGGACGATGATGATGATGATGATGATGTCGTTGTTGATATAGTTGGTTGTTGCTCTCGCCAAATACCTCGAGGTTGACTTGTGTTTGATAAATTTCCAGCTGCATTTGGTAACGTCGGGAAATCTGTATATGAGTTTATACCTCGTGGTTGATCATTCACCCAGGCACCTCGTTGAGACAGATTTTGTGGAGTCGATGAGCGATCGCCCAACGTCGGAAATTCATTAATCGAAGGTACTGCCGCAGCAACAGCTGGCTCTGTCTGGGTGTCCTCCCTACATCATAAATTTATACACAAAAAATACGTATGTTTGAAGACTAACCGTTCATTTCTTGTTGAATTACTATTTCCTTGTGTATCGAAGTGTCCACTTTTGAATACTCCTGAAAGATTCGAGATAAAAGTGTAAGATCGAAAAGTTGTGAATACCTCGATGTGCTGGATCGCGCTGTTGTCTTCGATCCCGCACACTGCTCGATTGAAATTCTACTGCTAGAGTGCCTAGTTGTCTTGCATGAGCTCGGTTTTTGCTATGCTGTGCAGCTTGATGTGCACGAAAGTCTGTTTCTGATGAGAAAGCATTCGTAAATTGCACATCTTTACATTGATCAATTTCACATAAATAATGACTTGTACGGAAATGATCACGGAGTAAATCGAAATCACTAAAACAATACAAATCAAGCGTTCACTACTAATTTCCTGTGAAGTCCATCCAACTGACCTGTAATAGACATTATCCGAAGTACACAGATGACAATAGAAATGTTCTTTCCTCATATGTTTATAAAGTTGATCAGTATCGAGAAAATGATCATCGCAAAATTTACATAATGGATGACCTTTGAATGATGTGTCATCTCGATCACCGTATCGAAGGTGTTGGGCGAGATCACGGCGTGTATAGCATTTTCTCTCGAATGGAAAAAGATTTAAATGTTCCACACATAGATCACAATAGATATAATTATGCGTGCGTTTGACATGATCGCGCAGAACGTCAAACGCTTCGAATTCCGTGTGACAAAATGGACAAAAATTCCGTAGTAGTTTTTCAGCATCCCGTCGTATCCATTCTGCTTTAATCGGATAATAAATTCCACAATCACCTATATCATCGATTGGTGTAAAACGAGACTGATCAACTGTTGTTTGTAATTCAGCAAGATTTGAAGCGAAATAAACCTATTGAACATTTGAAAAGAGGATTATTATGAGAGAAAAAAAAGAAGTTTCTCGCTTTACTCGAGTAAGTTCTTGACGACAGATAGCACAATAGGTTTGTTCACAGAGAATTCGCATTTTTGTTGAGCATAAGTGACATACCGGATGTGCACAATCCCCAGCAGCCCAAATTTTCACTTTGTCATGTCGACATAAGGGACAGATTGGTGCTTCGTTGCTTTCCATAATGACTCAGTTCAGATGACAAATAGTATAGACAGTAATGTTGACAAGATTGAGGATATTTAAACTACTGTTATTATGTAAGAACGATGCAATTTCTAAATTTTACAACGATCACTGTTTTAAAAGTAAATCCTTTTCAAAACTATAATGATATCGAAAGAAACGAAGTAAAAAAAAACGTGGGTGGAAGTATTGGGCAATATCAACTATAGCGAAAGCGAAACGTAACAAGTTAAACGTTAGAAATCTGACTGGTTAGTGCTCAGAACGAATCAGAAACGACAGCGAAGAATGAATGAAACAGAGCATTTGTTTAAAGACGAACTTTTCCCTTGAAAAATATGTCGTAGTATTGCATAATCAGATGTAATATTAGAGCTAGAAAGAAAATAGATGTCTCTATCTTTTTGTCTGTTGATAAAATGACCTGCTTCCATACTATTATCTTTGATGAGTATGTCAAATGCTCGTATCTTTAAACGAGAAAGTATATGACAGATGGATGCAGTTATTTATAACATTGTTGAACGCCACAGGAAAAGATCAATTTATTTTTGTGATTTTCGTTTACATTAGGAACCGACAAGAAAAAGCAGTTAGTTTCCTTTTTAAATACGTCCGTAAAATGAATGAGAAAAGAAAAAGAATACCGTGTCAAATAATAATAATTATAATAAACTGATTGTTGAAAGTATAAGTTTGTATGTACTCAGAGAAATGAACAAATAAATATGTACATGGGATACAATTGCTGAGTCAATGCGCCAAGTAAGAAGTTTGATTGACTATGTACAAGGAGTTGAAAGAGAAAAGTTTAAGCAATTGTGCAGCATGATGGTGCACATGCTGGACATAATGTACAACAGCAAAATGGACAAGATCTTGTCCGGCGATTTGCTTGAGTCGGTGTTCGAGGTGCGAAATAAGCGTGAATGTTTAAATCGGGAAAATGCGTCTGAAAACAAAGAAAAGTAGAGGAAACGATTGAAGAGAGACAAGGTGATGTTTTACTTGAATTTTTTTGACAGCGTTCTTGGATATTTGTTGACAATCGAATATATCGAGACGGCGAAGGTTTTGGCAGGCGAGTAAACGGTCAATAGAAACATCGGTGATTGTGGGACAGTTGTCCAATTCGAGTACGCGAAGATTTTCTTGGGCAGAAACACTAGAACTTAGGTAGCGAATACCTTCGTCAGTTATTTGTTCGCATCGTGAAAGAGTCTAAGTGAGAAAAAACAAGACGAAATAGGTCTTTATTCAAATGGTCGAAGATTTCTTTACTAGTATTTGAAGTTGAGGACAGTTATCAGCTAAATGTTTTAGAGTCTCGTCAGTAATCTAAACAAGATGAAATTATTTCTCGAGAAGAACTTGAACTATTCGACTCACAGCGGTGCAATCTTCGAGATCAAGTCGTTGTAAGAGGTGGCAACCCTGAAACATTCAAAGAAGCCGTTGGTCTTTCTCAATTATTGATAAAAATTGAAATGAATACTTGTGCCATTGCTAAAAATCCGACATCGGTGAATTGTGAACATAAAGTTGAATCCAATTTTCTGGAAATGTTCGATTAAAAAGAAACTTGTCCATACAAAAAACATCATTCTTACTTTAATTGATGAGAATATGTTCCTAAAGCTTTCAATGTTTCGTCTGTTAAATTTCTGCAATTAGCAATGATTAATGTTTCAAGTGAAATACAACGTTCAGCAAGAATTGTAAGGCCATCATCAGTTAAGGACTACAAGAAAGATTAATCTCTATCAAATTGAATTTAATCAATGATCAACATACAGAACAACGGTTTAGATCAAGTACTGATAAATTCGGACAATTCATTGCTAATTCTTTGGCTGCTTTATTTGTCATCTAAAGATAAATAAGTTCTTATAGTATTCCAACGGATATATTTGAAAAACTTTTACATGTGTGCACCCTTCTGCTTTGAAGACTTGTAACTTTGGACATGATTCAGCAAGATTTCGAATGCCATTTTCAGTTATACTCATACACCATGATATATCACACCATTCCAAATCCGAACAACTTGAACTACATGACGCGAAAGAGACATTCTCGTCTTTTTATATAAGAGATCAACGAAAACTACCTGATCATTTTAATCCCTTGATCATCGATATGATGGCAGGAAGCAATATTGATGTACTTTAAATATGGACAATGTTTACTCAGATGATACAGAGTACTAAAACATTCAAACTGAAAGTTTTCATTGGCTTCTGATCAAACGTACCTATTGGATAATTTCGTACAATGTTTAACAATTAATTGTTCAAGATTAGGACAATTGTTGGCCAAAGTACTAAACATCATCTGTTTATTAATTGGTTCCGAAGAGAAAGAAAAGCTTTTACCGCATATTATGGTCAGTAATATATTTGCAGTTTTCAATATTTAATCGCTTAAGGAATGACCCACATTGTCTGCTCAAGTTTTCCAAAACCATACCCTAAAACACGATCAATTCAGAATCCGATCGGATAAAAACAACAAACGAGCATACATCGACATCGCGTTGGTAACTTTTTAAATTAATACTTTGCCAATTTGATCCATCCAATGCCAGAGCATTCCAATACTAAATAAATAGTCGTAGCATTTCTTAGGTGGAAAAGTCAAATAGGTCATTCGAGAGTTACTTTTGACACTTGTGCACATCGACATAATGATTTATAATCAAGATGGGAGAGGATTCTGAAACGTATCTGATCAGGATTTTGTTTGATGAAAAAAAAGGTCCTCTCACCTCAGTAACAATTCTTTTGGTAATGTTTTATCAATTAAACAAATATTTTCATCGAGAACTTGTTCCTCTGGCGAATCCATGAGTGTTGAATTGTTATTTATAAAACAAGAGAAAATGTTCCTTTTAGGTTGTCTTGAGTGAATACGAAGTAAGGGACGTCGCAAGGAATCGTCATTTGTTATTGTAAGTACACCCAATGTTGATGTACTACTGTAATTCTCATTGTTTGGATTATTCAAATGTTCGTTAGTTGATGAGTCACTTGTGGAATCGGTGTTAATACTAATAGCACTTAGTTGATTAGAATTTTGGCTGGCGGTACGTTTGAAAAGTGTACGTAAAGCTGCCATTGTAAAAATACAAAAACATCGAGAATCGTAAATTCAACCAGATCATGAACGATTGATATCCGTGTCTTTTCTAATCGGGCTCGTATCACATAGAAAGATTTGCTCTAATAATAGCTGATGAAGAAGGATTTCATTTGTTTCTTTTTATTTCGTTATATGAAATTTGCTCACGCGCTTGAAGCGCGAGCGGATGATTACGGGTTGTTTTTTTAGTCTAGAACGAAAGAAGAAGAACAAAGAAACAAAATTTGTTTTTGATTGTTGAAAATAACCAGCAAATAAATGATTGTACTCAATCTCTTTTCTTGAAAACATTTTATGACGATCAATTGTTTCTAGTCAATGACTGTAATCAAAGTCACATGCTGAATAGTTTTTATTCTTGTTCCCATCGGTCAAATGTTTGTTCTTTTCTACAGTGCCATTTATGATGTTTATGACGGTAAACCGTGATTTGGAGTTCAATTAGAAATTATTTTGTACACGACCTTTTGTTTCATAGTTGTGATATCTTTTTATTTGGCAAATTTTTGGGATATTTATCTGTTGTCCAACAGATGTCACTAGTGAAATGATGAGTGAATGAATCTGATTGGTTGATTTGCATTTCGATGGATTTTCAGTAGTTTCCGTAGAAGTGTTCTTAGTTAGAATGAATAATTTGATTTATGAGACGCATTTGAAGCAATTCAGATTGATGTATTTGGATGCAGTGTAGAAAAATTATGAATAATGAATCTTCATGTGCAAAATTGCCCTGTGGAGAAAGGAAATTAAGATCACAATTTTGGTCTATCTAAGAATTTTCCGAGGAATCTCAAAAATCAAGTAAAAATCATTTCGCTTAATTGAAATCAGTCGATATAACAAAGATCTCCGTCGAGCTTTCCACCATTTGTTTATGTTCACTAGATGGAAGCGTCTATTTCTGTTCTGTTTTTGAGTTAAACAAAGACGCTACTCAGTCAACAGTCAAGACACGAATATGTCGTACACAACGACAGTAAAATGGTCATTATTCGATATATAATCACGAAATTCTAAGCATATCAAGCTCGAATATGGAAACAAAGACATCGCACAATGTGCGACATCTGTCTAGATTTCATTTGATTGAAAAATACGTTGACATTCACGCTCGAAATGTTCATTCTTTCTTTCCTCACTGTTCTGTGAATATCACACAACCGTTGTAATCGTTCCACATTAGAAAATCGCGTTAGTTTTGCGATTTGAATGTGAGATTTCTCTCTTTTTTCATCTAAATATAATTGAATTTCATGAACATCTCCTAGATCATTTTGTTCATATGGCGCACCGTTTAAATCAGCTGCGTACGTCAACTTCTACGACGCGTAAGTATCGCATTTACATTGTTACTTTCAGTTTTTTTTTCATTGATGAATCTATTTAGATGACCAATTTCTTTCCTCCTCGACTACTCTGACTTCATCTCCCCGTACACCAGGAAAAAAAATACCGAAGGGTGATCCAATTGTAACTGGAATTCGACTTCGACCATTTCTCGAACGGTTTGATATTGAATTTTGTCTGATTTCTCAATGTTTACTGTGTTTAATAGAGAATCTGCAATTGATGATACGCCTGCTGTACAAATCTTTGAAAATAATGTGATTTGTACACAGAATAGTCGACCACAGATATTTAAATTTACCAATTGTTTCGATGCTTCTTCTACTAATGTAAGTTGAACACATCAACATTTTCAGATGATTTAAACGATCGTTTTTTAGAAATATGTCTATGATGGAATGATTCGTCCAGCTGTTTTGGCTTCTTTACAAGGCAAGTTTTACTACTTGTTATATTAGTCGATATACAATTATCTTTTATCGATATAGGATACAATACGACGGTCTTAGCTTATGGTCAAACAGCATCAGGTAGAGTCGATGAAAATGAAAACTTGGAATGAAGCATTGTATTAATGATTTTTAGGCAAATCGCATTCGATATTTGGTTCACCATCTGAAGAAGGCATCTTATCATTGAGTATTCATGATTTAATAACAATGAATGCTAAAAATCATCTAAAATTCGAATTAAGTTTTCTGGAAATTTACAACGAGAAAGTAACAGATTTACTTGCAACTCCTCCATTATCAGCTGATACATCGAATACAAAATCTGCAACAAAAACTTCGACCACATCATCATTCTCCAAAAACGCTCGCACACACATTCTGAATAAACTAGTTCCAACGTCGAACTCCAATAACACATCATCCTCCCGTACGCTGGAAATTCGTGAACATCCTCTACTTGGTCCATATGTACCCGATTTAAAATACATCCAAGTGAAAAGCAAAGAAGACTTCCAAAATGTTCTCAATCTTGGCAACCAACAACGATCGGTTGCATCAACAAATGCAAATCAACGCTCATCAAGATCTCACGCAATATTTACTGTGAAAATCAGTCGAACAGATGTACCACAATCGACGGCACCCGTACGTTTATCATTCAAACCGAGTACAACGAATTCGTCAACAAATATCAACAAACTTGCAACATTGACGAGCTCATCGAAGAAAAGTGCCAAACAACAAGCACAAGAAGAAATCGATGCACAAGCTGTACGACTGAATTTCGTCGATCTAGCTGGAAGCGAAAAATCACAACAATACAATGGTCCTCAAGGAAAAAATGATCGTTTTGCAGTAGGATCTCTCCCTCAAACCATCTTTCGTCTCTTCATTATTCTACTTATATAGGAAAGTGTACATATCAATCAATCGTTATCTACCCTTCGGAATGTCATCGATGCATTATCACGTCAACAACATCACGTTCCCTATCGTGATTCAAGTTTAACATATCTATTAAAGAATAGTCTGGGCGGTGACGCGAAAACATTCATGTTAGCCACTATAAGTCCCTCGTCGACAGTCATTGATGAAACAATCAATACATTACGTTATGCAGGTCTCGCATCGACCATAACAAACATACCGCGAATCAAAACTCCTCATCTTCGTCATGAAATCGATGAATTACGTGAAGAAAACGCTCGATTGAAACAAGAATTATTTCTTGTAAAATCCAAGTCGATGCCGTCAATTCATGCAACAACAGCAACGATTAGTAAAACATCACTGACAAATATCGATGAAGGCATTCAGACCAGTTTTCAAGTCGAGTCTTCACCACCGAATGACGAATCGAATAGTGACGAAACACTCGATATTGTTGATGAAGAAGTATGAACTGAAAACAGCGATTTTCATTTCTTGAAAGTGTTTGTTTTATGTAGATTTTAGCACAAATCGAAAATCAATGTCGCCATCCGAAAAGACAACGATTATCCGAACAACCACTTCACGAAATCGGTTTGTATAGACTTCGTTAGGATAATCAACAATCAAAGAGTTCATTTTTTTTAGCTAAAATACGTAAAATTGATGATACAATGATTCATCGACGATTAGGAACAATTCTCAGTTGCGTTACCGACGATTTCTCAGTAAATGGCATTGACTTGTTCTTACTTTTGTTATTCCGAATCTTTTAGATCACCAATGACAATGGTATTCTTGTTGTTTCAAATGAATTAGATATCGATATCAAAAGATCATCTTCAGCATGGATAAAAGCGTTAGAAAGATTCGATCGAGACGTCAATATGAATTCTATGACAAAAAAAGAAGTAAATTCGTTGAAGTTCAATAGAAAAGAGAAAAATTTTGATTCTTTTTTAGATTCTTCCTTCTTTAAATGCTCTTTTTGATACAAACCAAGACTAATTCTCAATTTGTTATTGTTTTCTTTTTCTTATTTTATTACTAATCTTGTACATACGATCTCATTTTTCTTTTCTCGAAACGATTTGATCGTATCTTTTTCTCTCTTTGACAATTATCTGTTTGATGATTCTTTTTTTTTGCCTGTTGTGTCTGTCTTAGCTCAGTTGAAATCCCTATACACATATCGATAGATAAAAAATGGAATTCAATGGTATACTTATATATTTTAGATCGAAATTATGACATCAACAACTGATCCGATTGATAGTAAGAAAAGATTGACGAAAATCGGTCATTTTCGTTACTATCATTACATGTAGCTTCGTCGACGGTACTTCATTTTGGTCAACTTATCTGGGCAAAATTAGGATCGGCACCGTTTTGGCCAGCTGTGATATTTACCGAAGAGAATCAGGATTGGATTCGGCATAAAGGTGTTTAAAGATAGGAAACGTTTTGCGTTTACAAATGATTTTCTCTAGGTAAATCGACGTATGTTCATGTTTTCTTCTTTGGTGAAACAGCTGAACGAAGTTGGATTTCGGCCACCAAAGTTTTACCGTTTATTGGAGCATCGAAGTTTACTACACAACGGAATACCTGGCGTCGAAAGGTAAAAGGTACAGTTTCTCTCAGTCCAACATAGCTTTTTTTCATTTAGATGAAAGTTCAAATTCGCGAGGAACAAAAGTTAAGTATTAAAGATCGATCAAATTTGAATACAGCTATTAAACAAACCGAAAGATTGGCGAAATATTCCTTGAAAAAGCGTGTTAACATTCTCAAGAATGAATGGTGGTACTGGGACCAGATCGACGAATCTGAAGAGGATACTGAACCAACTAATAAAGAAATTCCAATAAAACAGNCGGAACTTTCTATTTGATTCAAATTAACGCTAATCATTACAACCTAAATCGATATTGGATGAAAGCAGCTACATTTCATACAATCGAACCTTCTTTACACCACATTATTGTTCAAATGAAACGTATTCAGAGAGTAACAGCAGATTGACAATCACTTCGAGTGAAACCGATGGTTCTCAGTGGCCATTTTCTTTCACGACCAACACATGATAATCTCCGAACGAAGTAAATCTGCTTGTTTCTTAGTTTACAAAGTAGCATTCCTTCCTTTGATGACCGATGTTTTTTTGCATGAGCTATGAAAAACGGTGTGACGTTTTTACGACAATTTCGCGTTTCTTTCAATGTGCACAACGAATATATGTGGTCGATTCGAAAATGAGAAATGACCTCGACGATCCTGCTGCTTGGTAACTTTTCCATGAGAAAAAGACACTTTTCAATGGAACATTCTGATTTTTACTTTTAGATGTATAAAACGAAAAATTATATTTTAAGCTAGGACAACAAATAGTGAAGAGGTATTCGTGATCGTTTCTTTACAGACTTACCATGCTTTACAGCGATCTAGAAATAGCAATAGTGGAGTGTAATAGATCGTCGAAATGATTGGCATCCAAAGTTATTCATAAAACTTAAACTATGCTAAAGATATTATTTTTCCAGTTTAAATGCTAACGCAACATTGATTCCGTAGGATACCGAATGTGTGACTTAATCCAAAATTCTTGCTTAACCGATGGCATTGCTGTTTTTGATGAAATTCAAATGATTTGTGATCCACAACGCAGTTGAACGTTGACATCTGCTTTATTTGCTCTGTTTCTCACGAGGAATTGTATTTCCACATTCTTTTTCTTCAGGTTCACGCCCAAAGTTCTGTGGACAAACAAATAAGAAAACAATTGGCAAAGAATTAATAATGGTGGTAGAAGATGATTTCGAAAGTTGACAGCATCAACGATTAACTAACCTACGACATTTAGATCACACCATAGGTAGACATTTGTTCATTTTCCTATGAAAACAATGTTTGACCTTATTAGCATCATTTGACAACGTCCTATCAAGTGATTACTTCGTGTGTTTCAACAAAAACGACTTACTTCATCCTACTCGGGAATTGTGAAAAACGCGCTCATAAAGTGACAATGATCTAAATGATATGTGTAAAGTTATCGTTGCTACAGATGGCATTGGAATAGACTTGAATCTGTAAGCCATACGATCTGCTTATACGAAACTCAGCGAAAGATATTTTAGCTAAACGAACTGAAGCATCAACACTATTACACACTGTCGCATGAATCAGTCGGACTTTTCAATAATAAAACGATTTTCTCGTCGACACATATTGATTTGTCAAAACCAGTTGAAATCAAAATGACTATGAACCTTGAAAACTAATAGAATTCCACGTTCTTCGTANAATCTCATAAATGTTGAAAAGAGTTATCAACCGAGTTAATCCTCGAACGAAGTAAATCTGTTTGTTTCTTAGTTTACAGAGTAGCATTCCTTCCTTTGATGACCGATGTTTTTTTGCATGAGCTATGAAAAACGGTGTGATGTTTTTACGACGATTTCACGCTTCTTTCAATGTGCACAACGAATATATGTGGTCGATTCGAAAATGAGAAATGACCTCGACGATCCTGCTGCTTGGTAACTTTTCCATAAGAAAAAGGCACTTCAATGGAACATTCTGATTTTTATTTTTTGATGTATAAAACGAAAAACTATATTTTAAGCTCGGACAACAAATAGTGAAGAGGTATTCGTGATCGTTTCTAACTGAAATGTTTCGTCTTCGTTTCCGTTTCTTTACAGACATACCATGCTTTACAGCGATCTAGAAATAGCAATAGTGGAGTGTAATAGATCGTCGAACTGATTAGCATCCGAAGTTATTCATAAAACTTAAACTATGCTAAAGATATTATTTTTCCAGTTTAAATGCTAACGCAACAATGATTCCGTAGGATACCGAATGTGTGACTTAATGCAAACTTCTTGCTTAACTGATGGCATTGCTGTTTTTGATGAAATTCAAATGATTTGTGATCCACAACGCAGTTGAACGTTGACATCTGCTTTATTTGCTCTGTTTCTCACGAGGAATTGTATTTCTACATTCTTTTTCTTCAGGTTCAGGCCCAAAGTTCTATGGACAAACAAATAAGAAAACAATTGGCAAAGAATTAATAATGGTGGTAGAAGGTGATTTCGAAAGTTGACAGCATCAACGATTAACTAACCTACGACATTTAGATCACACCATAGGTAGACATTTGTTCATTTTTGTATGAAAACAATGTTTGACCTTATTAGCATCATTTGACAACGTCCTATCAAGTGATTACTTCGTGTGTTTCAACAAAAAACGACCTACTTCATCCTACTCGGGAATTGTGAAAAACGCGATCATAAAGTGACAATGATCTAAATGATATGTGTAAAGTTATCGTTGCTACAGATGGCATTGGAATGGATTTGAATCTGTAAGCCATACGATCTGCTTATACGAAACTCAGCGAAAGATATTTTAGCTAAACGAACTGAAGCATCAACACTATTACACACTGTCGCATGAATCAGTCGGACTTTTCAATAATAAAACGATTTTCTCGTCGACACATATTGATTTGTCAAAACCAGTTGAAATCAAAATGACTATGAACCTTGAAAACTAATAGAATTCCACGTTCTTCGTAATTACAATAATTCACATTCAGAAACCCGACTGGGTCGTTTCTCGAACATTCTTCTCGGTTTCATTCGAATTCGCTCTTTCTTCAGGTACTTTCTTTTCTGCGTTTGAATGGTTGACCCTTTCGAAGCTGCCGAGGTGCTCACTTCGATTCGAGGTCTCGTAAAACGATTAAATAGAGCACATACAGTGAACGGGTATGTGGTTCGATGATGTTTCTGTTGTTTACATTTTACGAGAGAATATTCATCTTGGGACGAATTTCTATTTTCGTTGTCGTGATGTTATCACCTCGACTTATGTCTATCGAGAAGAGAGAGATAAAGAGAAAGAATACAAGAACCAGCGAACGTATATAAGGAGAAGTAAAATTCGAAATCTGCATGTACATATGTCGTGTCGAGATTACCTTTTTGTCGAAGTTATAGCTCCGACAACTTTTTTCTATGGAGTTATATCTTCGGCAGCATTTTTTCTATCGAAGTTACAAATTCGATACAAAGGTAACTGCGGTACGACATACATACACTTTCGTGTCTGTGATAGATAATCACACAAAAATGGAAATGGGTGGCCTGGTAAGTTGTTTTCTTTTTTCTTTTCTCGTTCGCTAGAGAGCGCAGGTGGCGCTAGTGACTAGTGGAGATAAGTAGCGAGAGAAGAGTTGCGTCGAGACTTATCCCCCATTGATCAGCAGAGAAGAACAAGGAGCTTTGTTTTGAGGACGAGGAAGAGAATTTTTATGAGGTGTTGACAGAAGATGGCGATTGACGATAACAAAGTACGAGTTTCGCTTGAGAACACATTTTATCTTCATACAAACAAATTGGTATTTTCTTTTAGACATTTGCAGGCGATCCCCGGGCCGGCGGACCTCAGTTTGGCTCGGCCGCGACTGCAGAGCAGTCCCTCTCGGTCGAGACCAAGCTGACTGCAGACCAGTCCCTCTCGATCGAGACCAAGCTGATTGCGGTCGAAACCGATCTCACCGCCGTCAAGCAGGAGGTCGAGACCGATCTCACCGCCGTCAAGCAGGAGGTCGAGACCGATCTCACCGCCGTCAAGCAGGAGGTCGAGACCGATCTCACCGCCGTCAAGCAGGAGGTCGAGACCGATCTCACCGCCGTCAAGCAGGAGGTCGAGACCGGTCTCACCGCCGTCAAGCAGGAGGTCGAGACCGGTCTCACCGCCGTCCAGAAAGCACTGGCCGATGTGCTCGAGGCCGTTAAGGCCAAGAGCAATTAAAGCTCACCGGTCACTAGCAGACATGGACTGACAATGTCCATGCCTGCCTCTGAAACCGGTGAGCTGGTTCGGTCCAGTTAGCAAGAGGAAAAGCGGTGGTCCATTTCTGGAGCAAATCTTTCTATGATTTGTTCCTTTGTGATCACCGCGACAGTCCAACGAAAGAATTTTTCGATTCGCTTTCTGTTTTTTTAGATATTAATTGTTTTCAATGTAATTCTCTTTCTTTTTCAGATGTTAATTGTTTTCAATGTAATTCTCTTTCTTTTTCAGATGTTAATTGTTTTCAATGTAATTCTCTTTCTTTTTCAGATGTTAATTGTTTTCAATGTAATTCTCTTTCTTTTTCAGATGTTAATTTTTCCTTCTTTTTCAGATAATATCGATAATCGACCATGTTCATAGAGTTTCCTATGCAACCGAAGCCGCTCTCTGTTTAGTTCCATCAAACTGACATGATGTTGTCGTTACTCAAATAATTGATCGCCTTAATTGAAGCGAATTATTGCAAATCCACGTCAAAGTAATAACAAATTTTTCACCATCAACTTTTCGATTTTCGATGAAATATACTCGTTTAGGTTATCTCAAATGTCACATGGAATCATCGATGGCGAAAGGAAAATCTACCTCAACCCCAATGACATGCAACGACGTGACAACGAAAAAGAAGAATTCGCCTTACATAAAGTCGATGCGGTTCTCGGCTTTAGTCTCATCCGGTGAACGCAAACCACGTGAAATCGACATTCGTACAACTGTCTACAAGAAAAAGGATTTCATCTATCAACTACGCATGAAATCATCGCGAGCATTCTTATCCGAAGTGGAAAAACGTTTCACATTGATGCCATTTACATTAAGACACTTCGAAGATGAAAAACGAGCACGAATGGGTGTTATCGAATGTGCCAAGCATGATCTCGTCGAACCGTATCCAGTATACCAGGAAAAAGAAGGAGAATTCGTTCTGGGATTGAAACTCACTGTATTATTGATGCCAAGTGGACAAATGAAGATCACCGGTTTACCAATTGATCTTGATCTATATGAATCCGAGTACAAAGTCACTGATAGTGACATTAAACAGCTGTTGACAAGTTCAACTCAAAAGAAGAAGAAGAAAGGCACTGGCAATTCAGGAACAGGTGGCAACGCCATTGAGATGATGGACGCAGTCGAAGACGATGGCAAGGAAGATTTTGAAGATGAACCCGAACAACCGGTGAAGAAAACCGCAAGCCAGAAAGCCATACCAGCGAAAAGCGAATCTTAAGCAGATATGTTAACGTTCACAGATGCGTCGGCAATAATTCATTCGAAACAAACAGAAAACCGAACAAATGTTATTTTTTTCTTTCTTTTCTTTTTTTGTTTCTATTGTCCAACTCTTGATCACGGTTGATACTGATGAGAGTGAAGATTTCGTCTCATGACAATAAACAGCGAAATAACAACAAAGATATTATTCATCCATATCTCAAGACATATTGAGTAAGGAAAAAATATTACTCTCATGATATTTAATTTCCTGATTTCTCAGGCGATGGAGATATACCTTTAGGCAACGTTCATTTCATAATAGTCGGCAAATAATCTGTTTGCTGTCGCAGTGTAAATTGATTTTGAATAAAATTAGCTACATCTCATTGAATCGGACATTCCATACAACACGCATGGCAATCTCATAAATGTTGGAAAAGGGAAACAACTAAGTTAACCCTGAAACGAAGTAAATCCAGCTGTGTCTTAGCTTATAAAATAGGATTCTTGTTCTCGTATTATCAATGGGTCTTATCGGCGTGATAAAGTCAAACAGTTGGCCATCGATTAAGATCTCAATATCGAAATGTTCGAAAATGTATGGGTTATCTTTCGTGAATATTGTGTACAATCAGCTGTCCTGCTCAAGCGTTTTAATCTTATCTCGAATAATATTGCATCGAATTCCAATGAGCATGATTTGATTGTCCTCTTTGTATATGCTATGAAAAACTAGGTGGTGCTATTCTAGCAATTTCATACTTCTTTCGGCATGCACAACGAATGTTTTCACCATTGAAATATGTGGACGATTTGAAAACGAGAAATGGCCGGCACGATCCAGTTGTTTGGCTGATTTTTCTTTGGAAAAAAGTACTTCTGAATGGAATATGACTTAGACATTCATTTGTACGAGTATGAAACGAAAGATTATGTTTTACGCTCGACCAACAAACAGTGGGAAAGTGCCCCGTGATACTTTCTAATCGAGATATTTTGCCTTCTTTTTCGTTTATTTGCAGACACGTCATGTTTTACAACGATCGACGAATAGTGATAGTAAAGTTTATCGTAGATATTGTTGAAATGATCAGCTCCGGAAGCTTTTCGTAAAACAAATACTGTGGTGAAGATATTCTTTTTCCGATTTAACTGCTAAAGCATCATTGATTGTGTAGTGTGTCGAATGTGATTTAGTTACGAGCGAAGAACGTCGTCCCGCTCATTCAGATGGTGCATTAGCAAGTTATGTTGCATGCACAATACCATTATCCGAACTGATGATTTCACACAAACTTCTCGTTTAACCGATGAAATTGTTGTTATTGATGAAACTCGGATGATTCGTGATCCACAACGTGGTTGGACGTCAACACATACTGTATTTGGTATGTTTTCTCAAATATGTCTACTGTCGCATTCTTTTTCTTCAGGTTTAGGAGCAAACCTGTGTGGACAAGCATCGAAGGAAAAAGTAGCCGAAGAATTAATGACGATGACAGAAGATGATTTCGAAATTTGACAGTATCAACAATTAACTAAATCACGACATTTAGATCGCATCATAGGTGAGCATTTGTTCATATTTGTATGAAAGAAGTGACTTGACCTTGTTAGAATCGTTTGACAATGTTCAATGCGGTACTTGTCTCGTGCGTTTCAACAAAAACGACATAGTTCACATTACTCGGGAATTAGAAAAACGTCGTCATGAATTGGCAATGATCTCAATGATGAGTGGAAAGCTATTGTTGCTGCAGATGGCATTGGAATGGGTTTGAATGTGTATGCCATATACGAGCTGCTTTTCCAAAAACCAGCGACAGATAATTTGGCTACATGGGCTCAAGCATCAGCAAACTGTTACACGAATCAATCGAGCTTTGCATTGAATGGAATGTTTTTTTCTCGTTAATAAACATCGACTTTTCACAAAGAAGCGAAATAAAAAAGCCTCATATGGTTTTCACAAATGGAAAGACTATAAATGTTCGAAACTAACAGAATTTGGTCCTCTTTGTAGAATATTTTTTTCATTCAGAAACCCGTCTGGATCGTTTCTCGAACATTCTTCTCGATTTCATTCGAATTCGCTCTTTCTACAAGTACTTTCGCATCTTCGTCTGAATGATTGACCCTTTCGAACCCATCGAGGTGTTCACTTCAACTCGAGGCCTATTAAATAGCGCATATAAATGCAAAGCCATGCGGTTAAATGATCTTTCTGTTGTTTACATTCTATCAAAGAATAGTGATCTTGGGATGAATTTCTATTTTTTTCGCTAAAGATGTTTTCATAATAATCCATATCTATCGAATAGAGAGACAGAGTGGAAGAGAGAAAATAGAAGAACGAGCGAACGTATATAAAGCGCAAGAAAACTCGAAATCTACATATATATATTACAGGCAAAGCAAAATTAGAATTCCATTTTTGCCTAGGCATTATCGGGATTTAGCTCAGTCTAGTCAGAACCCTAACTTTGCCCAGGCAAAATAGGAATTCTGATTTTGCCTAGGTAAATTCCAAATTTGCCTGAATTCCAATTTGGCCTGTAACATATATAAAAAGACATTTTCGTCTTAATGTCTAAGTTACCAGAGGCCATGTGCACTGGCAGCACGGTAAGTTGCTTTCCTTTTTCTTTTCGTTCGCTTGAGACGGTATATGGAGACAATGACTAGTGTGGATAGATATCGAGAGACACTATAGTTCGAGGCCTCTTTCTTATTGGTTCGTAGGAAAAGAGAATAATGGCTTTGCTTTGAGGGTAAGGAAGAGGAAGGGAGAAAAAATTCCTGAAACAGATAGAAAGAATGGCGATTAAAGACAATAAAGTAAGAGCTGTCCGTGAGAAAACTTTTTACCTCTATGAAAATAAACTTAATTTTTTTTTGTTTAGACATTTGCTGCTGATAGAAGAGCCGATCCGCTTGGGTCCGGTTCTGCCCGGGCGCCGACCGTCTCCATCCAGTCATGGCTGGGTGACGTAGAGGCCGGCTTCACTGCATTGCAGAAGAAGATCGACGACGGCTTCCTCGCCGTGAAAAACGCACAGGAGGGGCTGGACCGCAAACTGGACAACTTGCTGAGCCTGGTGAAGGATCGTAAGTAAAGGCCACCGAATACCAGTAGGCATGGACTCACAATGTCCATGTCTGCTTTTCAAACCGGTGGACTCTTTTCGTCCAGTTTGCCTGAGAAAAAGCAGTGGTCAATTGCTGGAACAAATCCTCCTATGATTTGCTCCTTTGTGACCACTGCGACAGTACAATAGAACAGTTTTAAATTTTGAATTTTTTTTCTTAACTTAATTTCTCTTTTTCTTTTTAGATATGAATTTTTTCTTTTATTTTAGATAAAATCATTTCACCATAAGCAATCGAGCCAGGTCTTCGTTGAACTCAACCAATTCAACATCATCTTGACGTGACCGAACTAGTCGATCGTACTGAATGGCGCGAATCATCGCAAACCCTCACGAAAGTAATAACAAATTTTCCACAATCAGCTTTTGTTTTTGCAATGAAATGCATCCGTTTAGATTATCTCAAATGTTACGTGGAATCATCGATGGCGAAAAGAATATCTACCTCAATCCCAACGAGACGCAACAGCGAAAAAGAGGAATTCGCCTTACATAAAGTCGATGCGCTCGTCGGCTTTAGTCTCATCCGGTGAACGCAAACCACGTGAAATCGACATTCGTACAAATGTTTACGAGAACGAAGATTTCATCTATCAACGAAATGTGAAATCATCACGAACATTCTTATCCGAAGTATATGAATCCGAGTACAAAATCACTGATACTGACATCAAACAGCTGTTGACAAGTTCAACACAAAAGAAGAAGAACAAGAAAAAAAAGAAGAAAGGCACTGGCAATCCCGGAACGGGTGAAAACAACATTGAAACAATGGACGCAGTCGAAGATGATGGCGATGAAGATTTCGAAGATGAACCTGAACAACCGGTGAAGAAAACTACAAGCCAGAAAGTCAAATCAACGAAAAGCAAATCTTAAGCAGATGTGTCGGCAATAATTCGCTTCAAACAAACAGAAAAACGAAACAAATGTTATTTTTTTCTTTCTTTTCTTTTTTTGTTTCTATTTGGCAACTCTTGGTCACGATTGACACTAAAGGGTTTCGTCTCATGACAATAAACATCGAAATAACAACGAAGTTCTTATTCATTCATTTCCCAAGATGTATTGGTCAAGAAAAACAAGATTTACTTTGCGTTCATTGTTTAACTGCTATTATCGGGATCATACCCGATAGCAGAATGGAAAAAGACGTTGTTGTCGTTACATTCAATTCTCTGAATCGTTAGATAATATAGATATGCCAATAAACGACGCTCATTTGATTATGATTGCCATCCAATATGTTAACTAATATGTCGAAACTTTCTATCTGCTTCAAATAAACGCTAACCATTACAATCTAAATTGATATTGGATGAAAGCAGCTACATTTCATACAATCGAACATTCTTCACACCACATTATTGTTCAAATGAAAAGTATTCAGAGAGTAACAACAGATTGACAAGCACTTCGAGCGAAACCGACGGTTCTCAGTGGCCATTTTCTTTCATGATCAATACATGATAATCTCATAAATGTTGAAAAGAGTTATCAACCGAGTTAATCCTCGAACGAAGTAAATCTGTTTGTTTCTTAGTTTACAGAGTAGCATTCCTTCCTTTGATGACCGATGTTTTTTTGCATGATCTATGAAAAACGGTGTGATGTTTTTACGACGATTTCACGTTTCTTTCAATTTGCACATCGAATATATGTGGTGGAATCGAAAATGCGAAATGACCTCGACGATCCTGCTGCTTGGTAACTTTTCCATGAGAAAAAGACACTTTTCAATGGAACATTCTGATTTTTACTTTTAGATGTATAAAACGAAAAATTATATTTTAAGCTGGGACAACAAATAGTGAAGAGGTATCCGTGATCGTTTCTAACTGAAATATTTCGTCTTCGTTTTCGTTTCTTTCCAGACATTTTCATAAAACTTAAACTATGCTAAAGATATTATTTTTCCGGTTTAAATCGTAACGCGACATTGATTCCGTCGGGTACCGAATGTGTGACTTAATCCAAAATTCTTGCTTAACCGATGACATTGCTGTTTTTGATGAAATTCAAATGATTTGTGATCCACAACGCAGTTGAACGCTGACATCTGTTTTATTTGCTCTGTTTCTCACGAGGAATTGTATTTCCACATTCTTTTTCTTCAGATTTACGCCCAAAGTTGTGTGGACAAACAAATAAGAAAACAATTGACAAAGAATTAATAATGGTGGCAGAAGGTGATTTCGAAAGTTGACAGCATCAACGATTAACTAATCTACGACATTTAGATCACACCATAGGTAGACATTTGTTCATTTTTGTATGAAAACAATGCTTCACCTTATTAGCATCATTTGACAATGTCCTATCAAGTGATTACTTCGTGTGTTTCAACAAAAAACGACCTACTTCATCCTACTCGGGAATTGTGAAAAACGCGCTCATAAAGTGACAATGATCTAAATGATATGTGTAAAGTTATCGTTGCTACAGATGGCATTGGAATGGATTTGAATCTGTAAGCCATACGATCTGCTTCTATGAAAGTCAGCGAAAGATATTTTAGCTAAACGAACTGAAGCATCAACACTATTACACACTGTCGCATGAATCAGTCGGACTTTTCAATAATAAAACGATTTTCTCGTCGACACATATTGATTTGTCAAAACCAGTTGAAATCAAAATGACTATGAACCTTGAAAACTAATAGAATTCCACGTTCTTCGTAATTACAATAATTCTCATTCAGAAACCCGTCTAGGTCTTTTCTCGAACATTCTTCTCGGTTTCATTCGAAGTATTCGCTGTTTCTTCAGGTACTTTCTTTTCTTCGTTTGAATGGCTGACCCTTTGGAAGGTGCCGAGGTGCTCACTTCGATTCGAGGTCTCGTAAAACGATTAAATAGGGCACATATAGTGAACGGGTATGTGATTCGATGATGTTTCTGTTGTTTACATTCTTTTAAAGAATATTCATCGTAGGGCGGATTTCTATTTTCGTTGTTGTGATGTTATCACATCGATTTATGTCTATCGAGAAGAGAGAGATGAGGAGAAAGAATAGAAGAACCAGCGAACGTATATAAGGTGAAGTAAAATTCGAAATCTGCATATATATTTAATTTCGTCTGTGATAGACAATCACACAACAATGGATATGGGTGGTCTGGTAAGTTGTTTTCTTTTCTTTTCTCGTTCGTTGGAGAGCGCAGGTGGCGCTAGTGACTAGTGGAGATAAGTAGCGAGAGAAGAGTTACGTCGAGACTTCTCCCTCATTGGTTAGCAGAGAAGAACAAGGGGCTTTGTTTTGAGGACGAGGAAGAGAATTTTTATGAGGTGTTGACAGAAGATGGCGATTGACGATAACAAAGTACGAGTTTCGCTTGAGAACACATTTTATCTTCATACAAACAAATTGGTATTTTCTTTTAGATATTTGNTTGTGATATGTTTTTAGTCTTACACAACGAATAATTGGTAAGCTATAAAATCGATGTTTCGACATTTTTTGAATTAGTATTAAGTTTTCTTCATACATTAGAGAGATCCTAACATTCATGAAATTACTTTTAGATTACTTATATATGTATGTACATCCTCAATGAGTACTAATACACTTGTTAATGAAAATCTTTCAGCGAATAGTTCAACATCCATCAATGATGGACCGATCGCTCATCTTGATCATATGTTAAATAGTCTTCATGATGATCAATCAGCAACACGAATATCAGCGGATGCATTTGATAATAAATCGCATCGAATGAGTCATCGATCGAATTCATCGAGAACGACGATCACAGATGGAAAAATTGTTGAATGTTCATCAGAAAATTCAATCGTCTACCGATATTATATAGGAGAATCAAGTTCAGTCATCGACGAACATTTTGATAAAGCACTCAAGCAGCCAATATCTTTCAATTCAACGAGATCAATACCAACACGAGGTGAGTAACATTCTATGAATGTATTTTTTCAAATACAGTAATTCTATTTGTTCAGATCCTCGAACATCATCGTACGGTTATTCAACTATGATGAATCCATCGAGTAGTTTTTGGCCGACTTTTATGACATCTCCATCATCGTATCCTCATCCAACATATCTTCCAACATCACAAAATGACTATACCGATTGGATGCATCATCATCATACTTATCGTTCACCTTATCCAACAACTCCAACAGCAACAGCAGCAACTCCAACTTCATCATCATCATCATCAACAATGTCAAACAATCATTTACATCCAATTGGATCACCAAATAATACCAATAATAACAATAATAATACAGGACGTTATCATCATCATACACCACCCGATATGGATGTTGTTACAGCAGCAGCTATTGGAGCTGCGGCCGCTGCACAAATGTTTCATCATGAAAAACAATCTCATCATGCTTATACACCAACATCTCACCATTTCGATTATCATCTTGGAGGATCAATGATGGCTACTGCATCCTACGCATTTCCAAGTCAAAGTAATAACAGTAACTTTTCTCTTTCTCAAAACATATTCTTTTCTTTATTTGAAGGTTTTGATTTAATGGGTACCAATACACCACCGATTGGTTTAGAAAATCCCAATATGAAAGATTCAACCGCGTCACCACCGTGGTATTCAAATCATCATCTGTCTTGCTAAATAACCGAATAGAATAAAAAAGACAATCACTTCTACATTTTATTTGATTTCTACTTATATATATATACAATTATACATATGTACTAAGATAACATTGAAAGAACCTAACAGTCTGTTTTTGTTCCATTGTAGTTTATACAAAACGTAATTGGATCGTTCCTCTACTTGATTACGTCGTTATGTTACAATTAATATTACAGACTTATTCAGACATAAACGACGAATGTTTTTGTGTCGAGTGTGTTTTTTTTCTTTTCTTTTCTTTCTTTCTTTCTTGCATCTTCATCTCATTTTGTTCTTGTGTAATTTTTATCTCTTGAGAATGTAGATATTTTTTGTGATGATGATAAATCATTACTATTTCAAAGTGAAGAAAAAGAATTCTCTCTCAATTGATTAAACCGTATACTGAAATTTTCACAATCTTATTTCAATTAGAACATGGGTTTCTCGAAGCATAACAAGATGTGGAAACGTGATGCTCGTGAAGTGTTTCCTCAAAACCAAAAGAGGTTTTTCATGAATAGCCGCCAGTAAACATGATTTACGCAAGAGAACAGATGCATCTGTTTTTGCAAGGGTTAGTTTCATTCAGTTCTATAAATATCTTATAATTTTCTGCCACTCTTTGAGAGAAAAAAAGAAATTTTTAGAACAATACAAGTCCTATGCTTTGTGCGTGTTGTTTTTTTTTCGAAAATACTCTCACATATATACACAGAAAGAAATAAGATAATGATAGAATGAAAAATGAATCGTAATGCAAGAGATTATAAGGAAAAAATCCATCTATTTTCTTTTTCTCTGAATTTGTTTTTGTTCTTCAATGAATTTCTTTCCAAATAAAATCTTGAATAGTCTTATTGAGTTGATGATGTTGGTGACATTGAGCTGTTAGGAATTATGGGTGTTGTTGTCGGCGTAACTGTTGCAGCACACGATAGTTTTCTCGGCATAACGGTTTCCGGGGTTGGAATTTCATGACCAGTGATTGTTTCGGGTACTATCGATGGTGTTCCTTCTTTTATACTGCTGGTTTTGCTAGTTGGATCAGGTTTGCTAGCAGCTAGTTTACCTTGCGATTTCGCAACATTATAATCACCTGAATCGAAATATTTCGGCTAAAAGAATGGCGTTTTTCTACGGGGAATGTTGTAACCTTTGTTTAGTTACCTTATTCATTAATTTCTTTGTCAACATATTTTGTTGTCGAGGAAGAGCGCCGCCGTACTTGGCTCTTAGTTTTGCTTCTTCACTCATTTCTGGCGTTGCACCGTTATTCTAAATGATGAATCTCGTTTAACGCTATGAAATTAATCGATAGAGATCCTCACAGGCGTTGTATTTTCAGTAGATGAAGCCATATGGAATGTTGAAATGAACTTTTTACTTTGTTCTGAACAAAAGATGTAATGAGCTAAGAAAAATTTTAGTTCAATGCAATTATTGACGACGTTTTGTACACATACACACAAGTTCGTCGATATACAAAGAAGAATAAATAAAAAAAAACTGAGATATTATTTTTTTTCTATTCTTAGACTCTCGAGTATCTTTCATTGGTCGACGTCGTTCGACAACTTGAAAGGTTGCTTTCAAAAACAATTTTTCGAGAAAATAAAGACATTTTCAGAAAATCGTTCGAAAATATTGCTGATAAGAAGAATTCTTCTGTGTATTTTCTACCTAGATGGCGCTCGTTTGCAGGATCCGTTTCGAATCAATGTAGCGAAGTTGATTTTGATACGCGGAGAAGGAAAGTATTTTTGGAACAGGCACTAATGTTGCATTCAAAAAAATGGAGAAGAGTGTAATTAGTGCTCGAGGAAGTACGAGACGAGAGAAATTGACATTCAACCAATGCGAACTAAATAAAAAAGGAAAAAACATCCGTTCGTTTTATATTTAAAATATATGATTATCAACAGAATCATCAACATCGGCAGATTTAGATAAATTCACAGCGATGACTACATGCGTAAACATACGTTCTTAGTCGCATACGAGAATATAATCTTCACATCATTATGCTTGACAGAAACCTTAGAAATCGCGAGTTGGTCGAATGAAATTGCTAATCAAGAGACTGAAAATAATCGTCTTTCACCCAATGTGCTATTTTCACAAAAAAATGTTCGAGTTTCTAGAAGTATTTTCAATCTATTATCATCTTATCTTATAATTACTACTAAACATGTCATCTGAAAGAGAGACGTATCATCTGAGTCATCATAATACAACGTGAAGATTACACAAGAGAATATTCAGCATTTTTTTTCATCTTCTAGTTTAAAAAATATCTTCTGTCATTGGATAAAGAACTTCAACGACAGAAATAAAATTACACAAATATGATGCAAAAAATAAAATAAAAAACAACACCGAAAAAATGCAGATTGATATCAGTCTGAATTTGAATCATTGCTTCTCTTGAAATTGTTCGGGAATCGAAACGATCGATTGAATTACATGTCGCCTTTTCTTCTTATAAATTGTAAACGTAAATCCACATACGATCAAAACACATGGTTAACGGGTCATCTAATTGTAGTCGATTGTCTGGTAACAAAGTTCCATTATTAACACCAGATCCGAGAAGATGCACACGGAAAATACAAAGTTGATTCGTTTGAAAGTGTTGTGTTGCCATGTTATGTGCGTCGTTGACTCTAGCGTAGACAGTCAATGGTTTAATTAGTTTCTTGTCTTCGTTTTGCCAACGAAGTAGTTGGAAAATATCAGATGGACTTCGGAGTGGACAATAGTAGTAGACCGGTTTTGTACGAATTGTTGAACTAAAAGAAGTTTTGTTTGAGTCACTAGAAAGAGTTGGATTTTACCTTTGTTTTTCTTTCTTTTCTGAGAAAATGTTTTTCGATGCTAAGATTTTAACTGGACATCCGATTTCATTTGAAAGGTAACGTTCGGTTTGTGAATAATCATCTTTATTATAAGAATCTAACAGGATAATATCTTGTTCATGATCAGGTAAAGGCGGTGAAGTGTCAGGTTTCGAGGATAGAATATCATCGTAGGTTGATAAAGCTGATGCAGACGCAATAGGCGTAGATCTTCGTGAAGAAGGCGAAGCACGTGATGGTTGATTATTTGCAGATTTCCTAAGAAATCAAATTATGAGAAATTTTACAGATAATATCATTCATTACCGTTGATTATGAGTTGAATTTGAGATCTTTGGACTTGCTGTCGCTGATTGTACATTGTTTGTATCGATTAAGTCAGGTTTACTAGCAAATAACATCGCTTATTGATCAATTCTACACACTCGAAAACTTACCGTTGTCGAAGAACTTTCTTAAATGCTTCGAGAATGTCATCATGACTTTGCTCATTGATTTCTTTTTGTCGAAAATACCTGAGACAAGCATCATTGATCGCATGTTGGCAGTGAGGTTTCGTACAAGAGTCTACTAGGGCATAATAACAGTAATGTAATTTATCGCAATACTGCTTTTTCGGGCAACCGCCTTTCTTCGCATGGTCAGTACACACCCAAAACTAAATCAACTGATCAATGAACTTTTTTAAAGAGAGAAAATTCTTACCGATCGCATTGGGTCAGCACTCGCTCGAACTAATTCGTGTAAAATGACTGCCGGAATTGAAGATAAACCTCGTGCATCCAAAATTCTCTGATTGTGAACACTTTTCAAGATATCATGATCGTATGGACAAGTTTTATTCGTACATTTTGCATACATTGGCCGTATATTATAAGGACACAAATGTAAAAACGGACAGGATTGCTTTTTACATTGCTGAGCATAGTGTGTACAACAGAAAAGCTAGAAATACAAAATTTTTTTTCTATGAAATCATTTTTTCGTCTTTGTTTCTATACATACGTCTAGTGTCAAAGCGATTTTGTCTGTCATTTGATTATGATGAAGTAAAGGGCGTAATAATTGAAAGTATTCACTATAAGATTGTTCATTAATCAATTGTAGAATACGTTCTTTCGAAATTTTTAATTGATTAACAATTGAATCTAGTGTATCAATGGAATGTTTGGTTGTGAGAAGATATCTCAGTAGACTCGTCACTTCATCCATAGTTTCACGTTTGTAATTCTACAAAAATCAAATGAAAAGTATAAAATATTTCAATTTTCACTTCTATTTTGTTGTTCGCTTTTCTAACGAACGATATCTATTTATTAAAACTGAAAAGCTCTGCTTATTTGATAATCTCTTGTTCGGTATTTTGTTTTCTTGTTATTGAATAGGATAACAAACTAATGTTTTGGTTTTTAACGATAACAAAAAAAAACTAAAATACAATAAAAGAAAGACGTACTAAATGACAAATGGTATAATAGAAGTCAATGAATCTGTTCTTCTGTTTTCATTACTAGAAGAATTGCACTGGAGAGAGATCACCCGAGAAGAGAAAAAGAAGAAAAAACAACACCACAACAAATGACCAGAAAAATAAAGAAAATCAACAAAAAAAAACGAGAAAGTGAAAGGAAAACCGAGTCTGCACGGATTGACTTGTTTGCTTTTCAAAACATAATCATGGGTTGCTGTTGATGTTGTCCATGTTCGTCCATCATTAATGTCATAATCATCATTGGCTGAGCGGGATGTTGCTGTTCTAATGGATAACGATAGATGTGTGAATGTTTTCTAAGAATAAGAGAAGAGCATGAATGTATTTTGATCGATTGAAAGTATGACTTACTTATTTTCATCAACAATACGAAAAAGCGCTATGATATCAAGTGGTTCAACGTGTGCGAGACCACGACGTTCGAGATAATCGATATTTCGTTGTGTTGCCAACGAGTGTCCAGCTTTACAGTCACCATATTTGCATAGATGTGGTGAACACATATAAAAATAACACAGATGTAAATCGTCACAGTTAGGTTCTCGACATGGTTTGGGCTTATGATGACAAACTGCAAACTATTGAAAGGAGAATGGATTCGATATGTACGAAAAGAGATCAAAGAATGGTTTTCGTTTTGTCTTACCGTTTTACTTGGATCGGCTGATGCTAAAATCAGCATGATAAGTGTTTTTTGCGGTAGATTTTCTAGACCGCGTTCAATAATCACTCGTCGATTATGTTCTGTATCAAGCGAATGTGATAGCGGACAATCATGTGGACGTTGGCAACGACGATTGGGCAAAACTACCGACGGGCATAGATGTAAATAAGGACAGGCATTATCTTTTGTACAACCGTTTGGTGGACGGGCATAGAACGTGCAGTTGGTAAGATCAAGAACAACTGCTATACGATCATCACCCGGTGTATCAATAGCACGAAGACGAGCGAACACAAAAGGATGGGCGGCAACAATGGATAAAATATGTTCAATAGGTGCTTGCAAAGATGCGCATAGAGTTGAAAGGCGTGACAAGGAATTCGTTGTTAGAAGTGTATGAAGAAGAGCAATAGCATTAACATCTAATAGTGGCATAATGAACTGTTCTAAATATAGAGTGATATGATAATATTCGCTTTTGATAAATCAGCGATGATTATACGAAATCAAACAGAGGATAGATCGACCTACTTGTGACGGAAAAACTCTGATCGTCGAAAGAAATGAATGTCAATAATCTAGAAATGAAGAAGTTGAACTTCAACACTATGTGTCTCTTGTCTATGCGTTTGTCTGCACGCTTGTGTGTGTTAATATATTAGAAATGAAAGAACAGCAGAATCAACAATAATTATAATAAAAAAAATGTCTAAGAAGGGAAAAATGAAGTTCGTTCACCGAGCTCTTCGGTTGTTGCTGTTATTATTGGTCTGGTCTATTCTTTTTTCGACGTTTGTGTCGTTAATGTTGGTGCGGTTGTTGTTGTTCCACCTATTTGTTTGGCTTGTTTCTTCTTTTCGGCTTCGATTTCATTTTCTTTTTCAATTTCAGCGATATATTTCTCGACTTCTTCAGCGCTCAAGGTTTTCAATGGTTTATGTCGTGCCATCACAGCGATTTCAACATTTTTCGATCCACTTTGCACAACCTCCAACAAAGCGCGAATGCACAATTTGATTGATTCATGAGTTGATTCATATATTGTTTCCGTATAGGCTTTTTCGAGGTATTCACGAACAGTCTTAGCTTGTCGACCAATAGCATTGGCTTTCCATTCGTGATAGGTACCACTTGGATCAGTAGAATAAAGACGTGGTGTACCGTCATAGTCGAAACCAACAATTAATGTTGATAAACCGAATGGACGACGGCCTCGGCCTTGTGTATACTTCTGTTGTAGATCAGCAATGAAACGAGTAATGTATTCAATAGTAACAGGATCTTCAACGTTCAATCGATGGGATTGACATTCGATACGAGCACGATGCATTAAAACACGAGCATCAGCTGTCAGGCCTGCAAATGCCATAGCGACATGATCATCTAAGACGCAGATTTTACGAACCGTACTAAACAAATTAGTGAAGATCAAGTGGAAAAGCTATCAGATCAATTTACCGATCTTCTTGTAAAACAGCGACGGCCTTCTTTTCGACACCTAGGACAACGATATTTTTTCCACGTACACCAACAGCAGTTGATCCTTTTTTGACAGCTTCTTGTGCATATTCGACTTGAAAGAGCCGCCCATCGGGAGAAAATACCGTGATTGCTGTATCGTACTCGCCTGCCATTATGATGAATCGATATAGATTGAATCTGAAAGAGAAAAAAAGAAGTATTTCAACAGTCGATTTGAAATCCGACTGTTTTAAATGAAAATATATTCGAACAAACACGCCACAATCAATTTCTGATGACCAATGAGTCATTTTCTATTTCTTCAATAAGAAATTAGAACATACTTTTTATGCTTGACAACTAATTTATTTTTATATTCGAGTTTAATGCGAATATAAGTGACTACATTATTGTTGTAACGATGTTTATTTTTTTATTCGAGAGACTTTGTTCACGAAAACTAAACAGTGTTCGACAGAGGGCGCTGCTAACCAGGATATGACTAAGGGAGAGTGTGGCGTGGATCTTGACGGATAACAGATCAATGATATAGGCTTTTTGACAACAACCACGAACATTAAAAAGTCAGAGATGCAGCTGAGAAATTCATGTCATAGATCGATTCGAACAGCGATTGGAAATTATCTATTTCAGTTCATTTGCTGATCCATCTTCGAAAATGAGTGGTTTTTCATGTTTCTATGACGTGAATGAACCCTTTGACAAAGATTTCAAAGTCATCTTGGGGATCGGACTTTACAGTAAGACCTGCTCGAATGATCAATATAACATTCCGCGGAACTTGAACATCAAGTGTCATACGATACAGATTTGCGAAATGAGTGTTTCACCGAGCTGTATTGATGAGGAGAACACTACCGACATTAGTAGCTGTATGGGTAGAACCGTTGAGAAAGTCAAGAGCCACAAGCAATTTGAAGCTGAATCTTTTTCTGCTGCTTTATATACGACTAAGTTTTCATACTTATTCAAAGAAAAGGTTGAGCAAAAAGAAGAAATAAATAGTTATGATGTGTTCGCGACAACTCAGGATTTTCATACATCAAAACCCACCAAGTCATAATCATATAATGTCATATTTACTATAAAATTTATATGGTCGCTTACATAAAATCATGATAGACGTTTACCGAGTATGCAATTACATCGAGAATACATTCTTGATGGTACTGTCAAATACAAAATGTCCATCAGTGACTTTGTTTCTTTTTCGATATAGAATAACTCAGACAAGATGGAACATAGGTATGTTTTGCGTCGGATATCGTTTTACCTCAAGCGAAAAAGAATGCATCATCAGCACGGTTTATCGCTTCCTTTGTAAATACAAATGAATCAGATGGACATAGAAAGTTCATCCAGTGATGAATACGACTTATCGAGGAGCTACCGTTCTCAATGACACAAAAATAAAACAAACACTGTTTATGTACACGAAGCGGTAGACTCATCTCCCAAATTTTCTGTCGTACACAGCCATCGTGGAGTCGTATGAAATAAATCACGTTTCTTTGGTTAGCATTGATAGTAATCGAGGACATCTTCCGTTAACTGATTTCATTCGACTCTTATCAATTACTCATATTTAAATAAGAACAGAGAAAGCAACAAACAAAAACAGGATTTCCTTCCGTGCTGTCGAGAGCGAACTTTGAAAGACCAAAAACCGGACTTCTCAACAGCAGGAGAGGTCGCATCCCATGATCGTTGGTTAAATTATACACTTCTCTTGCGAATGATGTTTCCTTTTCTCTAATAGTTGGAATTGATTTTCGATAACAATGAAGAATTTCATTGAAGACTTGGTTTTTTTCTTTCATTTCACACTCTTATTTTCATCACCTTTCATAATATTGTTCACATTCATTCTCTTATGCTATTTCTGGTCTTTATCGAAAACATTATTCATCGCTTTGATTTATGGTAGTTGGATGTATATTGATCAACAAACCCCGGTTCGAGGAGGTCGATGGTCGATTCGTTTACGTCAATTATATATTTGGTCAATAGTTTCTAATTATTTTCCAATAAAATTAGTCAAAACTGAAGATCTCGATCCAAGTCGAAACTACATCTTCGGTTGTCATCCACATGGTACGATTACTCTCGGTGCTGGGATCAATTTCTTAACAGAAGCAACACATTTTTCAACTCTATTTCCTGGTATTCGCCCTCATTTGATGGCGCTTCATTCTAATTTTTTCTTCCCAGTTTTACGTGAATTAATACTTGGTTTAGGTAGGAATAAGCTTATAAATTCGCCATTAAATTTTTTGTTGTTGTCCTAGGTGAATGTTCTGTCTCAAGAGAGAGTTGTCAATATTTCTTAAATGGATCAGCTGGTCAAGGTAATGCTGTTATTATTGTTTGTGGTGGCATGCGGGAGCTGTATTCGACAGAATATGGAAAGATGACGTTCTATTTAAAAAATAGAAAAGGTTTTATACGATTATCATTAGAAAATGGGTGAGCAAATACATACAATTAGAATGAACAGAAAAGAAGACATTTTTATTTATTATAGTACATCATTAGTACCGGTAATAACATTTGGAGAAAATGAACATTATCGGCTATATAAGAATTACATTTCAAATCGATTTATTTGGGGACGATCAATCATTGGTTATCTACCTCTTCGTCACCCTGTAACAACTGTTGGTAAGAAAAAGATTATGTTTCTCATGTGATTAAATATATTTTATTAGTCGGTAAACCAATTCATGTTAATCAAGTCATTAGTCCATCTCAAATAGATATCGATCAACTCCATGATCAATATCTTCAAGCAATTGAAGAGTTGTATAATACAAATAAAGCAAAATACGGCTTTGAACATGTGAAGTTACAAATCATTTAAATAACATCTGGATAATATTAAGCTAAATTTTCTTATTAGTCTTAAAGCTCCCGCTCAATCCATCGAATATTGAGTGACCTCCCATAAAAGTCCTGTCTCTGAAAGTTTTTTGAGAACTTTCTTGTGAAATTTGTGAACTTTCTCATCATGAAGATCGAAACGTAACAATATCTTAACGTACAAAGTGATAAAGTCTCGGAAAACTATAGCCTATCTATTAAAAACTTCTGAAATCTGGGCATCTGAATCTCTGTGAAAATCACAAGACATATTAGAGGGCTCTCTTCGAAATTCTTTTACGCTTGCTAAAGTACAAGCCATAGGGTTTGCAGTATGGAAAGAGGTTTAGTGGAGGTATGAGAAGAAGAACACTTCTGCATCACAAACATAAAGATTACTTTTTAAGATAACGAACTATTTGATTAATATAAATTCGAAGTGTATTTAATTTTTATCAATGTTTTTTTAAAGATTTTAAAAATAAATGTACGCTGGAAAAATACTTAGCTGATTTTTTAAAATTGAATGATCTAGTTATTGTTCCGATCTGCAACAGAAAGGATTTATTCGAAATCAAATGAAAAAATTTCTGAACAATTCAGTTCATTTTGTGTATTGTTTTGGTTTCCTCATTTCCTTCATACCAACGTATTACCGGATGATTGGCACAAGCTGCCATATAAATTTATGTTTATCGATCAACAGATAATCTTTGAGGACAATTTAAATGAAGGTATGGGTGTGGGTGTGAGGATGGGGGTATGGGTGGGGGTAAAAGTCTTTATCATTGGAACCGATAGAGCTCGTCGAGTTTGATCTGGAAGTGTGGAAATCGAGGTTTGTGATTGCTAGACGAATTCATGCGAGTCTTTCTAAAAGTTTTAACGTTTTTTGGGTGTTTTTTTTTAAATTTTTTGGGTTTTGTGGGATGAAGGAGAGACTTTTTTTAAAATTTTGTTTTTGGAACCGAGAGAGCTCATTAAGTTGTATTTGGAACCTGTGTTGGTTCGATTGGAACCTACACTGAAACGAATCCGCTGAAGAAAAAGTTCAATCCTGTGCAAAGATATCCTACGTTTTCTCTTAGTTTCGCAAAGAGAGAAAAAATACTGTTTAATATCTATAGATCAGTGGCGTAACCAGGATTTTTAGACCAATGGGCAAACTTTGCTTAGGTTGAAAAAAAGTAGTGGGCAAAACGGGCAAGCTTTTTGTCGATAGGGCAAAACTTTTACACTGATTCAAGTTTCAAAACACGACCACAAACAAAAGTGAAAAATAAGGATCTTTCATTTTTTAGTATAAAAAACAGAAGAAAGTCCAATACGCTGTCTTGTTTCCTTCACTGTAGTGCAGTATAAGAGAATGCAA